AAGTGGATAACGCGATGGCGTTTGAAGCGAACGGTACTGAGTTCGAGTCCCAGAGTGAACATCAACTCTGAGATGCAGGTACATCCAGCTGACGAGTCCCAAACAGGACGAAACGCGCGTCCTGGATTCCACTGCTAGCCACTATCCATCTTTGCTTATAATGCTTGTAAATTAAGGCAATATAGAGGCATACGCACAGTATGCACATATGCCAATAAGAGACTGATCAATTTCAGTCCAAAAACATCAATGGGTAGATTCAAATAAAACAATATCAAGTGAATTAAACTTCAACCCATTGCACAAGCAAGTGGCTATCAGGACTCAGTAGCTAAGTGGATAACGCGATGGCGTTTGAAGCGAACGGTACTGAGTTCGAGTCCCAGAGTGAACATCAACTCTGAGATGCAGGTACATCCAGCTGACGAGTCCCAAACAGGACGAAACGCGCGTCCTGGATTCCACTGCTAGCCACTATCCATCTTTGCTTATAATGCTTGTAAATTAAGGCAATATAGAGGCATACGCACAGTATGCACATATGCCAATAAGAGACTGATCAATTTCAGTCCAAAAACATCAATGGGTAGATTCAAATAAAACAATATCAAGTGAATTAAACTTCAACCCATTGCACAAGCAAGTGGCTATCAGGACTCAGTAGCTAAGTGGATAACGCGATGGCGTTTGAAGCGAACGGTACTGAGTTCGAGTCCCAGAGTGAACATCAACTCTGAGATGCAGGTACATCCAGCTGACGAGTCCCAAACAGGACGAAACGCGCGTCCTGGATTCCACTGCTAGCCACTATCCATCTTTGCTTATAATGCTTGTAAATTAAGGCAATATAGAGGCATACGCACAGTATGCACATATGCCAATAAGAGACTGATCAATTTCAGTCCAAAAACATCAATGGGTAGATTCAAATAAAACAATATCAAGTGAATTAAACTTCAACCCATTGCACAAGCAAGTGGCTATCAGGACTCAGTAGCTAAGTGGATAACGCGATGGCGTTTGAAGCGAACGGTACTGAGTTCGAGTCCCAGAGTGAACATCAACTCTGAGATGCAGGTACATCCAGCTGACGAGTCCCAAACAGGACGAAACGCGCGTCCTGGATTCCACTGCTAGCCACTATCCATCTTTGCTTATAATGCTTGTAAATTAAGGCAATATAGAGGCATACGCACAGTATGCACATATGCCAATAAGAGACTGATCAATTTCAGTCCAAAAACATCAATGGGTAGATTCAAATAAAACAATATCAAGTGAATTAAACTTCAACCCATTGCACAAGCAAGTGGCTATCAGGACTCAGTAGCTAAGTGGATAACGCGATGGCGTTTGAAGCGAACGGTACTGAGTTCGAGTCCCAGAGTGAACATCAACTCTGAGATGCAGGTACATCCAGCTGACGAGTCCCAAACAGGACGAAACGCGCGTCCTGGATTCCACTGCTAGCCACTATCCATCTTTGCTTATAATGCTTGTAAATTAAGGCAATATAGAGGCATACGCACAGTATGCACATATGCCAATAAGAGACTGATCAATTTCAGTCCAAAAACATCAATGGGTAGATTCAAATAAAACAATATCAAGTGAATTAAACTTCAACCCATTGCACAAGCAAGTGGCTATCAGGACTCAGTAGCTAAGTGGATAACGCGATGGCGTTTGAAGCGAACGGTACTGAGTTCGAGTCCCAGAGTGAACATCAACTCTGAGATGCAGGTACATCCAGCTGACGAGTCCCAAACAGGACGAAACGCGCGTCCTGGATTCCACTGCTAGCCACTATCCATCTTTGCTTATAATGCTTGTAAATTAAGGCAATATAGAGGCATACGCACAGTATGCACATATGCCAATAAGAGACTGATCAATTTCAGTCCAAAAACATCAATGGGTAGATTCAAATAAAACAATATCAAGTGAATTAAACTTCAACCCATTGCACAAGCAAGTGGCTATCAGGACTCAGTAGCTAAGTGGATAACGCGATGGCGTTTGAAGCGAACGGTACTGAGTTCGAGTCCCAGAGTGAACATCAACTCTGAGATGCAGGTACATCCAGCTGACGAGTCCCAAACAGGACGAAACGCGCGTCCTGGATTCCACTGCTAGCCACTATCCATCTTTGCTTATAATGCTTGTAAATTAAGGCAATATAGAGGCATACGCACAGTATGCACATATGCCAATAAGAGACTGATCAATTTCAGTCCAAAAACATCAATGGGTAGATTCAAATAAAACAATATCAAGTGAATTAAACTTCAACCCATTGCACAAGCAAGTGGCTATCAGGACTCAGTAGCTAAGTGGATAACGCGATGGCGTTTGAAGCGAACGGTACTGAGTTCGAGTCCCAGAGTGAACATCAACTCTGAGATGCAGGTACATCCAGCTGACGAGTCCCAAACAGGACGAAACGCGCGTCCTGGATTCCACTGCTAGCCACTATCCATCTTTGCTTATAATGCTTGTAAATTAAGGCAATATAGAGGCATACGCACAGTATGCACATATGCCAATAAGAGACTGATCAATTTCAGTCCAAAAACATCAATGGGTAGATTCAAATAAAACAATATCAAGTGAATTAAACTTCAACCCATTGCACAAGCAAGTGGCTATCAGGACTCAGTAGCTAAGTGGATAACGCGATGGCGTTTGAAGCGAACGGTACTGAGTTCGAGTCCCAGAGTGAACATCAACTCTGAGATGCAGGTACATCCAGCTGACGAGTCCCAAACAGGACGAAACGCGCGTCCTGGATTCCACTGCTAGCCACTATCCATCTTTGCTTATAATGCTTGTAAATTAAGGCAATATAGAGGCATACGCACAGTATGCACATATGCCAATAAGAGACTGATCAATTTCAGTCCAAAAACATCAATGGGTAGATTCAAATAAAACAATATCAAGTGAATTAAACTTCAACCCATTGCACAAGCAAGTGGCTATCAGGACTCAGTAGCTAAGTGGATAACGCGATGGCGTTTGAAGCGAACGGTACTGAGTTCGAGTCCCAGAGTGAACATCAACTCTGAGATGCAGGTACATCCAGCTGACGAGTCCCAAACAGGACGAAACGCGCGTCCTGGATTCCACTGCTAGCCACTATCCATCTTTGCTTATAATGCTTGTAAATTAAGGCAATATAGAGGCATACGCACAGTATGCACATATGCCAATAAGAGACTGATCAATTTCAGTCCAAAAACATCAATGGGTAGATTCAAATAAAACAATATCAAGTGAATTAAACTTCAACCCATTGCACAAGCAAGTGGCTATCAGGACTCAGTAGCTAAGTGGATAACGCGATGGCGTTTGAAGCGAACGGTACTGAGTTCGAGTCCCAGAGTGAACATCAACTCTGAGATGCAGGTACATCCAGCTGACGAGTCCCAAACAGGACGAAACGCGCGTCCTGGATTCCACTGCTAGCCACTATCCATCTTTGCTTATAATGCTTGTAAATTAAGGCAATATAGAGGCATACGCACAGTATGCACATATGCCAATAAGAGACTGATCAATTTCAGTCCAAAAACATCAATGGGTAGATTCAAATAAAACAATATCAAGTGAATTAAACTTCAACCCATTGCACAAGCAAGTGGCTATCAGGACTCAGTAGCTAAGTGGATAACGCGATGGCGTTTGAAGCGAACGGTACTGAGTTCGAGTCCCAGAGTGAACATCAACTCTGAGATGCAGGTACATCCAGCTGACGAGTCCCAAACAGGACGAAACGCGCGTCCTGGATTCCACTGCTAGCCACTATCCATCTTTGCTTATAATGCTTGTAAATTAAGGCAATATAGAGGCATACGCACAGTATGCACATATGCCAATAAGAGACTGATCAATTTCAGTCCAAAAACATCAATGGGTAGATTCAAATAAAACAATATCAAGTGAATTAAACTTCAACCCATTGCACAAGCAAGTGGCTATCAGGACTCAGTAGCTAAGTGGATAACGCGATGGCGTTTGAAGCGAACGGTACTGAGTTCGAGTCCCAGAGTGAACATCAACTCTGAGATGCAGGTACATCCAGCTGACGAGTCGCAAACAGGACGAAACGCGCGTCCTGGATTCCACTGCTAGCCACTATCCATCTTTGCTTATAATGCTTGTAAATTAAGGCAATATAGAGGCATACGCACAGTATGCACATATGCCAATAAGAGACTGATCAATTTCAGTCCAAAAACATCAATGGGTAGATTCAAATAAAACAATATCAAGTGAATTAAACTTCAACCCATTGCACAAGCAAGTGGCTATCAGGACTCAGTAGCTAAGTGGATAACGCGATGGCGTTTGAAGCGAACGGTACTGAGTTCGAGTCCCAGAGTGAACATCAACTCTGAGATGCAGGTACATCCAGCTGACGAGTCCCAAACAGGACGAAACGCGCGTCCTGGATTCCACTGCTAGCCACTATCCATCTTTGCTTATAATGCTTGTAAATTAAGGCAATATAGAGGCATACGCACAGTATGCACATATGCCAATAAGAGACTGATCAATTTCAGTCCAAAAACATCAATGGGTAGATTCAAATAAAACAATATCAAGTGAATGACATTCATTGTTACAATTACTTAACGACCAATTAGTATGAATCGTATTTGTCTACATATGAAAAAACCACTACATTATACAAACATGTCGCTACCATGACTCAGTAGCTAAGTGTAGAACGCTATGACGTTTAAAGCGAACGGTACTCGGTTCGAGTCTCAGAGTAAATATCAACTCTGGGATGTAGGTAAATCCAGCTGACGAGTCCCGAATGGGACGAAACGTGCGTCAAACTGGATTCCATTGCTAACCACTATCCATCTTCGCTTAAACAGTGAAAAAAAAGTGTTGGTCTTTGCCAACCATTTTTAACTTACAGGAAATAACAAGACAAAGTAATATCGATCAAATTGAAATAATAATAATAATAATAATAATCTACTTACAATCTCAATAAATTGCGCATTCTTACTGTCATTATTATTACAATCATCATTCATCAATAAATTTCTATTCATTAATGGATCAGGTTGAAATCTTAACCATGTTTGACCAAGTATTAAATCACCTTCAATAGGTGGAATATGTAGAATACCAACTAAACGACATGCCCAAACAGCTTGAATATGATATCGGCTAGCTGATGCTAATTGTATTAATGGAATAGATGATAATGGTAAACATAATGGTAAATTATGCCATGTACAAGCTGCACCAATTACAGGTTGAGAATGATTCATGATTGATGGTAAACCAATTAACGAGGCAAGTGGATGTGATTGACGCGCGGATACTGTAAAATTAAGAAACAAGAAGCATCAGAATGGGTTTTGTGGAGAGTTTTTAGAAATTTCACAGGTTGAAATCATGAGTCAGTTGAAGCTAGACCACCATTGAAAACCTGGAAGCACTGGACGGCCGTTTCGTCCTGGTATGGGACTCCTCAGCAGTGCGCATCCACGATCCCGCACCACGCGGGGCTCGAACCCAGGACCTACTGGCTTCGCGCGCGAGCACTTAACCACTAGACCACTGAGCCGGCGTCCAACGGTGTTAATGTCTAACTTCAACCAATACACGAAGTTGCGCCACCGTACACCATTGTCTTCAGTGAGTTGTTATCTCACAACAGACCGGTTGAACTCCACTGGTAACGGCTTCTCACTAGAACTCCAGGAGTTTTTCTTGAAGTGAGTCACTAATGAGCAGTTGATTATTATCAGAATGGGTTTTGTGGAGAGTTTTTAGAAATTTCACAGGTTGAAATCATGAGTCAAGAAGCAATAATATTGATATAACGATACTTTTCTTTACAAATAAAACCAATATTGAAATGGCGGCTTAAAGTTGAATACTAGTTCAGTGTGGGTTATTGATAGTAAATAGTGTGTTACTTAGTATATATCACTAAGATGTAACTGAAATTTTGAAGGAAATGATGATTCTTGTAAAATTTCAACCCAAGTTATCCAGGTTCACATTGCAAGATTTTACCACTGAGGTATTCAGGTTATGTACCGGCTAAAATGGGTTTCAATACCATAAGAACGGCCAATACTAACAAAATTGTATATACAATTTGTGATACTGTTAACACCATGAAACGCAAGCCTAGGATTTCCTGACGACTACCTCTAACCCTGTTACATCCAAATGGAGTATACGTGATATCTAGTCACTCAGACTAGCTTATTAACACAATTTGATCAGCACTATTGATTAGGTCTTAGTGTGGCCAATTAGTATAATGTACAAACCAATGAGAGGATTATACTGAGATTCTGCAACGAGACTGATAATATTCAATCAACACTAAATGTTCCAACAAAAATGACATTGATTACTACCATTTATTGATGAATCTTTTGCAAATATCTAGTTTTACAGGAGGTCAAATGAAAGCATCTCCGACTATGGAGCTAGATGAGGTAAACCTGAATATCAATCAAATGGAGTATCAGTTCTTTCAAGATTATTAACAAATCAGGGTGAAATAATATCTAAAGAACATTAAATACAAATTAGTTTATCTGAAAGACTAGACCATTTGTGATTAAACAATTTAACTTGGTTTATACAAAAACAAATATGATGTATTATGTGGTTCCAAATAAACATGATAAGGGTTCACATCAAAATGTTTCAGTTCTACAATTGGAAAATTTAGTGAATAGAAATAATTTTAATACAGTTTCGAACTCAACTCATTAGGTCGACTTGAATAGTAGATTATAATTTAAAATAAACCTAGGAGAGATTCCATGATATTTTGATTGAGATCATGAAGTGATTGATGTTAGACCACTATTGAAAAACTGGAAGCACTGGATGGCCGTTTCGTCTTCAGCAGTGCTCATCCACAACACCGCTCGCGGGATTCGAACCCAGGGCCTTCAGTTTCGCTCAGCCTCAACCAATCCACGAAATTTCGCGACCATCTTCTATGGTACTGAGGTATATACCTGTCTCTACCCGACACGGAATAGCTCCACTAGTCACAGCTCCTCACTAGAACTCAGAGAATCCCCTCACGAAGCTAGTCACTAGTGAGCGCATGATAATTATCAAAATGAGGTTGTGTAGATTATTATGTTTTTGATTGAGATCATGAATCGAGTGATGTTAGACCACCATTAAAAAATTGAAATGCTATCGCATTATCCACTTAGCTACTGAGTCCTGATAGCCACCTGAACATCAATTCTGGGATGCAATTATATCCAGCCAACAAGTCCCAAACAGAACGAAACGCGCATCCTGGATTCCACTGCTAGCCACTATCCATCTTTGCCTATAAAATTGTATGTTTTCTTAATATTCACCGACTAAGACAATATATAGTGAATTTAATTTCTATCCAATTACGTATACATACAATCTGTTATCATAACACTCTGTTTCACACCATATGTCTCTTACACACTAATGCCAATATCTACTTTAAACATTGTTAACATGGATTGGATAACATACTTAGTATACAGTGAACCGAAGAACCATGTACCTTATTTATATTTGATAATTTTGATATTTTGATTATATTTTCCTTGAAAAAGCTTGAACTAGATTATCAAACGAAACGTTGAATTTACTTCAAATTCATTTGTTGAGATTTTACAAATACAACATTCTTCCTCTTTATATTTTTCGTTCATCTTACTTACGCCTGTTACTCCTAATGGAACATAGGCCGCCGACCAGCATTCTTCAACCCACTCTGTCCTGGGCCTTTTTTTCTAATTCCATCCAATTCTTGTTCATTTTTCTCATGTCTATCTCCAGTTCCCGGTGTAATGTGTTCTTTGGCCTTCCTCTCCTCCTTTGGCCTTGAGGATTCCATGTGAGGGCTTGCATTGTGACGCAGTTGGGTACTTTCCTCAATGTATATCCTATCCACTTCCAGCACTTCTTCCTAATTTCTTCCTCCGTTGGGATCTGATTTGTTCTTTCCCACAGTTGGTTGTTGCTAATAGTGTCCGGCCAACGGATCTGAAGTATTTTGCGGAGCCAACTGTTAATAAACACTTGTATCTCCTGTCTTGACATTTGTATTGAAAATTGTTCATACATCTATTCAACAATAATACAAGTATAACATAAACAGAAAAAAACAATAAATGGATAACTAAATCTAATCTTTTCTTACATAGATTCGATCGTGAAGTTGTATGTATTAAACGTTCAGCCATTGGTAAATGTGTATAATAAAATCGACCATGTTGACGTAATGAATCTTCTACAGGATCAACACACCAACCAAATGGAGTAGATTCCGAATGATAAAATAATCCTCTTTATAAATAGAAATAAACAAACAAACAAGCAAAATAAGAAATAATAAGAGCTTTATCAATAACAACAAAAATGATACGAAAATATCAGTTTGATTTCTTTTGTTTTTATTCAATTAACTATGTTTAGTTCTAAATTCACTTGGTATTGTTTTGAGATTAGATGGTGGTTGGAGGTAGTCGACAGGAAACCCTGGACCCGGGTTTCGTGCTACTTGGCACTCGTCAGCAAGGTGTACCTGTAATCTTGAGGGGACTGGTGCTCCTTGGAGGATTTAATCTCGTGTCACCCTCTCGACTACCTCCAACCACCATCCATTCTCATTACATAGTGCCCGCAGTGTCGAGTCACTTAGACTGGTGACCACATTGCAACATAGTCGATAGCATTCGATCTGCACTAAATAAGGACTTGACACACATGACATTGATCACCACCTAGTGATCAATCAATTGTGACTTGGTGTTGTTTATTTGAATCTTCTCATTGATGTTTAGGACTATAATAGATCACACACTTATTGCCATATGTGCTATCCTGTGCGTGTTGCTTTGATATAGGCTTAATTCACAAACATTATAAGCAAAAATGGATAGTGGCTAGCAGTGAAATCCAGGACGCGCGTTTCATCCTATTTGGGACTTGTCAGCTAGATATACTTGCACATCGGAGTTGATGTTCCCTCTGGGGCTCGAACGCGCGTACTGGATTCCACTTCTAGCCACTATCCATCTTTGCATACGTTTAGTCCTGTTATTGTTTCTGAATTGTTATTGGTTATTTTCAATATTCAGTGTCAGTGGATCCCATATGTATAAATTTACGGAATTGTAAGCTCTTTTTTTATTTATATCACTTCCAACTTCTTACATAGGGACACCTTTTGTCATACATCGAAAAATCAATAACAACGTACCTCTCGACTAGATATAAATGTATCAGCAGCTAAATGTTACACCAAAGGAATCACTATTAAAATATTTTGTCTTAATGATTATCTTCCTTACACTTCTACATGAGATTAAACAAAAGTTACCATTTGAATCATGATGACGTATATAAATGTCACAAACTGTCTGACCATTACTACATACCTCGGTACTATCGATTTATAATTGATAAGCATATAAATCATTTTTATTGAACGACATAAACCAAACAATTCATGTAATACTATTATTCGGCTGCTTACAGTGGAAGTAGATAGAACGAGGTTCGAATCAGAGAAGGATCAACTATCGATTAATGGCTTCAAAATCAGATTCAGTTGATTTATGGATTACTGGAACAGTCAGTCAGTCATTCAACTACAACGTAGGACCAGGCACATATGTGCATCGGTCCAGGTTGCCATACCTCATTAGCACAGCAAGATGAACAGCGGATTCATAGCAGTGGTTAGGTCAAAGGTTGCAATAAGGATATAGATTAGGAAGAAAGAATTAGTTCGTAGACAGAAAGAATGAAGTGATTTTAGTCTCTTAGTTTAAGGGAAGACAGGGAGTGTATACACCGACGCCATTGTGATAGATTCTGAGCCATGTCACCAAGAGTCTCCAACCATCGGTTACGATAGTCACGCGGACTCCAACCAAGTAGTCTGCATCTACCAACATGGCTCAGACTAGAAGTTAGTGACTTCAGGCACTGATGCCACGTTTTGGTTTGGCCGCCCCTAACTTTTTTCCAACCATCCCCTATCCCGGTTAGCATTGCACGTCGTGGTAATCGGTGTTCAGGCATACGTAATACGTGGCCCAACCATCTCAGTCGATGAAGATTCATAACCTCATCAACTGATTTACCATCATTCCCTAATACTTACCCGGTGATCCCAGCAGATGCCAGCAATATTTCTAAGGCATCTGTGGTCAAATACTAGTAGCTTACGGGTGTCTTCTACTCTTAATGGCCACGTTTCGCTGCCGTAAATTAAAACAGAACGAACTGCCGCGCAGTATACTCGTCCTTTTATTGATAGACGGATATCTCGCCTTCGCCAAAGGTGACGTAAGTTGGCAAAAGCCAAACGAGCTTTTCGAATCCGTGCTGAGATTTCGTCCGATACCAACCCATTAGGGCTGATCAGACTTCCAAGATAAGTGAAGTTGTCAACGCGTTCAACTACTTCACTCCCTATCCTTAGTTCAGGTGTTGACCCAGACCAGTCCTGAAGCAACAACTTGCATTTAGAGGGAGAGAAATTACTGGAACAAATGACTTCATATTTCAAGTATTTCCAAGACTGTTTGATTTAGGACTGTGAATATTAGTGAAGTCTAGAAGGAACATTTTGCTTTATTTAGTGAACACGCTTCTACCTACTTAAATCCCGAAATGTTATTCTAAGTGATCTAAAAGATAACGAGGATAATCCTTTAAAGTTTGAAGTAATGAACAATCGATTTGGTGCAAGCATATTCAATTGACAAGTAACAGACACAAAGAAACATCTCTCCTAAATATTCGCAACATTCAATAAACAAAGTAAAACAGTAAATCAGAACATAAATTTTCATTAAAAAAAAATCAATTGTATTACCTGCTATGACTTAAATGCTCAGCTACACGCGCCCAAAGTACAGTACCCAATGGGCCTACAATACGTTTACGTTCACTATAAGCATCTAACCATGCATTCTGACCATCAACGCATTGTTTACGTGCTTGACTACACAATTGTGTAATAGGAAATTTTCTTGGTAAATATTTTTTCGATGAAGCATTCAATGATGAAAAGAGATTTTCATTATTTGTTAATTTGTTATTAGTTGATTTTGGCCAAAACATTTGTATCAATTGAACAAGTATTGACTTGAAAAGTTAACAAAAAAAAAGACAAACCCGAAAAAGAATAGATTTGGATAATTCAGTTAAGAATACAATGGAATTAGTGAATATAAACAAATCTATGAAGTCACATACAAGTGGACAGAGTGAGTCATGTTGGTAGATGTAGAATACCTGGTTGTGATCAGCAAGATGATAGCAATCGATGGTTAGAGACCTTGAATAACATGGCTCAAAATCGTTTGCAACGGTGCAGGTGAATCCACTGTTTGTGTTCTTCCGAATTCTAATCTTCTGAATTCTTCATGTCCCTTTTCTTTTTCTCTTTCCAAATTTATTTAACTGGATTATACTCGTTGAATAACATCCTGGAACCCTAATCTTTCCTATTACTGCTTACACTCTTACTACCTTTACCACTACGGGATTTGAATGGAGAACTGCATCTTTGTGCTAATGTGTTATAGCAACTCGAACTGATATACGTACGTACGTACGAAGTTCTACGTTGTGACTAACTGATAAACAAGTTGATAAAATAAATATGTAGGCAATATTGTAAGCATTGTTATATGAAAATGAGATTTCTGTTGAACAATTAGGTAAGCTGGAATATTAAACACTAATTTAACTTCTAACATTAGGAAACTTAAAAAGGACAGAACCTAGAACTAGCAAGATCTTAAAGTGAATAAGAATATGTTCAACCACAACATCAGAATATAATGACCCATATTTCTAACCACAAGACATGAAGATTTCTATGCTCCATTCCATGATTGATACCAGATAAACGTTGTTTAGAATGGAAGGAAACATTCAGTTAACCCCAACTGATTTCTGCTTATGATTACGATGACAGTAATTCACATGAAATTATAAAGCTTAAAAAAAGCCCAGAAACTTCCGTTTGCCAAATTAAAAAAGTGTTTATCACTAAAACTGGTCACAAAAGTTCATAGAATGGTCTTCTTGACAGAATTTTAAAGATTTGAAATCTTCATCAAGATGAAATCATGAATTTAGACAACTTGACAGATTATTGAATATTCCACTAATTGAAAACATTTCACGATGTAATCTCTTGAAGTTTACAATTCTGGTAGATAAATTGTTCATTTGTTTACTTTTAACTAGATACTACAAATTTTCTTCAATCAAATATCACTAATTTTAGTCTGATCTCTATCAGTTCGTATGATTAGTGAAAGTTGATGATAACAGATACGAAAATCATTTTAAAGCTTCTTATCTACTTACTCAAAGCTGAGGAAAAAATTCATAAACGTGCTAAGGAAACTATATAATTATTTAATTTTTGATTGAGATCATGAACTGATTGATGGTAGAAGCACTGGAAGGTCGTTTCGTCCTATTATGGAATTCCTCAGCAGTGCGCGTCCACGATCCCAGGGCCTTCAGTCTCGCGCGCGAACGCTAAACCTAACGGACCACTGAGCCAGCACCCAATGGTGTTAATGCCTAATCTCAACCAATCCATGAAGTTGAGCAACCATCTTCCATTATACTGAGGTAGATACCTGTATCTACCCGACACGGATTAGCTCCACTGATCACGGCCGTCTAGTGCTTCCAGGTTTTCAATGGTGGTTTAACATCAATCGGTTCATGATCTCAATCATAACTTAACAATCTCCACAACCCCTATACTGATGATTACTTATTTATTATTATTGTTAGTGTGTTACTAACAAAGGTTACTCAAAATGATTTTTATCTAATTTAATTATCTAACACTAGTGGCTGTCTTCTCATTGGTTACTACTACTTACAATGTCCGTCAACGTTACTTCCAAGTCCTCATTACTATATATACACTAAGTTTTACCATTTGTAAGGTGTTTGGATATCGAATTTCCCCATGGTTTATCTTCTTCCTGTTTTAAAAGCTAACTGTTAAAGTGTGGCGTTACAACTACCAACATCGAGTCTGTAATAAAACCGTTCATATTAGAGAATAGCGCAATTACTTTTCGATTCGCAAGTGTCGTAAGCCCATACCGAGCCATAACAATCAAATATAACGAACTGGTAACAGAAGTTCATCCAATTAATAAACACCATGAAAATATGAGAAAAAAATCTAACTTGAAAAGAAGTAAAATACTCACTGCCTCCTCGTGGCGAGGATGTTGGTTACGAAATTCAGAGGACAAAAAGCGAATATCCGGCATTTTAACTGGGTTGATGGACACGGGGAATCCACCTAGGGGCGTTAGATAACCTTGATTCCAAACAAATGGTTTACATGGCCTCCAGAATCCTGGAGGAACGATTGGCGTATGAATCAATCGTTGGCCAACGTCTACCATGGGACTGCATCTCTTGACGTTGATCCCCTACCTTTTGGTTCAGACCTTCAGGTCTAAGGCTCGAAGTGTGGCTCTCTAAGAAAACCGCCTCCTTCGATCTGAGCACCCGAGCAGTATCAAGGCCCATACACAAATCAAGTAACTTGTGTAGCGTATATGTATTCAGTGCCTCTTTGCACTAATATTTATATGTTCAAATAAATAAATAAAAGTGGGGTTTTATGGATATTATAGTTGTCAATTGAAGCTAGACTATCATGGAAAACCTGAAAGCACTGGATGACCGTCTCGTTCTATTATGGTACTCCTCAGCAGTGCGCACTCAGGACCTTATCATTCTCACGCGCAAGCGCTTAGCCTCTAGACCACTGAGCCGGACGGCATCCAACGGTGTTAATGTCTAACTTCAACTAATCCATGAAATTCAACGACATATCCACCATTGTCATCAGTAAGTTACTATCTCACAACAGACCCAGCTTCTTACTAGAACTCCAGGAAATAACTTCTTGAATCCAATCACTAGGACAAAATGGCCATCTAATACTTGCAAGTATTCCATGCTGATCTAGCTTCAATTGATTCACGATTGATTCAACTATGAAATAAATTAAAAAGAAAAAAAAAAAACAATATTCACAATTACAAACCTTTTTATCATGAACCATAGATACACTTTTATTATTTGTAGATAATTTTAAATGTATCAATTTGTTTAAATCAGGCAGTGATAATTTCCATTGTTCACTAAGTTTTTTATATTCAATTTTAATTAGATCATGATATGTATACAATTCAGATGGTGTAACATGATTGAATTTCTCTTGTAACCAAGGTGATAATAATAATGACGATGGTAAATTTTGTATTGATTTATCATTGATAATATGATTATTGATAAGTATCATTTCAATAATTGTATATAATTGAGTTAATTGTTGATTTATCATATTTGTTTCATTATTAATTGTTAAGTTAAAGAATAAATCATGATTTATATTATGATGAATATCTAATGTATTAGATGATATATATGTGAACCATATTGATAGATTTTGATGTAACCAATATTTTATAGTGATTAGATTATTCCAAAATGTAGGGGAATACTAAATAATTAATAAAATAGAAAAAAATGGATATATGAATAAATATGTTATCTCCCTATAAGAATAGTGAATGGTAACTATGGGGATCCATTTGTGGACCAATAGTAAACGTATATTTTTATCGTATAGTTGTTAAGAAACTAAACTATACATATTCATGTCCCTCTTATTATGAGTTTTATTTTTACCTATGGACTATTATTATACGATTTACCATTCTTGAGTTATACTCAAGTCTATTAATTACTACCTCTCACATTCACAGTCACATTTGGCTAAATCTTATACAGGCGTTGTTTCTTATTTTATTGGTACGATGTGATAGATCTAATTGGTATATGAACCCAGTGTGTTTGAAATAGATCAATGTTGCTGCTATGTCTAGAGCTTAAATTCTTAATATACCAAGTACAACTTGAGCATTCAAAAGTTAGGACCATCCAAGTCATAAATGAGAAGAACGAAGACAAGTGAAAAGAATACTATTCCAAATAGTGTCTATTGCGGTACAAAACTGTCAGGTATTTATAGTTTTCGGTAAAAACGAATTCATCATTCAGTCAGCCAGTAACAATGTAAAACTTCGTATGTACGTACATCAGTTCGAGTTGCCATATCACATTAGCACAGAGATGCAGTTGTCGATTCAAATCCCGTAGTGATAAAGGTAGTAAAAGTATAAGCAGTAATCGAAAACATTAGGGTATGAAAATATTATTCAAGGAGTATATTAAAGTGAAATAAATTCGGAAAGAGAGAAAACGGGACATGAAGAATTTAGTAGATTAGAATTTAGAAGAACACAAAAAGTGGATGCACTTGCGCCATTGCAAACGATTTTGAGCCATGTCATTCAGGGTCTCTAACCATCGGTTGCTATCATCTCACAGTCCCCAACCAGGTAGTCTACACCTACCAACATGACTCACTCTGTGCACTTGTCAGTGACTTCATGGATTTGTGCCATGTTTTGTTCTGGCCGCCCCTAGCTTTCTTCCAACCTACTCCTACACCATAAAACATCGCACGTCGAGGCAGTCGGTAGTTGCGCATACGTAACACGTGTCCCAGCCATCTCAACTGGTGAAGTTTCACTACTTCATCAATTGATTTGCCATCCTTACCTAGTACCCGTTTCCTAACAACTGCGTTACTTACTCGATGGTCCCATGATATACGAGCAATGTTTCGGAGACACCTATGATCAAATACTAGTAGCCTACGGATATCCTCTACTCTTACCGGCCATGTTTCACTGCCATAAAGTAGGACGGAACGAACTGCTGCACAGTAAACACGTCCTTTGGTTGATAGACGGATATCTCACCTACGCCATAAATGACGCAAGTTGGCAAAAGCTAGTCGAGCCTTCTGTATCCGTGCTGACATTTCGTCACATACCAGACCACAAGGGCTGATCAGACTTCCAAGATAAGTGAAGCGGTCGACACACTCAACTACTTCACTCCCTATCACTAGTTCGGGTGTCGATGTAACCCAATCCTGAAGCAACATTTTGCATTTCGAGGGAGAGAATCGCATCCCGAACATGCTTGCATTGTTGCTTAGAGTGGTCAGAAGACTCTGCATTTTGTCAGCGTCTTCACCAAATAAAACTATGTCATCAGCATATTCTAAGTCAACAAGTGAACCTCCTGGTAGAAGTTCAACCCCTGGAAATGTAGATGAGGAGAGTGTTATCTCTAAAAGTACGTCAATGACAAAGTTGAACAAGAATGGGGAGAGTGGACAGCCCTGACGATCACCACTTGGGGTAATCAATTCTGATGACAGTTCGCCATAAGCTCTCACTCGACCAGTTGTGTTCGAGTAGAGAGCCTTTACAAGCTTAATGTACTTCTTTGGTACTCCTTTCAGTGACAAACACTGCCATAGAACCTCACGATCTACAGAGTCGAATGCCGCCTTAAGGTCGAGAAATACTACCATTGTGGGGCGTCTGAATGTGTGTCTGTGTTCTAGAACCTGACGTAGTGTGAATATCTGATTTATACAACCACGTCCAGGTCGAAAACCGGCCTGGTTTTCTCTAATCTGCTCTTCACGAGCTTTGATTAGGCGTCGAAGTATTATTGAGGCTAATATTTTAGACACTATATTAGTCAAACTGATTCCTCTGTGATTTTATTTTTTTATTTTAACACATAGATATTGGTACAAGGAGGCACCAGATACATATGCGCCACACAAATCTCATTTGATATGTTTGAGGGCTGTGGTATTGCCCAGGTGCCCAGACCGAAGCGGGTGATTTTTAGGGGGCCACACCCGGAACCTTCAACCTGAAGGTCTGATCTACAAGGCAGTGGAGCAACGTCAGGAGATGCAGTCCCATGGAAGCCGGTGATCAACGATTGGTTCATACGCCATTTGTTCCTTCAGGATACTGGAGCCCATGTGCACCATTGGTTTTGAATCAGGGTTTTCCAGCTCTCCAAGGTGGACTCTCCATGCCCACCAACCCGGTTAAAGCGCTAGACATTTGATTTTCGTCCTCTTAATTTCGTAAACAACACTCTTGTCACGAGAAGTCAGTGAGTAGGACATCCCTAGCAGAGGCAATATACACGTGACCATGTGAGAGCACTTCGAGAGGGAGAGAGGACTCTCCGCACTCTCGGCCGTACCAGGGTATTTAGGGGCTCTTTGATTGTCACAAGAGGACTTTTGTCCTTTCTTACAGACTGGCACAATCAGTGATTGAGACCAGTCAGATGGGATTACGTCCAGTTCCCAAATTCTATCTAATCTCAATGCTAATACTGGACCACCATCCTTAAAAATCCCAGGAGTGAACCTGTCAGAGCTTGCTGCTCACCCTCGCTTCAGATTTCCTATAGCTTTTTCAACTTCGTAAAGAGACGGAGGACCTACATTAACTTGCCATTTAGGTTGACTAGAGATCGTGACAAACCGAAGTCTGGCTGAAGGCCAGTTGAACTGATCCCTGAAGTGTTCTGCTCATCAATCCAATCTTCTGGATTGAGAATGTATAATAATATGTCCATCTTTTTCTGAGAGTGTTTCGCTAACGGTCGGGTTCCTAATACCGGTTTCCTTGACAAGTCTGAACAATTGTCTGATATTACCTAATGCCGCTGCCTTTTCCATCTCTCTTGCTTTCGCTACCCACCACTGTTCACGATCACTGTGTAGGCTTCCTACCAGCTTGCGCTTAAAGTGACTCCGCTCTTCGTTATGTTCAAATCGAGATGGAATAAGTTTTCGAGCATATATCAGTGCAGTGGATGCTGTTGAGATCCAGTGTTTCTTCCTAACCTTGTGGTTTACCGTACCAGCAAATATCACAGCATTTCGAATGTCATTCCATGCTGACTCAGGGTGGGCATCACCTACATGGCGCCCTAACTGTTTTTCTAGTTGTTCCTGAAATATACTCTTAGCTTGACTATCATTAAATAGGACCGTAAGATGTTTCCTTGCAACGTCTTTCTTACGTCCAGTGAAACGCGGGCAAATACGTGCTCGCACTAGAGCATGATCTGAATCTAGGCATGTGCTCCAGAATGAGCGACAGTCTTCTATCGAGCCCCTCCATCGGTGGCTGATAGCGATGTGATGTATTTAGGTCCAACGTTGGGACGAATTAGGGGGTCTCCATGTTAAGAGATGTTTTTGCTTATGCCTAAAGATGGTATTTACAAGAAACAGGCGTTTATATTATTTGACCATAGCTGCAACAGACGGTCGCCATTATCTGTTCTTTGAGCCACGACGCTATAAGATCGAGCCAAGTGTAATTCCCTTTCGCTTAGTTTATCTACTTGAGCATTAAAGTCACCGGCCACTATTACTACATCCGAGCGCCTAGCTTTTAGGAGGAGGTCGGAGAGCTTTCTGTAAAACTCATCTTTTACATCATCTGCGCTGCAGTCAGTGGGGGAACAGGCAGAGACAACGACGAGTGTCCCTATCTTTTCGGATCCTTACTGTTCCGTTCGGTCGGACAGTGCACAAACGACTGTTTACTGGGATCCACTCTAAGAGAGCTAGTTCTGCCCTAGGACTCAATGCTGTACCTACGCTGGCGAGGCCACAGGAAGCAGAATCAGGGCTTCCAGATACACGAAGTGTGAATCGAGTCGGTTCTTTATTTTGGCATGGCGAGGTCAGGTGAATGACGCTACTCGAATCCTGTATGCGCGTTTCGGAGACGCAGCACACATCGATGGCGCGGGATTCTAAAATCCTAGCTAAGGAAGCCTGCTGTCCTATTTGACACAGTGTTCGGACGTTAAAAGCTCCTACGTGTAGTTCAGAGCGTGGTTTCAGGAGACCAGGAATAACGTTCCGCGTACTCGAATCGTTCGCCCTAGCGGTGCGAGGTGAAAAAAGGACGTGAGAATGGTTAGTCAGGGAGATAAGAGTGGTAATAGGTGGTGTAGGAAATATTTGAATGTGACCAACTTGGTCTCGTGTGCTGTTACGGGTATATGGGCTGGTGTCACTTTCTGGCTGCTCACACCGTGGAAAGGTATTTCTTGAGTAACCTGAAAAAGAATTCGGATTATTGTTGACCTTAACGACCTGGGAGCGTGACCGCAGAGCGCAAGGGACAACTGCTTGAGGCCGGTCGCGCACGGCCTTTTCGTGGGAGGTTTTTAATGTGTTAGCTCCGTTCTTCAAAGGGCCTTACCGCCTGAGACGGAAATCCGTGAGGTAAGGTGAGGTGCGACATTTTGAGGGTCTACCTTTTCTAATCCCTTTCATTCCTTGTAAAAAGGCAGCATCGCTGTAGATGCTGGTTGTCCGAGGGAAACACCTTATTGCTGTCACACCCCTCTACAGTCGGCAGTACGACTTTGGCCCTCAGACCTTGAGTTTCTGCTTTTAGTCTTACCGTTCTCCAATCGACCTGCCTGGCATGGTAGAACCTGCAGGAACATATGTTCCAGCCAATATAGCTTGGTTGAATCATCATGATAGGCAATCCCGATCACCGCGTCAAGGTAGCAACTATGGTCGGGAAATCATCATTATAGTCCTCCAACCCGCACACATGAGGTTATTAGCATTTGTCCAATAGGGAAGCTCCACGTATGGACTCTGGAATATTCTTCAACAAGAAGGTTGGATGGAATATCTCCGGCTCTCTTTGAGCTTCCTAGAGCTTCCTCAAGTTAACCGATGGACTGTCTGCATAGCTTCTTCTATGATAATCGAGCATCAACAGGTGTTTTAAAAAAATCTTAAGATAAAGCTTAATCAATATTCTGTTAATAATATGATTGACATTAATTGGTGAATAACAAGCAAGTGGTCTAATAATTGATGACTTGCCACAAGACAAAAAAGTTTTAAGTTCGACTACTAAAGAGTTTCGTAATATCATGGAATAACTTTCTAGTGCAGTCAGTCAGTCAGTAACAACGTAGAACTTCGTACGTACGTACATCAGTTCGAGTTGCCACACCACATTAGCACAGAGATGCACTTGTCGATTCAAATCCCGTAGTGGTAGAGGTAATAAGAGTATAAGCAGTAATCGGGAAGATTAGGGTTTGGAGATGTTATTCAAAGAGTATAATACAGTGAAATAAATTTGGAAAGAGGAAAAAAGGGGACATGAAGAATTCAGAAGATTAGAATTTGGGAGAACACAGAGAGTGGATGCACCTGCAGTCTGGTGTCAAAAAAAGAAATTAATCCATAACAAACATCACATAGAAATGAATATCATAATAATAAGCAATTCAATATAATCTTCATTAAAAATCAACTTACCATTGGTGGCAATGCTGCTAAACATGAATTTAACAAATAAGAGTCTTCATTAAATAGTTTTAATAAATAGGTAACTAAGAAATCGACAGCTACATTAATTTCTGGTAATTGTATACGTGAAACAAGAATTCGACCAAGTGCTTTATTGTATAAATTCATAAAATCATTCGTTGTTATATAATTTGAAATATTTGGAATTTTTAGTAAATTACCACTCTGCAAGAATACACATATTTAAAGAGAGAGATTATAGATAAGTATAGTGTTGTGGAGATTATTAAGTTATTGATTGAGATCTTGAACCGACTGATGTTAGACCACCACTGAAAATCTGGAAGCACTGAACGGCCGTTTCGTCATATCGTGGAACTCTTCGGCAGCGCGCATCCACGTTCCCGCGCGCGAGATAGTAGGCTAAGCGTTCGCGAGTGAGACTGAAGGCCATGGGTCCGAATGCTCAAGCAGGACTAGTAAGGGTTTGATGTGAACAGAGAAACAAGAAGCCTTGACTTACTACGAAAGCTTTTTTTGGGGACGTTATCTTGTTTAATTTAAAGCTTGTCAAATAGAAACATTTAATTTTGTGCCTAATCTATTCTACAGACTATAAGCTTTCGTTTGATGTTCCAAAGCTACTGTAATTTAAACGTAATCTTTTGTACTCTGTCTTCTACGCTAATCCCTAGTTTTGAACATAATTGTATTTTCCTAACTGTCTGTGCGTTGTGGTTAGTCATCTATCTATTCATGTATATTTTTACACTAATTTGAATCGGGTACCAAATCGGAATCGGGAATAAGTCGAGTAGTGTTTCAGTTGATTTATCAGCCAATCAGATCCTTCTTAGTGCAGATTAAATGCTATCGACCAAGTTGCAATGTGGCCACTAGTCTAGATAACTCGATATTGCGTGTACTATGTTGAAATAAGATGATGGTTGGAGATAGTCAACAGGAAACCCTGGAGCTGGATTTCGTGCTATTTGGCACTCATCAGCAATATGTAACCGGTGCTCCCTGACAGATTCGATCCCATATTACTCAATTTCACAGTCAGAGACGTTACAACTAAGCTATTCGGGCCGCGACTGACCTCCTGTAAGACTGAGATGCATTTACAATTAATTGATAATTGGTTGATGATCAATGTCATGTATGTCAGGTCCTTCTTACTACAGATCGAATCCCATAGAATTATGATTCACAGTTGATGGTTGAGGCTAAGAATTAGATTTAAGATTTTCATCAGCTAAAATGCCAAAACGCTATTTAGCCAAATGGATGAATGAATTTCGCACCGAAATCCAAGACCTGTTATCCTAAATCTGATTATTTCATCCATAAATTGTAGTCTCGCACTACAAATTCATTAAATTAAACAGAACAAAAAAGGAATAGGAGAAAATAAACAGAAAAGCATATTTTTAATTAGTATGACACACCTGAATATGTTGTGCTGTAGTAAACATTGAAGTGATAATAGCTTGTTCCAAACTTTGATGCATGCATAAAAATAAACTCTTATGCTTTGAAAATAACAAATGTCTCTCTCTCATTATCTCACATCTACAGTTCTTGTTGTTGTCATGATGGAAACAATATTTCGACAGATCATATGAAGTTTCTTTTATATCACCAAGATCATGATGATATTGATTAAGCGTAGAAGGAGTAGTGCAAGCTTGATTCATATTTTGATCTACATCAATCTCTTCGCCCAAATCAACATGAAAACTTTGTATTCTTACAGGAACTGGAGAAATGGTTGTATTTTTGTGCTTGGATATTTCAGGCATTGAATTTAACTGATTCAGGATATTAATCATTTGTTCATCTCGATAAGCTACAACAGAGAGTTGAATGATACATTGCATTTTACAACATGTGGTTTAGAAGAATTCTGTTTGTTTGATAAATTGACCTACTAATATTTTTCTGAGAGTTAAAATGATTGATGTTAGATAACTAACATTCACTAAATCATTCGCACGGTGGTATGAAAAAAAATCTAGCTTCTGTCGATTCATTACAACTCCTAGTTGAGATCGTTGCGATAGTGCTTCAGAGGTCAGTTACGTTTCTAGTATAGTTTTATTTAACATTCTTTATAAAATTGAAAAAAAACCTCATGTAAAATCGATAGCAGAAATAATCATATACATTTCTTTAAGAATTTATCATTGAGTAAAAACGATAGCGGTAAACGCATATAATGCTCATTTCTTTCAAAGAATAATATACATTGTATGCAATTTAAGCATTAGCAATCTCTGCATCAGTAGGCCTCAACATACACAAGGAGAAAACCAAGATCCTGAAATATAAAACAACCACTCTTGATGGCGAAACTCTATAAGATGTAGAATCCTCCACGTACCTAGGAAGCATCATCGATGAACAAGAAGTATCAAATGCAGATGGAAAAGCAAGGGTCACATTCTTATAACTGAAGAACATATGGAACTCAAAACAACTGTCTGTCAACCAATATCAAAGTCACAATCTACAATAAGAATATCAATACACTCAGTACTACTGTACGAAGCTGAAACTTCGAGAACTACTACAACCATCATCAAGAAGGCACAAGTATTTATATATAGTTGTCTACGCAAAATACTCAACATACATTCACCGGATACCATCAGCAACTGTCTACTGTGGGAGAGAACAAACCACCTTCCAGATGAAGAAATTAGGAAAAGACGATGGAAATAGATAGGACATAAATTACGGCAATCACCGAACTGCATCATGAGACAAGCCCTAACATGGAATCCTGAATGGTAGCCGAAAAGTGGAAAGCCAGAGAAAACATTACGTCAGGAAATAGATTCAGATATGAAAAGGATGAATAACAACTGGAAAGAGTTGGAAAGGATTGCTCACGACAAGGTTGGATGAAGTGTGCTGGTGGGTGGTCTATGCTCCTCCACGAGGAGTAACAGGCGTAAGTAAGTAAGTAAGCAATTCAAGCATAGACCTACACACACGCACAACCAGGTAAATGTAAGATCTTCAGAAAACACTATTTGTAACTCTCTAACGATAAAAAAACGGGTTTTCTATAACGGTATGAATATATATTTCTATGCCGTTGTTTTTATTCACAGTCAAAAGAACCTGTAAAATACTTCAACAGATTTATTAATTAACAGTTAAAATAAAGTTTCAAAACATGAACTCATTTCAATCAGATAATCATGAGACCAAACACCGATGTGTAGACCAGAAAAATGTCTAGTGGTATTTGTCATTTTGTTTTAAAAATGACAGTCAATATTTAACGCAAAACAACATTTGATGGTATTTAATTCATTTTTATTTCGTATTCGTTGTTTGAATCATCCCATCGATGTTTGAAATTGTACAAACCAGTGCCTATCAGGACTCGGTAGCTAAGTGGATAACGTGATAGCGGACGGCACCGGATTCGAGTTCTGGAGTGAATATCAACACTGGGATACACATACATCCAGTTGACAAGTCTGAGGTAGCAGAAGGAATGGGAACAGAAAGCAATTGATATGGAAATACAGGAACAATGAAGTCTAAGACAATTATTGAACACTTTGCAAATGAAGTATTTACTATATGGTTCTTAGACATTCTGTAAATTTGTGTTCAAATACATTTGATTATGGCCCCATTTGTGTTCTCGTTCACTATACTACTATTATGAATAACAATAAGTAGCTATTGAATAAATCATGAACTAATCGTATCAAAAACAGTTTAGCTAACCAAAAAAATGAACAATAATTATGGGTAAACATACGTGAATAAATCAGTACATTTACAGTACAATTTAATATCCATACTAAATGATTATAATGTAATTTTAAATTTTCACAAAGATACTTAACATTCCCATCTTCAGTAGCTGTTTGTATATCATCTGTAGTAATGAAAAACAGAGAGAGAGAGGAAGGGAAAGAAAAACCCAAATACAATGAAACATTGAAAATCGGTACAATCATCCAGATTATATCACAAAGTGGTCATACCTAGACGAGCATTGAAAACCTGGAAGCAATAGTAACTCATTTCGTTTTAGTATGAGGCTTTCTATTAGTGTACATTTAAGACTACGCATCTGGGAATCGAACTTACGAATATGAATTAAGGTATGAAAAACTCACAATCTCGACAAATCCCTCAATACCAATAATAATTATTTCTAACTAACAGTTTCATTTAGGGTGAAATTCTTGGAGTTTTAATGAGAAACAGTAAAAATGACCATGCTATTCACTGCAGGGAGTGAGTGGGTGGGTGTTGCACATTGTTATCAGTTGATTGAAGGTAAAGATGTATGCGATTTGATTTCGGTACAAGAACAAGAATCCTAGCTTCGAACCTCGGACACAAGGTCGTAAATACACATTGTTGGAGTCCTATACCAGGACGAAAACGACCACCTAATGGTTCCAGGTTTTATATGGCACTTTAACCAATATCAGTTTTTTTAATTTAAGTTATGAATTACTTAAACTGTAACGACTGAAAGTACCAATCGAGAAAACACCACGCTGCATAGCTGGTCGTTACTAAGAGAATTAAACTCACATTCCTAAATAGGACTCAATATCACATATTGTTACATTATATTCGGACGAATTTACCAAATAACATACGTGCATGTGTACAAATGTTTATCGAGAAAAGAAATCGAAGAATTTATTCAAGGGTGATGAAATACTTAATGAAATGAATTTATGAAAACTTAGAGTCAGATACAATAAACACAGGCAACATAGATGCATAGTTGAAACAAGACATTGGATTAATCTTGAAACAATATTTAAAACTTTGTATGGGAAAAGCCGAGAACGGATTCTTAGGTTAACGGAAGCCTAAGCCACTAGAAAATTTAAACATCTTTAGTGTTCAGACTTTAAATTTGCTCTGATAACGTTTAATGGATAAGATTTACATTCATGGAATCACAGTCCATTTGAATTTCAATATTTATAAGGTATGGAATATCTATCACTTTTTTTTCCGTTCACTTGGTAAGTGAATGCTACGTATTAAACGAATTCATTTTCATTATTTTAATTGAAGCTCTTTTCATTCAAGAAGTATGAATACATTAACTTTTTGTGTTCATAGAAGATCTATGAAGATGATTCAAGTGAAATTTCTAGTGAAAATTATACTCAATGAATGGAAGTGTTGGAAAAACCTAGATATTTCACTTTAATTGAACAATGAATAAAGGTTGGTTATTCTCATATATATATATGATCAGTGTGCTTATAACTATATGATAGTGATGGAGTTTTGTTCTCTGAGCTGGATGGTTTGGTTGTGGAGTTTCCATCGTTCATCTGAATAAAATCATCAGCACAAACTTCAGATAGAAATGAAGTGTTCGAATTTCTTCACATGTGGTTCACAGTTTGTCCGGTACAACTCAATGTGGATTGGTTCTTGTTGACCTTAAACTTGTCATTGTTTACTTCTTTGTTTTGGTTGTATTTCATATTGGATTGATTTTTGTTTCTATGTTTGTGCATAAATTTCCTGAATACTTGATATATTGGATCGATTTTAATGTGCTTGTTGATTGTTGATGAAAGCTCCATGACCAAACCATCCAGCTCAGAGAACAAAACTCCATCGAAATCATCCACCTGAGCTACAAATCTTCTCCACCATCTCAAAAACTATATGATTGTTGTAACTTGTGTTTTTTATGTTATATTCTCTTCTTTTGGTGGAGTTTTGTTCTCTGAGCTGGATGGTTTGGTTGTGGAGCTTTCATCGTTCTTCTGAACGGCATCATCAGCACAAACTTCAGATAGAAGTGAAGTGTTCAAATTTCTCCATATGTGTTTCACGGCTTGTTCTGTGCACCTCTCTTTTGTATTCTATTCTCTATTTAGGTTCCTTTGATATTTTATTTAACTGATCTTCATTAGTTTCGATATAAAATCACATGATAAGTAAATGTGTGACCAGGTTGTTCGAGATAAATCTCACATTTTGTAGATCAAGTCTGTCACGTCATTAAACTATTGAAAAAGTATAAATTATTATTATTATCATTTTACAGACACCACAACCAAAAATCATTCACCTCTTTTTACAGTTTAAATTAACAGTCAATAAATTGATGACCTGAAGTCATATGGTGAGGGATACTTGGTGACTGGATTGATGTAAAATATGCTCTAAATAAATCAGTCGATGAAGATTCACGGACACATAAGATGAATCGAAACCTCTATCCGGTATAATTTACATCACTGTCATATTTCAACGACTTTGTCATATAGTTATTTCTTTACGCCTCTTGCCCTTCGTGATACATAGACCGTCGATCAGGAATTATCGACCCATTATATGATGGGTTCCCTTTCCAAATTGTTGATAAGTGCTATTAATTATTCCGATGTCTTCCTTCAATTCCCGACGCAATGAATCTTTTGGTCTTCCTCTTTCCTTTTAACCTTTAACAGCCTGTCTTGTGGTTCAGTTTTGATGATTCCCGTAATGTGTATCCTATCCGCCTCCAGTGTCGTTTGCTAATCTCCAATTCAGCTGGAAGCTGATATGTTTTCTGCCAGAATGCGTTGTTTCTGATAGTTTCTGGCCAACAGATGTTCATTATTTTACGTAAACAACTGTTTACAAATACATGCATCTTCTTGAAATATCGGTTATGCAAATGTCGAGCTATCTACAGTGTACTACTACAATCAATCACTAACTGGATAAACTAGAATATAAATATAGTATTCACATGTACAAACTCTAATTCACATTTTATTGTAAAGTACCGGTGTCGATTCAAATATTTAAAAAACTTTCCCCTGGATAGACTCACTTTCTTGTTGTTTACCTATATTTTGTTGACTAAAGGCTACTGATTTGTTAAGTTCTTCTCCAATTCGATCTAACTGACTAATTGAAGTTTCTAAAAGACTATGTAAAACTCGACGAACAAGACATCGACTAACTGGTCCAGGATTCAACTGTACTTCTGAAGTTGAGAATAAAATGAAAGAGAAAAATGATAATATGAAATTATTATGACCATCCAATAATCTTCAAGTAATACCTCACTGTATATTGTTAAATATTTAGGTTAAAAGCATTCTATAATGCATCAAATATATAGAATAAATTCATTACAAATCTTAATTCATTTCTAGACAGAAATTGAACTTAAGAGGAAGGAATCTGCAGAATGAAAGGTATAAAATAACTGTGAAACCTAAGATTTAAGACAACATAAGATGTGAGTGCATCTGCAGGATTCAAACCATCTCTAATCAATGTAATACAACGCACCAAAAAACACAAACTAGATGGTCTATTCCTACGACATAGCTTAGGACAGCAGTTAATTACTTTATAGAATGATTTTATTCAGTGGTTTGATCATTCCTAGATTTCTTACAACGTATTCCTCTGCCACATAACGTTACACGTCGTGATAGATGGTATTTAGCATTACGTAATAAATGTATTAACTACATTAATAAGTGAAGATCTACAACTTGATCAAGTGCTAGAGTTGAAGCTATCACAAGTTCACTTAATCTGCGAACGAGAAACAAGACTCGGTGACCAAAGACCAGTAAGCTAGCTATTGATGCATCCCAGCCCTCCTAACTAGAAGGAGAAATCAAAGCCTGGAATGGGGAAGTATATTCTGCAAACAGCCAGAAACGAGCGATAACAATAAACACAATTTAAAACGTATATATACGCAACAGACCAATAGCATTTAAGATATTTCCCAGTGGGAAATACGACATTAAGGTGACAAGAGCGCCTTTGGCGCGAAAACAAAGAAATTCAAAATTTTTAAATAAAATTACAAAATTAGGTCGTTACCCAAGTCAGTTCTGGGGATCTAACGTCCCCGACGTAAAGTGAGTTAGAAATTTTACCAAGTACTTTATATTTAACCTTAGTATGGTAGACCAAAAACAGATATCATCACAGTGGTTTTGAGGAAATTCGAAAAATGTATTCGAAGGCATCAATGATCCAACACTAGTAATGTCAGTCAGTCAGTCAGTAACAACGTAGAACTTCGTGCGTACGTACGTACGTATATCAGTTCGAGTTCCCATACCACATTAGCACAGAGATGCGGTTGTCCATTCAAATCCCGTAGTGATAAAGGTAGTAAAAGTATAAAAAGTAATCTGAAAGATTGGGGTTCGAGGATGTTATTCAACGAGTATAATCCAGTGAAATAAATTTGGAAAGAGAAAAAAAGAGACAAGGAGGATTCAGGTGATTAGAATTTGGGAGAACAAAAACAGTGGATGCACCTACACCATTGCAAACGATGTTGAGCCATGTTATTCAAGGTCTCTAACCATCGGTTTCTATCATCTCGCGGTCGCCAACCAGGTAGTCTACACCAACCAACATGACTCACTCTGTGCACTTGTCAGTGACTTCACGGATTTGTGCCATGTTCTGGTGTGGTCGCCCCTAGCTTTCTTCCAACCTACTCCTACACCATAAAACATTGCACGTCGAGGCAGTCGGTGGTTGGGCATACGTAACATGTGTCCCAGTCATCTCAACTGATGAAGTTTCACTACTTCATCAATTCATTTACCATTTTTACCAAGTATCCGTTTCCTAACGACTGCATTACTTACTTGCTGGTCCCAGGATATACAAACGATACTTCTGAGACACATATGATCGAATACTAACAACCTACGAATATTCTCTACTCTTACCGGCCATGTTTCACTGCAATAAAGTAAGACGGAACGAACTGCTGCACAGTAAACACGTCCTTTGGTTGATAGACGGATATCTCACCTACGCCATAAATGACGCAAGTTGGCAAAAGCTAGTCGAGCCTTCTGTATCCGTGCTGAGATTTCGTCACACACTAAACCACAAGGGCTGATGAGACTTCCAAGATAAGTGAAGCGGTCGACACACTCAACTACTTCACTCCCTATCATTAGTTCGGGTGTCAATGCAACCCAATCCTGAATCAACATTTTGCATTTTGAGGTGGAGAATCGCATCCCAACACTAGTAATGTACTAATATTCTCTATTTTTAAACGATTATATTTCATAGTCATAGAACAAAACAGCAATCCAGCAATAATAACGACAGTGATAATATCTAATAGTAACTTACCTGATTCCAAATTTACAACATAAACATCATAATCTTCATTATTCAATTCAGGTTTCATTGAAATTAAATATTGTAGAAAAGTTCTTATCAATTGAAATCGTAATGATGTATCCAAGGAATAATGAAATACAGGAAAAGATGAAGGAATTAATTCATTACTGAATTTTTCATCGATTATCATCCAATTAATTACACGACCAATTAAACGATTTAAACTAGTAAAAATAGGCATTAAGAGAGATGGAATAATAGACATTGGTGGTCTATTAGTGTTATGATAATCATTATTATGCATATGTAATAATGAATTAGCTTCATGAATGCCAAATTCCAATAACCAAGCCATATTGTATAATACTGGTAATAAATTAGATTTGATAGCTGAACTAAGAACACAATTATCTGAATCCTATGTGAAATTCAAAAAGAAAATGGAGAATGAATTTGACCACTTTTGTTAACAAGATGATACTGTAATAGAAAGACTGAATATAATTTTTATTTATAAAGCTACGAATGTAGATAGTATAACTCGAAATTTTTATCTTTATGATCTGAGAGGCTTGATGTGTTGAGAGAATCATTTAATAGTTTCATGGGGAATCATCATTATTTAAATGAATAATGAAAAACTGTCCAGAATCCACACCTGGAATAGATTGTTTTCTTTTTTGAGGAACAGTCATCGAGCTTTCACCTAAAAGTGTGATCAGATAACCCGTGAACAATATACATACCTATGCCATTCTTTGCCTTGGGAAACTGAAACCCAAATGTACTATTACTTTGCAAACTGCCCTAGTTGGCTTCTATATCATCATTAACAATGGTTACGAACCGAACAATACAATTTGACACTTCAATTTGCGCCAAGTAGAGGTAACAATTTAAAGAAGAGAATATAAAGACGCAGCGATAGATAAACTACTGAGTGAATACAGAAGGGAATTGCAAAAACCTATAAACTAAACTTTAGTACTATATAACGACCTATTTATATATTTGGAAGATTATTGAATAGATCCATTTGTGTAAGGAAAGGTTTACTAGGTAAGGATGCAAATCCATTAATGAAGTAGTGAAACTTCATCAGTTGAGATGACTGGGACATGTGTTACGTATACCCAACCACCGACTGCCTCGACGTGCGATGTTCAATGGTATAGGAGTAGGTTGCAAGAAAGCTAGGAGCGACCTCACCAAAACATGGCACAAATCCATGAAGTCACTGACAAGTGCACAGAGTGAGTCATGTTGGTTGGTGTAAACTACCTGGTTGGGGACTGTGAGATGATAGAAACCGATGGTTAGAGACCTTGAATAACATGGCCCAACATCGTTTGCAATGGTGTAGGTGCATCCACTGTTTGTGTTCTCCCAAATTCTAATCACCTGAATCCTCCTTGTCTCTTTTTTTCTCTTTCCAAATTTATTTCACTGGATTATACTCGTTGAATAACATCCTCGAACCCCAATCTTTCAGATTACTTTTTATACTTTTACTACCTTTATCACCACGGGATTTGAATGGACAACTGCATCTCTGTGCTAATGTGGTATGGGAACTCGAACTGATATACGTACGTACGTACGTACGTACGAAGTTCTACGTTGTGATTGACTGACAGACTGATTCATGAATATTCAGCATAAATTGTAATCAAATGAATACATAATAATTCAAAAAACAAACAAACAAACATATACATAAACTAACCTGTAATAAAATAATGAAAGCATCTAAACCATAAGTACATAACTCAATTTCTGGTGTACTGGTTTCATCATCAATATCATTATCATCATTATTGATAGTAGCCGTAGAAGAACTACAATGATTTCCTTTGTGATGATCATCTTTATCATCTTTGTGATCAGATTTTAACTTTGTATGATTAATTAGTTTTAATTTAACAATACAGCTTATTAATGCATCAATGAAACTACCAATCAATGTTGAAAATAACACTGGAAATGTAGATAATAGATAATATTTATGAAAATTAGGATTATTACAACGGTTGTTATTATTATTACTATTAGTAGTAGTAGTAGTGGTAGTAGTGGCAGTAGCAGTACTAGTAGTAGTAGAAGTGGTAGTAGCAGTAGTAGTAGTGGTAGTAGTAGCTGTAATGGTAGTAGTGGTAGTAGCATTTTTATTAGCTGGCAATTGATCATATCTCCCATTACTGACATTTGAATTATTATTTGCATTGTTGATGATATTTTCAAATTCGACAGAGATAATAGGATGGTGATGATGACACTGATGATGAGCATGATGAATGTAAGTTGGTTCAGAGATAAATCCAGTTACATCATGCGAAGAAGATTCTAATAAACAATTAGTTTTCTATGATTGTAAGCAAAAAGAAAAAAATAATAACGTAAAGAAATAAACTGACAATAGATAAATAGATCTTTTTATAGACGGTATTGATATCGACAAAATGGAAAACTGCCTGGATTCGGTAATATGCAATATTATATCCCGACAAAATGGTTTAATGAAAATACACTAGCATCAAAACTTAAAAGCCTTACATTCGATCCTGGGTGGGATTGTATAGAGCACTGATGAAGAGTATCAATTTAGGATTAAACAGTTTTTCAATGGTCTTTGTTTTTCGGCAGTAATATATGGGAGATCCGTTTCTATGCTATAAAATATCATCATTAAGTAAGAAAATCTAACCGGAGTTGATGATAATTCAAATCCTAAAAAAGATTACTTATCATAGTTATCTAGAACCCTACATCAAACTTCAAAATAATTCACTTTGAAACATCAATATATATTCGAAAAAAAGCCTCAAAGAAATCTATGAACACTTGCGGGAATCAGAAAGAATCTCGGCAAAACTATGAGTTGTGAACGAACCAATCAGATTTACAAATAAAGATCATGAATTTGGGCGCAAATTTAATTTGTCTATTTGGCTAAGTAGAATTTTGGTGTTAAAGGTGATGTCAGTTCATGATGAAAACCCTAAATCTAATTCCTAACCCTAACTATCAAATGTAAACTTACTTACTTACGATCGTTACTCCTCGTGAAGGAGCATAGGCCACCCACCAGCACTCTTCATCCAACCCTGTCCTGGGCAATCCTTCACAACTCTTTTCAGTTGTTATCCATCCTTTTCATATCTGAATCTATTTCCTGACGTTTTCTCTGGCTTTCCACTTTTCGGCTACCATTCAGGATTCCATGTTATGGGTTGTCTCATGATGCATTCTGATGATTTGCGTAATGTATGTCCTATCCACTTTCAATGTCTTTTCCTAATTTCCTCTTCAACTGGGAGGTGATTTATTCTCTCCCACAATAGACTGTTGCTGATGGTATTCGGTGAATGTATGTTGAGTATTTTGCGTAGAAAAATATTTATAAATACTTGTACCTTCTTGATGATGGTTGTAGTAGTTCTAAAATTTTCAGCTCCGTACAGTAGAGGTGACTGTGTTGATGTTCGTATTGAAGATTGTGACTTTGATATTGGTTGACAGACAGTTGTTTTGAGTTTCATATGTTCTTCAATTGTAGGAATGCTGTCCTTGGTTTTCCAATCCTCGCTTTTACATTTGCATCAAATCCTCCTTGTTCATCGATGATGCTTCCTAGATACGTGAAAGATTCCACAATTTTCGCCTGTAAATAATAATCTTAATTCCTCACAGTGGTTTATAGTACTGAATTGATCATAATATGTACATGGATATTTACCAGAGCAAAACATGGCACAAGTCCATGAAGTCACTGACAAGTGCACAGAGTGAGTCATGTTGGTAGGTGTAGACTACCTGGTTGGCGACCGCGAGATGATAGAAAGCGATGGTTAGAGACCTTGAATGACATGGCTCAACATCGTTTGCAATGGTGTAGGTGCATCCACTGTTTTTGTTCTCCCAAATTCTAATCACCTGAATCCTCCTTGTCTCTTTTTCCTCTTTCCAAATTTATTTCACTGGATTACAGTCCTTGAATAACGTCTTCAAATCGTAATCTTTCCGATTACTGCTTATACTCTTACCGCCTCTACCACTACGGGATTTGAATGGACAACTGCATCTCTGTGCTAATGTGGTATGGGAACTCGAACTGATGTACGTACGTACGTACGTACGAAGTTCTACGTTGTTACTAAGTGACTGTAAATGGAGATTCTCATGATCTTTTTGTTATCATCTCTCTTCAAAATTGTTCATAAATGATAATCTTATCAATACACATATATACACCATAAATCTTACCTGAAAATATTCATTCATTATTATTATTTCATTAGAATTCATGAATGAAAATGTCTCTAATCCATGTAAAATTAAACCGAATGAACGATTTAATAATTTTTTAGAACATAAATGACGATTAGAATAATAAGTTTTAAGATCAATATCTGAATTACAATTTGTTATACATAGAAATGGTAATGTGGGTAATAATAATCCTATAGCAAATGAACGTATTCTTGATAATTGATATGGTATAATTCTATGCAATTGTGTAGTATTAGTAGTATTATTAGTAGTATTAGTAGTTGGATGATGATCATGATGATGATGATGATGATGATGATGATGTAATGTTGTTACAGGAATAGACCAATCAAAGTAAATAGATTGACTGAAATTTGTTGATAATTGTTCATATTTTTTTATCCATTTATTAGCTTCAAAATGTAACCAAACACAGTAACCTGTAAGAGCCTTTAATGAGAAGATAAAATAATTAACAGTGAACAGATACATGAATAAAATTTTTGAATTCATGAATCAATTGCAGCTAGACTATCATGGAAAATCTGGCAGTATTGATCGGCCGTTTCGTCCTATTGTGGGACTCCTTAATAATGAGCGATTGTGCATATGCTCATTAGTGACTGGCTTCAAGATGTATATTCTGGAGTTCTAGTGAGAAGCAGTGAATAGTGGAGTTCAATCAGGTCTGTTGTGAGTCAGTGACTCATTGAAGACAATGGTGACGGTGGCGCAACTCCGTGGATTGGTTGAAGTTAGACATTAACATCGTTGAACGCCGGCCAGCTCAGTGGTCTAATGGTTAAGCGCTCGCGCGCAAGATTGATAGGTCCTGGGTTCGAATCTCGCGAGGCGAAATCGTGGATGAGCACTACTCAGGAGACCCGTACTAGGACAAAACAGCTGTCCAGTGCTTCCGGATATTTTATGGTGGTCTAGCTTCCGTTGAAACATGAATTCAACTATTAAATTAATGTAATATCCACGAATCCCCTCTCAGATATATATATTTTGCATTATCTCTTATCCAAATTAGTGAACACTTCTAAATGTCATATGTGCTGTATGCATTTTGGTATACTTTAAAACTGACAACTAAAAGGCTATTATGCATAGGAGTATGGTTAACTACTACGTACACTGATTTGAGATTAGGATCCAAAATGAATTTTAAACCGATTAGAGTTGTTCTACCTTTCTTCCCTTTCAATTAATGGGTATCCATGAACATATGAAAACTTTTAAGCTCAAAAGGAATATGATGATGGCATTAGTGCGATGTTAAAGCGTATGTATAGAATCAAGTGACTTCATCTTTCACTAACGGAAAGTTTGGTTGCATATAATATATCCACGATAGCTATTTAACGCTTTCAACTCAAAGATACACTAATGAATTCTCCCCTGAGTAGACAGCATAATGTAAATAATTCAAGAAATTTCATTAGATGCTTCCAACAACTTAACATATAAACATCGTGTGAGTAGAATTGTGATCCTAAAAATAACGACCACATTGTAACTTTGTCGATATAGTTCAATCAGATACGAAATTAATTAGTATATTTCATTCTTAAAGAAATCCAATCACAGAATAGAAAACTCTGATTGTGTTCCAACCAGTTTAGCTGAATTCAGTCATAGTGATAGTGTGGTGTGTGCTACTTATATTGATATAAGTAGTATATGTCGCGAGTTAAAACGTAATATCTGGCAGCAGATGAGGTGAAGATCAAGAAAGGAAGAGCTAGAGCACAATGGAATATGTAAGAAAACGCATGTACAATGGATTAGTGTTTGCAACGGAAACAGTCCAGTTTGATATGATGCATTGGTATTTTGCAAATTGACGATTGACTTTATGGTATTCAGATTTTATTGAGATAGTCTGTAATTTTTGTGCTAAGTACATTCGATTGTCCCCACTCATGTTCTTGTTCACTACAATAGGTGAGCCAGACTATCACTTAAAAGCACCAGATTTGGTGGTGATAAATCAACATTTATAAATATAATGAAAATAAAATTATTCATAATCAAAGTACATTTGTTTACAACTGGCTTTGAGCAATACTGTTCAAGCAAAATTTTTGATACCCATACAACGGCGAGACTATAATTTATGGACGAACCAATCACGTATAAGATAACAGGTCTTGGATTTTGGCGCGAAATTCATTCATCCATTTGGTTGAATAGATTTTCGGCATTACAACTGATGTCGATTCGTGATGAAAACCCGAAATCTAATTCCTAACCTTAACGATCAACTGCAAATCCTAATTTTAATTCCCTACACAGGTTTATAACCATCATTTGGTCTTAGTTATTAGGTGAACACTCTCAAGGTCAGTATAGGGGCGCTCAAATGTCGTTCATAAATTATAGTCTCACTCATGCAACTTCTATAACTGATGTAGAACAAATTGAAACTTAAGTGTCACAGTTCCACAATGAATTCTCATTATTACGATATAAAATAATACAACAAATACTTACACATTCACGTTGAGATAAATATGGATGTCGTATTAAACTATAAATCAACCATAAAGGTGGTCGAATTGAAGTAGAACAATGTGATGCAATTAATGAATTACTATTAACATGATCCAATAATAACGGATAAGTTGATTTCAATTTATATAGATTCCAATCATTTGAATGTGAAATATTTTTTGTGAAAACATGAATAAATCCTTCATGTTTATCCCCCTGCTCCGCCTCCTCGTCGTTGTCGTCGACGTCGTCCTTCTCCTCCTTCTTCTCTCCATCCATCTCATTATTGTTATTGAATTTGATTATATTTCGTTTCAGCTTATCTTTGAAATAAACATTTGATAATAATTCAATTGGAAAATGTCTATACCAAACATGATCTAAACAATGAATTAAATGTTTAGAAAATATACTATTTTGTTCAATACGTAATTGAACACAATTTAATATATATTTATTAGTAGTATAATCAGTTTCAATGAAATTATTTAATTCTTCTTGAATATGTTTTGTAGGAATAGATTCATTATCTATAATGTAAAGAAAGAAAAAAAGAAAAGAAAAATAGAATAGGATGAAAAGATTAGTAAAACAACGTCAGGACAAGAGAAGATTTTGTAGAACAATCAAAACATTTCGAGTGATCTACCATATACCTTTATGATTTTCGAAAAGAGTTCGATCCCGTCTCCTATATACAGATGAAGCCATAAGAATTTATATATTTAACCCCAATTTATGTGTATAGAAGAAATTCGTGACCACCTCCTCCCAATCCCTTTCATGGCCGGATATAACTTAAACGCCCTTTTTTAATGATTATTATTTTCAATAGTTGAAATCATGAGTCAATTGAAGATAGAGCACAATGAAAAACCTGGAAGCACTGGATGACCGTCTCATCCTTATGCTGATAGGTCCTGGGTTCGAATTTCGTGGGGGCGGGATAGTGGATGTGCACTGCTGAGGAGCCCCATACTAGGACAAAACGACCGTCCAGTTCTTTCAGGTTTTCCATGGTAGTCTAGCTTCACATCCTGTATTTGCTTGCTCTTTTCGTTTGTATTCTTCATTATCTAATTATTTACACACTACTTATTACGTAATGATTTCAATGTTATGTCATAATCAAAACATAAAGTCAATTATTTCTATTTTGACATTTATGTGTCCCTTCAATTGATGAAAAGTCACAAAACGGAATGATAAGTTAATTGTATTCTGAAAATCTCAATGTTCTTTTCACTATTCAACATTTAAGACCAAAGAGAATTGAATTTTTTATGAACGAAACTAGGCTAGAAGTGTTTTTCTCAATATCTACAATTGATTGATTGATGAGTAGTTATCGGTATCATGTTAGTTGTCACGGTACCATGGAATTAAGTTTCGTGTGAGCTGGTACTCATCAGCAAGAAATCCTTGTAAACCTAAGTGAATTCATGCACTTTTCAGAACGTTAAAGCTCAACATCCAGCTTCACAGTGTTAAAAGTTATCACTAAGTTATTCAGATAATCACTGACTTCCTGTAGGACTAAGCTATTTACAATCAATTATACAGTGACAGTAGTGATTTGCTTAGAATTATGAAATCATTTATCAATACTATATTCTCCTCATATTTCAAATATTATTCTTTTTAGTATATTTAGCATGCAGTTAGCAATAGAGTACAAAATTTGTGTTTCATTTTAATTAGGACTCATTAGTTGAATATTCCTGCTTCCCATTACCTTTCACTCTAAACATACAATACATCCTACATTGAGGTAATGAGTTGAAATAACCGATAAGTTATTTAACCAATCACACACAAACTTGTTACACTACCCAGTATCAAGGTAATTAGCTTAGAATTCATGAATATTAATAGAGATTGATTCATAGTTATTAAATGATTAATAAATTATAAATGAATAATTAAAGATAAACAATCAAAACTAACTAACCTTCACATATATGATATACATCCTTTTCTACATTTATTAGATCAACACTACTAACCGGTAAAGATGATATACTTACACCGGAATCTGATATAACCATTGGATACTTTATAGATTCAATCATGTTCAATTGATATCCTTCATTACTTGACAATTGTTCTTTTTGTTGATATTGTTGTTTCGATGTAGATGATGATAATGATGACAATGATTGACAGTGATTAGATTGAATTTCTGCTGTTTGAATTTGATTCTCTTCAGTATTAATTAAATTTTGTGTTTGTATTCGAGTTATATCATATGATGTAGAAGAATCAATTAAAAGTTTAGATGAATTTTTTTCAAATGAAGTTTGATTAACTTAAACAAACGAAAGAAAAGATTATAATACCAAGTTTATTATTTGAAATATATGCAAAAGTGAATATTTAGTAGAGATAATACAATCTAAAAGGATTTCGTGGAGATTTAAGTAATTTTATAAGTGAATTCATGAAAAATCTGGAAGTAATGGACAGTCGTTTCGTCCTAGTACGGGACCCAGTCTGTTGTGAGATAGTAATTCACTGATAACGATGGTGGACGGTGGCGCAATTTCGTGGATTGGTTGAAGTTAAACATTAACATCGTTGGATGCTGGCCAGCTCAGTGGTCTAGAGGCTAAGTGTTCGCACGCGAGAATGATAGGTTCTGGGTTCAAATCTCGTGAGGCGAAATCGTGGATGCGCACTACTGAGGAGTCCTATACTAGGACGAAACAGCCGTCCAGTGATTCCAGGTATTCCATGGTGGTCTAGCTTCAATTGACTCATGAATTCAACCATAAAATAACACAATCTGTTAAACTAAAGTTATTCGAGTATTTTTCAATGTTCAATAACTTTGCAGAATTCGGTATCTTTAGATATGTTCCGTTCATTTAGTAGGTGAATACTAAATTTGGGAGTACAATTTTCACTGAACATTTCATATACATATATATATATATATATATATATATATATATACATCTGCTATGAACAAGTCAGTTTAGTGCATCTAAACACACAAAAATATACTGAAAATTAAGATTGTAAGTGAAACCTTCAGCAATAATTACACTCTTTTATGCACTACTACTCATTCACAAAAAAAAACAGAAAAGTGTCCAAAAGTGAAGGATACAGTACACTTAAGAAAACGACGAGAAAAGCCTGAATAATCACAATCATTTGTTCCTACCATTCACTAGAGTTCGATAGTGAATGAAAAATATAATTGTGGTGGTAATGACAAAATAGAATGGTGGTCGATGAAAATAATAACTAATGTCTACGTACGATAGCGAATTATTATTGACACAAGCCCTTAAAGACAAGACAACTAGCAAAACGAACAGGTTCTTCTAAAATCTAATATGTTTCTTTAAGAATTATCAACTGAACAATAAATATGATTGGATATCATAAGTAACTAGATATTACAGTCTAATGACTATCAGGCTTGATTCGCACTCATTTCACAAAGTTTACTATTATAGAAACACTTAAATACAAGATACTGTCTGGAAATACCTAAAATCAAGATTTTTTGTTATTTTTAATCGATGAAGTAAAAATGTATGTAATGACAACTAAGATTTTTACTATCAGTCAGTCAGTTAGCTACAACGTGTGACCAGGCACATATATGCATCAGTCCAAGATGCCATATTTCATTAGCACAACAACATGAACACTGAATTCATAGCAGTAGTTAATTCAATGGCGGTAATATATAAAAGAAAGATTACTTATAAGAATATAGTACAGGAAGAAAGAATTAGCTCGTAGAAAGAAAGATATGAAGTGATTTTAATCTCATAGTTTGAGGGAAGACATAGAGTGTATACACCTACACCACTGTGATCGATTCTGAGGTATGTCGCCCACAGTCTCCAACCATTTGTTGCGGTAGTCACGCGAAACCCAACCAAGTAGTTTGCATCTATCAACATGGCTCAGTCAAGAAGTTAGTGACTTCTACTGTAATATGATTTGAATAAACTTATAAGACAATTTATTCTATCATCGGGTTAATCAACATAAATCATTCACTTGTTATTGTATTATATATACGTATTAGGCTGATCTAAAGTGTAATTAAATATTTGCATTCTAATTAGAAATACAACAAATTGCATTACAGAGCTATACATTATTGATTTAATTACGTTTCTAACTACATTTATTGTATGTCTGTTTCTTGTCTTAAACGGATTTGAAGTTGTTCTTTTTGTTATTTTTTCATACATAATGGAACACTTAAATGAACAATCTTGATGTTTGTATTTAAATGAACTTTGCACTACATAATAAATTAAAAAGTGGTAACTTTAGTATAGTAATTAATACATTCAAAATACATGTACGTGTGACTCAGTTGGTAAGTGTAAGACAGTCAATCAGCTACAACGTAGGACCGGGCATATATGTGCATTGATCAAAGTTACCATACCTGATTAACACAACAAGATGGACACCGGATTCATAGAAGTAGTTAATTCAATAGTGGTAATATATAAAAGAAAGATTGCAATAAGGATATAGTACAGGAAGAAAGATATGAAGCGATTTTAATCTCACAGTCTAAGGGACAATAGAGGGTGTATATATACACCTACGCTAACCGTTGTTGCTACCTTGACATGGTGGTCGGGCTTGCCTATCGTGTTGAACCAATCGAGCTAAACGGGCTGGAACAACCGTTTTTCACAAGGTTCTAAAATTACGAACAGGTCGGTTGAAGAGCGGTAAGACTAAAAGCAGCAAACCAAGGTCTGAGGGCGAAGTCGTACTACTGACTGTACAGAGGTGTGACGGCAGTCAAGTTTTTTCTACAGACAACCAGCATAACAGCGATGCTGCTTTCCTACAAGGAGGGGTGGGATTAGAAAAGGTCGAACCTTGAAATGCACACCTTGCCTTATCCCACGGATATCCGTTTGTGGCGGTAAGGTCTCAACAAGTACGGAGCTAACCTCCAGAAGAACCCTCCCACGGTGTGAGCAACCGGCCTCATACGTCTAACAGCACTCAAGACCACTGATGAATGTAAATTGGAATAAAACTAGTAACTTGACTGAAGAAAAAAACGAAATAAACATACGTTCACATTTGCCTTCAGTACTGTTATCACTATTATTTATCACTTTATTATGATTAAATGATAAGTATTCCCAAATTTTTAAACGTTCCGTATAATTTAAACACTTTCGTGTAATTTTATGCCAAAATAAATAATCATTATCTAATGTTGATAATGATATTTGTGATGTAGACATGGATAATGGTGATGTTGATGTTGACACTTTAGTTTCTAACTCATCATTATGTATAAATAATTGATGATCAATATTAATCTTATGATCGGGATCATCATCATCGTCATCATGATCGTTATTATAATCTGACATAGTATAAAATACTTGTTCAGCTGCAGATAAATACATATTAGCATCTAAATTAATAATTAAACGACATAAATTCAATAGACATAATCGTTTTGCACAATAAAATGAATGAATATAATCAGTATTATTATTATTATACAATGACTGTCTATGTATTGATTCCAAGGTTGCTCCAGTTTTACTCGGCCCATTTGTCACTACGGATAATGAAAGACGATTTATCAGACAATTCATCAATGAATTAATTGGCCACTGCTGTGTTATAAATCTCAAATGTTCATGATTCATTAATGTTCTTTGTATTGAATGATGATTATCATTTTCTAGGAACAATTCCTGTGAAAAAAAAATGAAGCGTAAACAAAACGAAAGAAATTTTGAGAAATTACAAGAACAACAAACAATACATTCAATCTTGATAGGAGCGACTATGTCCATTGGGGTTTTCAGTTGATCTATGATAATTGCGGGTTCAGATCCCGCCGTGAGTGTGAATTTGCCCCCAAATGCCCTGGTAAGGCAGAGAGTGGGGAAAGTTAGCCCTCTTCTCGAAGCGCTCTTACATGACCTAGTGCATACAAACACTACCAGGAAAGTCCTACTCACTGCCTTCTCGCGGCGATACTGTTGTTTACGAAACTGAAAGGATGAAAAACGAATAACCGATGCTTTAATGGGGTTGGTGGATACGGAGGATCTACCTAGAGGAGTAGGAAAACCCTGATTCCAAACTAATGGTGCACATGGGCTTCAATTTCTTGAAAGAATAAATGGCGTACAAAGCGATCGTTGATCACCGGCTAACATGAGAGATGGTGAGAATGCATCTCCTAACGTTGCTCCACTACCTTGTGGATTAAACCTTTAGGTTGAAGGCTCTGGAGGTGTCTCCCTAAGTAAACCACCTACTTCGGTTTTGAGCACCCGGGCAGTATCCCAGGCCTCACATAAACCGAATGATTTATGTGATGCATATCTTTTTGGTACCTCTTTGTAACGATATTAATGTGTTTAAATAAATAAATAAAAACGGCGTCTGGATATCGCTAGCACACGAACACGATAAAGTGGAAGAAAGACCAAATACTCAAGCTCAGTATATGTAGTAACAGAAACATGACATTGAGGTACACAATAAACCAATACTGAAAGTGGTAAAAACTAATCATTACAGAGTAAACATCGTTTTACAAAATTAACTAGAAAAATCCACACGACTTCCAAATTATTACCCAATTTTCTAATGTATAAGTCGAATTGATCTTCATAAAACAACCACTGAACAATAGGAAGCGGAGAATATCTATTTCATCCTAGTCTATAATTCCTCAAAACTGTTCACCTATCCTTCAAGGATAGTGAAACCTGAAGGTCTCATAATTCAAATGTTTAAGAATATTATACTAAGATGAAACAATGTCTTAATTTTTTAACGCTTGTCTTACAAACATTGACCTGAGATATAAATGACCAAATTCATCAATCTCTACAAACCATTAATAATAGTCACAAGAACCTCGGCGGCCTGCTTGATCATCTGGGCTACCTGTTCCTGCCATCTAGATATTTCAACAAGTTATCTATTTTTGTTTGTTTTAATAAATCATTATGTTTATTAATCGCACAACCTATTCTGCTGCATTTCTGAAAAGTGTACAACTTTTCGTTGTCAAAGTTACAAAAAACTCAATAAGAGACAATGTGGTTGCTGGCAATATACAACGGAAAGAATGCTCATTATTCAGATGTTCATTTACTGAACTGCTAACATTTAACTGGCGATTCCTCAATATTTATCGCCAGGACCGACCAAGAAGAAAGAAACGGAAACTTGTTGAAATACTTTACTCTGAGAATTCTATATTGTACCAAAAATATAATATTGAATAAAGCTGATAATAATAATAATATTATATTCAAATCAAACTAACTCGAAATCCAATCCACATTGCCATAATTAATTGCCATTTATCTAATATAGACAAATTATATAATTTGATAATGATTATAGTTGAATTAGACAATTCATTAATATTCATTAATAATTCAAATATTCCAGGTATTAAACCATAATTCAATAAAATTGATTTCTTTGATGATTTAGAAAGATCAGTTGAATTCTGAGTACCAAATCCAGATTGTTGTTGTTGTTGTTGTTTCAATGAAGGATACCAGAATGATTGTGAACCGAATAAGATAAGACAACGTAATAAACTTGGATTGATCAATAAATGTGCAATGGATGATGTATGGTTCATAGATTTTTTACATAAAATATTTACAGGAAATGTCAATATGATTTCATTTAGTAAAACCTATAAATGTAAAAAAAGATTATGTGAAGTCTGGGGATAAAAGATTAAAAATTAACAAAAAGAAATAATAAAATCGGAGGGGGGGTGGAGATTGTAGTGATTTTAGTAGCTGAAGCTATGAGTCGATCTAAGCTAAACCATTATTGAAAACTTGGAAGCAATCAACGGCCGTCTCTTCCTAGTATAGGAATCCTCAGTAGTACGCACCCACGATCGTGCATGCGGGACTCAACTATTAAAGTCACTACAATCTGATATTATTCGTCATATGTTCACTAGTGACTGGGTTCGAGACACATTTCCTGCAGTTCTAATGAGAATTCATGACCAGTGGAATCCAATCCGTGTCGAGTTGAGACAGGTATCTATCTCAGACAATGGATGAATAACTGTGCAAGATCATGGAGCGACTGAAGGTAGACATTACCACAGTCTGATGCCGGATCAGTGATCTAGAGGTTAAGTATTCGCGCACGAGGCCGAAGGTCCTGAGTTCGATAACCGCCTGGGGAATCATGAGTGCCGACTGCTTAGGAGTTCCATACAAAGACTGAACGGCCGTCCAGTGCTTCCAGGTTTTTAATGGTAGTCTAGCTAGAATCGACTCATGTATTCAGCGATTTAAAAATAACAAATAAACTGGTTAAGTAATCAATAAACTATTAAATAATGGTACAATAACAAAGGAATGAAAGTTTTATATCAGCTGCAGAAATAGATAAATGAACATGTTAAGCTTGACATCCGAAATTTGTCCATCTATATTGAAATGCATTTAGAAGTAAAATGAACTAATTAGGTTTATTATTTTGTTTCAACTTTTCAACGTTCAGAACTAGGATTAAAAAAGACAAATTAAGACTTTGTATTCTACATGAAACTAGAATAGCAATCAATGTATGTTACATTTGTGAACCATTTATCGAACATAAGTTCCCAGTAGAGCTTCAGGATGGATTCTCATTAATTAGTGTATAATTTTATTCGTGATATGTAATTTATGATGTTGTAAGTGTCAGTTATAACTGAACGTAGAGACTAATACAATTGTACGTCAACTCAAGTTGTCACGTTGTAGTGAAGGAGGACAAGTTGGTAACATAGAAAAAACATACTCTAATACTTAATTTGCGAAATGTTCATGAATTGTCCCGAATTTCATTGTTCCTGCATTTCCATACTAATTGCTTTCTATTCCCATTCTTCTCTTCTTGATCATCTCAATCTTCTGCTGCCAGACATTATATTCTTGACTCGAGTTATATACTACTTGTGTCAATATAAGTAGCACACACCATAACATCATATAAAAAAAACCCGCTGAAACTACTTACTTTCATAATTTCATATGATTTAGATGAGATCATATTAAATTCTGGATGTTTGAATAGACGAGCTAATAGACAATGTCCAAAACTTAATGGAACTGGTTTACAATTTAGCTGATTATTACAATTTTGAAATAACCATAGTTTTTTATGTCGTCTTTCCATTGAATTCTCTAAACCAGGATGTGATAATGCTGGTGCATAAAATTTTGCATACATTATACTAGAATGATGTAACATTGTAAAGAGTAATTTTAGTCCATATGAAATCAAATCAGAATTGTGTGATTGACAGACAAGCTGTATAGATAAAAGAGAATTGTAGTAAATATAATAATAATAATAATAATAATAAGTAATGGATATCGATTATAATTAATACTTTAGAGACATTGTCTCCATTCACAACCTTATGCTCAATGGTGACTACTTTCTAAATGGATTCCTTCCTACCGACACTTCTGTTGAGAATCATGATCTTGATTATGTCAGCAAAGTCTATATTAAGGCACTACATAAACGAAGACTTTGAATATGAACATTAAAAACCTTTAAGATTATAAAAACGTCTTTATAAAGTACGGTAATAAGTTTCATTATTATTACTATTACGTTATACATAATTTTCTACCGTTATTTATATCTTCAGTGTTACGGTTAGCACTATAATCTCGACCTATTTGTAACTTACCTAGAGTAAATTTCATTTCTCATTCTTATGGAAATTAGTTCGATAAACACCTACCATGTTGTCTACGTCGGACTGAATAAAAAATAGCCCATCAAAGTGTACCTCAGTTTAATTTACATACAGTGTGAACTTCAACATTGAGACAGAGATACGTTTAACTGATAAGTCCCAAGCAGGATTGAACAAACGTCCTTTATCCTAATACTAACCGATATACAATCGGTTCAAGTTATAATAGGCTTAGGATCCATATATCATAAGAAAGGTTGATCAAAATGTGTACCTGAATATCAACAAGCGATGGTAAATGTTTTTGATAGAGTTTTGTTCTCTGAGTTGAATGGTTCGGTTGTGGAGTTTCCATCGTTCTTCTGAACAAAATCGTCAGCACAAACTTCAGATAGAAATGAAGTGTTCGAATTTCTTCACATGTGGTTCACAGTTTGTCCGGTACAACTCAATGTGGATTGGTTCTTGTTGACCTTAAACTTGTCATTGTTTACTTCTTTGTTTTGGTTGTATCTCATATTGGTTTGATTTTTGTTTTAATGTTTGTGCATAATTTTTCTGAATGCTTGATAAATTGGATCGATTTCAATGTGCTTGTTGATTGTTGATGAAATCTCCATGACCAAACCATCCAGCTCAGAGAACAAAACTCCATCAAAATCATCCACTTGAGCTACAAATCTTCTCCACCATTATAAATGTTTGTCAAGTTATTATAAAGTACTGAAAAGTAATAATAATCCATTAACATAAAAATTTTAAAATCAGTTATATGGGGGATAAAATATATGGTAAAAATATTCCACAGAAACTTACTTCACCAAGAAGGCAAATTACCACTTCAATACCTCCATGGGGTTCAAAGACTGAATCAAAACTTTCTCGATAATAATAGTTAACATAGTGAGATATTGATTGATTGTTATCAGATGAATATATGCTCCTTAATAACCATAATCGCTTTTCAGACGAATGACGATAACTGATTGAATAAGAGGGTATAAAGAAAAGGGAATAAAGTCATAATCACTGGTAAGATCTAAACAATTAAATGAGAAGAAAATACATAGATATAGTTACATCTAGCAAACAATCATTCAAGACAGTTGAAATAAACTCGTTAGGACCCATGCTCTTAGGGTTTTCTATAATTTGATAAGAGTTAGAAGACCAGTTAATAGGTAGATAATAAGTAACTGGAAAGCATTCACAGACCAGTTGAATTGTTTTCAATAGGAATAAACATATACGTATACTTTTGAAGGTGAAACAAGAAATAAAAAACAATATTATTAAAAGTGAATCTCGTAAAGGTTAGTTAACGAAATAACTTCAGGAACCCATCTTGAAGTAATTCACAATTTTTTTGGACATAATTTATTATTGAATAAATTCCTGAAGTTTGACTAAAAACAGGCACGGTGAAGTAAAGCAGTACTCAGTGATGAAAGTGTAAGATCCTCATGCTTTATTATAGGTTGATTAAGGTTGAAAAGAAGAACTGTTGGATATGAGTCCAGTGGTTTAATGGTTGAGTGTTCGCTGTGACACCGAAATCTCAAGAGTTCAACCTCCAGTGAAGTCATAGATGAGCACTAGGGCGAACAATTTGTTCAGTGCTTCTAATTTTCAGTGATATCTCAACTGAGATCAATCATTTAAGAGCATTATATTACAAAAGCTTACCATCAAATTGAATGCCGGTGACTTTTCTCAGATCACTACTTAGTATTGTAGATCACGTTTTTACGACTAAACTTAACCATAAGACAATACCTACAGAAGATTTCTTTTTTGATTGAGATTATGAACCGATTGATGATAGCCAATCATTGGAAACCTGGGAGCACTGGACAGCTGCCCTCAGTGGTCCAGTAGGTAAGGCATTCGTGCACGAGACTAAAGGCTCTGGGTTCGAATACCGCAATCGGGATCGTGGATGCGCACTGCTGAGGAGTCCCATACTACGACGAAACGGTAGCCTAAAATTTATAGGTTTTCAATGACCATCTAACATTGATCAGTTCATGATCTCAATGAATATAATCCAATAACAGATGAATTTCAACAAAGTCATCATTTTTAAAAGTCTACAGAATGGTTTGAATCCTCTTTATTACTTGACCGATATTTAAGAAATAAACAGTTTGGATACATTAAAAGAGTACTTAAAATGAGAAAATTTCCATATACTACCAACATTTGACCAATTTTCGACTAAACATGACTCCAGGTGTAAAGCTTTTAAAATAGTGATAATCATTTAGTTATATATACTGGTTGAACTAAATCTTGTAATCACTAACATTCATTAACTTTGCCTGGAGACCCTTTGGGGCTACTACCAGTCCTAAGCCCGGATAAAGGAGGAGGTTTGGGAATGGGGTTAGCGATCGCATCTCGTAAAAAACTAACTCGTTAAAAGAACGCTAACCAGAAAAAATTATTCAAACCATTTAAACTCTGCCACGGGAGTCAGAATGTCTTCATTTAGAAGAGTTATGACAAATCATGTAGAAAGCCGAGTTCCTTCGGAAGCCACGAGGCTGATGCCCCTTCTGAGCAACTACTTATTTAGGTACATTAACAAAGTATAGAAGTATTATACAGGAAACATATTCTCTCTTTATATTTGGAAAGTCCAGTGGAGAGGGATGTTTCTTTGGAATTGAATAATGCCCGGAAGTACCTCATCGATTCGCTTACAAAATATTATTTTAAAAAAAGTGGAAATTGATCGGTTCAAAAGTGTCAAGTAATACCTACACTGGTATAACTTGGTAACCGGTTTTAAAGATAATTTGATGGGTACAATGTTTAAAAGTTACGCAATTACTGTTATCAATAGTAATAATAATAATACTTATGATAATGAGTGTAGTATCAGTTACTATGTTCAGCCCACACAGCTTATTCTAGCCTTCGGAGTCACGTTTTGACCTTGTTAATTATTCACTTATGAACCTTGACTGTTTTTATATGGGCATGTGTTTGTGTACACTTCTTATCCTGTTCATCACATGTTTGTAACCTATTTTTATCTGACAATAAATATTGATAATCGTTTGATTAAACAGAGTTGGCTTACATGCCTTCTCCACTACGCGTCTCTCTTCTATTCCCTTCGTCCCTCTGATTGCCTGCCCAGAACAATGAGTGTACAAGGTATATGTATTCGAAAATTCATTCTCGTATCTGACTTATTTTAATTCAGTTATTCAATAACTCGATAAATTAAGCCGATAGTTATATACGAGGATAGCCAGGATGTATATTTTGACAACAATCAATCATACGATTTAATTGGAGTCAGTTCCCGTGCCACTAAAATGGTGAGGCTGTCGACAATATCGTCTGATCTACTTGACGACAAAAAGACCTCCACTAAAATAAAAACAATAATAGTACCCAACAAATTATAACTTACTCAATTTGTATTGTATTTCCATCAAATGATTTGTAATGTTGGCTAACATTGGAATTTAACAAGTATATGTCATGCACGTTATCGTTGTTCACTTCCGTTGTTAACGATTCATTATATTCAGCTTTATGGAATGATATTAGCGATTTTGGTAAAATGAATTGTACACAAGTTAGATTATGACTCAACAAAATGATGAATAAATGCTCCTTTAAATAAAAAAGAAAAAGAAGGCAAAAGGAAATGAATAAAAAGAATAAGGAATAAAACACTAATAGTTGAGATTGTGGTGGTCGGTATTCGATATATCCCTTAAACTTCGTATACAATTCGTCTTGATAACCGTCCTATTTAACCCCAACGGTATATTATTCAGAAGGCGAATACGAAGCGGTGATTACGTTTATTTCGAGACCACACACACAGATGTCCAAAATTACAGATGCATTAAACGAGCATTAAGAGTTGTGTCGAACGGCAAACAGGCAAGCGAGCGACTGAGCGAATGTAAGGAATCGAGTACAATCAAGCGAGCGAGAAAGCAGAGTCAGCCATATAAATAACATGGACATATATATAGCATGTGAAATTAATGAGTAATCGAATCAAATAAGCGGTTAGTAGTGAGACTAGCAGAGTGAACAAATGCGTAGGCCGTAAGCAATATTCAAGCATGCGTATTTCATACAAGCACAAAATAATAATAAGGGTACAATAAATTGTTATAGTGCGGATGGCTTTGTCCGCTAAATAAGTTAGCAAAAAGGGCTTAACTGAGTTAAATGAGAATAAACCCATTTGCACGTGAGTCGCTATAAGATCATGAATCAATTGAAGCTAGATTACAATGGAAAACCTGGAAGCACTGGACGGCTGTTTCGTCCCAGCATGGGACTCCTCAGCAGTGCACATCCACGATACCGCCTCGCTAGACTTGAACCCAGGACCTATCGTTCTCGCGTGCGAACGCTTAACCTCTAGACCACTGAGCCAGCCAGCATCCAATGGTGTTAATATCTAACTTCACCCAACCCACTAAACAGAGCGATACATCGACCATTGTCTTCAGTGTGTTACTATCTCACAACAGGCCCAGTTGAACTCCACTAGTCACTGTTTCTCACTAGAACTCCAGAAAATACCTCTTGAAGCCAATCACTTTTGAGCATATGTTGATTAACATCAAACGGGGTTTTCGTGGATATTTATTAATGAAAATGATGAAACTAAACTAGACTGATAACGTCGGATAAGCCATTCGAATTTCAATAGTTCCGTGTTGAACATCTTTTGAATTTCTGATAAGTGAAATGAAACCAGATAGATAGGAAATATATGCACTAGTTATTGAGAAGAGCATATGTGATGAATAGTGTTTGTTAACAGATGGGCGCCCTAGATAGTCACCACAAAAATACAAATCTTTAGAAATAAAATACCAACGAAACAAATTCAGTAACAATAAGTAGCTCAGTGCCCCCAAATGCTTTGGTACGGCTGAGAGTAAAGAAAGTCAGCTCACCCCCTCGATATGTTCTCATGTGGCCACGTGCATACAAACACTTCCACAGAAGTCCTACTTAATGCCTTCTCGAAGTATTACTGTTGCTTACAAAATTAAAAGGACGAAAAGTGAATGCCCGGTGCTTTAATCCGGTTGTTGGATACGGAGGGTCCACCTAGGGGAGTTGGAAAACTCTCATTCCAAACGAATGATGCACATGGGCTCCAGTATCCTGAAGGAACAAATAGCGTATAAATCGAATGTTGGTCACCGGCTAACATGGGACTGCATCTCCTTACGTTGCTCCACTACCTTGTGGATAAGATTTTTTGGTCGAATGCTCCGGAAGTGATCCATTAGGAAAACCACCTGCTTCGGTTTTGGGCACCTGGGCAATATCCTAGCCCTCACATAAATTGAAAGATTCATTTGGCGCATATCTGTTCAGTGCCTTCTTGTACCAATGTTTATGTGTTTAAATAAATAAACAATAGCTAGTAATTTAAATAATAATCATTACTATTATTAGTATTGATATTAGTGGCTTTATTCAGTATCATATGTCTAGTACAATAATGAATTTTCAGAGCTAAAGATTTCAACAAGTATCTTGTACAAAACAAAGATATAAAAAGATAACTATACACATATATACATGAATTAAGTAAATAAACTACCTAGAGTATAAGTTTTAATTAGGTCAAGTCAAACAACCTCTTAATTACATAATATATTTGCAAGAGCTTTTATACATTTGCTTGTTTGCATGGATTCCAATGTATTGACGTCTCATTCTATCAGAAGAGAAAGATATGAGTGAATTGGATGGTTAATATCTGATAACACTAGCCAGAAGTTTGAAACACTTTAAGTGTCTATATTCAACCAAATTATTATTATTATTATTATTATTATTATTATTATTATTTACTAAATCACTATTCACCCTCTTTCATTCCTACTCTGACTATGCTTATTTTTTCGACTTATACAGCAGCTCGTCTATGGTTGAAATTCGGCTCTATCTAAACGTTCTCGAGTCACTGCCTGGTTGAAAGTTGTATGTTACCATCGAATATGAGTACTGAAGCAGTTTTTCTGAAACCACATGCACCATTCAAACTGGCTGCCTTCAACGTTCGCACACTTATGCAGGTTGGACAACAGATAGGGCTGGCTATGTCTTTGGAAAGTCTTAATATCGACGTTTTTTATCTATCCGAGACCGGTATTCAAGACTCTGATGAAGTACTACAAATTCAATCTCCATCTGTCGCTTCGAAAAGCTTGTTTTACGTGGGTTTATCCGGGGACCCTGTGGCATCTTCATCTGGTCTTGCTGGCGTTGGTGTCGCACTAAGCGCTAGAGCTGAAGCAGCACTAATCAATTGGATCCCCATTAACAGACGGTTATGTGCTGTTAGATTAGAAAGTTCCATCAAAGTGAGAAGAAATCGGCGTGAGAAACGATGTATTTTCGTCATCTCCGCCTATGCCCCGACAGATTGCAGCCCGGATGCAATCAAGGATGAGTTTTACCACCAGTTATCAGTTCTTCTCCAGAAAGTGCGTTCGACAGATATTGTAGTACTAGCCGGAGACTTGAATGCTCAGGTCGGGCGTCTAGGCACAGAAGAGAGTCGTTTAGGTGGCCGATGGGGACTCGCTGGTCGCAGGTCAGATAACGGGGACCGTCTACTGCAACTGTGCACAGACCACAACCTGTTTCTGGCTAGCACTAACTTTCGGCACAGTCATCGCCGATGTGCCACCTGGTGTCCTCCCTCTGCATCCCAAGCCTGGACTCAGATTGATCACATCGCGATCAGCTACCGCTGGCGTGGTTGTGTAAAAGACTGCCGCTCCTTTTGGAGTGCCCATCTGGACTCTGACCATGCTTTGGTCTGCGCCAATCTTACCTTACTTTTCAGTGGCCAACGAAGTGACCACCACCAAAAGATTGATGTTAGCAAGCTGGTTGCAACTTCTGTTGCAAGTAGGTATCGAAACGAGCTAGCTTCTAGGCTAGCTACCACTCCACCGAAAAGTATAGATGAGCATTGGTTGCAATTGCATGACGCCATGAAAACTTCTCAGTTGTGGGTTTGCGAAACGTCCCGCTTTTAAGCACTGGGTTTCTTCTGGTTCCTTACAACTCATTGAAGCCCGTCGGTCTACTCCGGGTGACCGTGAGATCGACAACAAACGAAGGATGTTACGTACTGAAATTGGGCAAAGCTTGTGTAAGGACCGAGAAGCCTGGTGGTCGAAGCGTGCTAATGAGCTGGAAGCAGCAGCTGCATCTGGTAATTACCGGAAGCTCTTCCAGCTCAATTGAGCCACTGGCAGCAAGAAGTTTGGTGTGAGCGAAACAATCTGCGAGGATGACGGGATGCCAATCACTAACATCCATCGACGTCTTGGACGGTGGGGAGAATTTTTCGAAGGGCAGTTCAACTGGTCTGCTGCTCCGGCAGCATCAGTCAGACTGTCCTGCACTCCATGGCCGGTGACGACTGATCCACCAAACGAGGAGGAAGTCCGCAAGGAACTCCAACTCTTGAAGCGTTACAAATCACCTGGCCCAGATGACTTACATCCGGCTCTTTTTAAAGATGGTGGTGACTTTTTGACTAAGGAATTGACGACGTTGTTTACAAAGGTTTGGGAACTAGAGAGTGTACCAACGTCATGGAATGAGTCGATAGTTGGCCCTATCTTTAAAAAGGGTTCACATCGTTCCTGTAACAACTATCCGGGGATAAGTCTACTTCCGACTGCGTCCAAGCTATTGGCTTCCGTCATACTTCGTAGATTGTTCAAAACCCGAGAAAGATTGACTCGCGAGGAGCAGGCTGGGTTTCGTTCTGGTCGAGGATGTATTGAGCATATCTTCACCCTCCGCCAAATGTTAGAACACCGCCATACTTTTCAAAGGCCAACAATCGTAGTGTTTCTTGACATCAGGGCTGCCTTTGATTCGTTGGATAGGACTGTTCTCTGGGATTGTCTATTGAAGAAGGGTGTGCCTGAGAAGTTTATTAACATCCTAAAAGCCCTATATAAAAACACCTCAGGCAGAGTGAGGGCATACAACCACCTCTCTCCATTGTTCCATTCGAACAGTGGGGTTAGACAGGGTTGCCCAATCTCACCATTCCACTTCAACTTTGCCATCGATGACATTCTGGAAACAGCTCTGATGGATGTAAGTAATGGCGATGTGGATCTGTTGCCTGGAGAAAGACTTCTCGACTTTGAGTATGTGGATGATATTGTCTTACTGTGCGATAATGCCCAAGCCATGCAATCTGCTCTTAGTCAGTTGGCAATCAGTGTCCGTAGATATGGTATGTGCTTTGCACCTTCCAAGTGTAAAGTACTTCTACAAGACTGGCAGGATTCTAATCCTGTACTCACTCTGGATGGTGAGCAGATAGAAGTAGTTAAGAAGTTGTGTATCTAGGTAGCTGCATAAGTGCTGGTGGGGGTGTGAGTGATGAGACCAATGCAGGTACAGTGAAAGTCAGAGTGGCTTATGACAATCCGGGTCATTTTTGGCGCCTTCGTGATGTTAGTCTGGCTGTAAAAGGTCGGATCTACAACGCGTCGGTGAGAGCAGTTTTGCTCTATGCTTGTGAAACCTGGCCTCTCCGAGTTGAGGACGTTAGACGACTCTCTGTGTTCGATCATCGCTGTCTCCGAAGGATTGCTGACATCTAGTGACAACACCATGTTAGTAAGGCAGAGGTTCGGCATCGTGTGTTCGGGCACAGAGATGATAATTCAATTGGTGTCACCATCTTGAAACACCGACTTCGGTGGCTTGGACATGTTCTACGAATGTCGTCCCAGAGAATTCCACGTCGTGCATTATTTGCCGACTCTGGGACTGGTTGGAGGAAGCGGAGAGGTGGTCAGTGCATGACATGGTGTCGTGGCATGAAAGAAAGCTGCAAAGGACTAGCTTCTGTTGGTCCTTCACGACTCCCTGGTTGGGGTCCAAGAGATGGTGCTACACAGTGGCTAGAGTCGTTATCAGATATGGCTCAGAATAGAAGCCAGTGGCGATCCAGCTGTAACCTTCTCTTACTTTCTTCGTAAAAAGTGGTTGTATCTTCCTTAACTGGAAGATTACTTCTGATTGTACCTTTCCGTTCACCATATTATTATTACTACACCATCTTACACCAATCTCTTCGTTATCGTTCTTTTTTTAAGCACTCCTTACCTTTTTTCTTTTTCCTTCTCTTTAAATTCTCATTGTTTTGTGTGGCGCATATATATTGGCGCTGTCTTGTACCAATATTTATGTGTTCAAGTAATAATAATAATAATAACATTCATAATGACCTTAAAAGATTCATCACACATTCTGCTAACTGACGTTAACACTCTTGACAACTCGTAAAACTGCCTTCTCAAAAAGTCTGGAAACAAAAATGATGAAGAACAGTAAAGAGAATAATAAGCATGAGTTTAAAATAGGATAAAATGGATATTCTGAACGGTTTAGTCAAAATCTGAAAACAGTTTAGAAAATTTAAAGAAATAACTTACTGAACAGTATGTTTTTAAGAATCTTAACCAAAATTCTGAATGAATTAAAGAATGAGCTCTTATTAATAATTGACTAATATAATCATAGTCATGATGATGATAAGGATGATAATGATTACTTTTCAATGTTGAATCCTTTAATGCATATCTACGTATAAATGCATGAAGTATACAATCAGCTGAATTTCGATAGTATGCACTTGATTCAATTGAATCAAAATAACCATTGAATAATGGACCTAAAAGGCTAAGTGATAAAGCGACTGCTTTAATTGAATTGTTAAAATAATTTTCATTTTGATGGTCTGACTGTTGTGACATTTGTTCATGATGTTGTTTTGAAGATTTCTTTTTGCATTTGAAGATATAATCAGAAGATGATGATGAAAGTTTTTGCACACTAGAAGGTAAACCTAAGAGGAAAAGAAAAATTTAGAAATAGAATCCAGATTATGTAGAACAGAATAAGTGAATTTTCAGTATTGATGACATACAAAAATTCTGGAGAGAATGACGATTCTAACAAAAAGGAACAAACAAATATTTATCAGTATGGAGTTGTGGAGAAAGTTGGATTTCATAGGAGCCATGAACTGGTCCAAGTTAAACTACCGCTTAATACGTGGAAGAACTATACGGCCGTTTCGCCATAGTATAAAACGCTTAAGCAGAATCCGTAACCAGTGGAGTTATACTGGATCGAGTGTGAGGCAGTTACGCGTCGAAGACAATGGAAAATGATCGCATAATATTGTGAATTGATTGAACTTAGATACTAACATTGTTGCTTGCCAGTTCAGTGGTCTAGAAGCTAAGCATTTACACACGAGACCAAAAATACTGGGTTCAATTCCTCGGTGTGATGTCATGTTTGCGCATTCTTGAGGAGTCCCACATTAGGACAAAAAATAGTCTTCCAATGCCTCCATATTTTCAATGGGAAACAAATAATTATTCGATAAGCTTGTTTACTGTTAAGTAAACAAACACTACTGATTCAGAAAGTTTAACCTTTAAAATAAATGATGCACGATGTTTTTTGATTACGTTGGCTTACGATAGCCAGTATAAATGTCTTTGACTAAGATATTGTGTACTACAAATTTTTTCCCCAAAAAGAAACCATTCTTCGAGCAGGAAATGACAAATGTAAAATAAGATTTAACACAGTAGTATCCAAACAGCATTACTAATTAGATTATTTGATTCAATCTCATAGACATTCCCTTTTTAATTGAACAACTCAACTGTAGTGTTAAAGGAAACACCTTTCGGTGATTTTATTTTATAGTAATCTAGAGACCATAAAGCTGGATATTAAAAATTCCCAAAACCAAATGATCTGAACAATTTTCAATGATGTTTTAAAACACTAGAAACAGTGTTGTTATTATTTAGTATAGTGATCAATAATGTCTGTTACTCAAACACTTGTGGCTGAATTTCTAACCAACTCTTAGCACATTGAAATCTACTGTGCTAGATCCAGGGGAAAAATTAAAGAAGAACGTAAGTATGAGAAGATTTGCAATCGACAATAGTTTGAATAAAGATAATTGCAGGTTCGTTGATGACCATGATATTCTAGAGGTTTTTGAAAATATGTTAACATTGATTACTAAATCGGTAATTACTCAATCACGATATGATAATTACCAGTGAAACAATGGTGCATGGAGGACAGCTGGCAGATGTATTCCAAGTTAGGATCGGAGCTAAAATAGGCTGTTTATTCTCCCCCTTCCTCTTACTTCTGGTGGTTGACTGGATTATGAAGACCCTGACATCTGAGGGGAACCAATTAGAAAATTCGGACACCGCAGATGATCTGGCCATCCTATCCCTTACACACAAACAAATGCAGAGGAAGACAACTAGTGTAGCAGCAGCCTCTGCATCAGTAGGCCTCAGTATACACATAGGTAGAAGCAAGATCCTCAAATACAACACCAAGAACACCAACACAATCACACTTGATGGCGAAACTCTGTAAGATGTGGAATCCTTCACGTACCTGTGTGGTAGCATCATCGATGAAGAAGGAGGATCGGATGCAAACGTAAAGGCGAGGACTAGCAAAGCAAGGGCCACATTCCTACAATTGAAGAACATGTAAAACTCAAAACAACTGTCTGTCAATCAATATCAAAGTCAAAATCTTCAATACGAACATCAACTCAGTCAGTACTCTTGTACGAAGCTGAAACTTCGAGAACTACTACAACCATCATCAAGATCGTACAAGTATTTATATATAGTTGTCTACGCAAAATACTCAACATACATTCACCGGATACCATCAGCAACAGTCTATTGTGGGAGAGAATAAATCACCTCTCAGTTGAAGAGGAAATTAGGAAAAGACGTTGAAAGTGGATAGGACATACATTACGCAAATCATCAGAATGCATCATGAGACAACCCATAACATGGAATGCTGAAGGGAATCGGAAAAGAGGAAAGCCAGAGAAAACATTACGTCAGGAAATAGAAGCAGACATGAAAAAGATGAATAACAACTGGAAAGAGTTGGAAAGGATTGCTAAGGATAATGTTGGATGAAGAGTGCTGGTGGATGGCCTATGCTCCTCCATGAGGAGTAACAGGTGTAAGTAAGTAATATGATAATTAATTCATCGTTTTTTTATTCTCTGAAAGGTTACTACTGAACACTGATTCGATAAAATATTTTTTCAGGTCCAGAAAACTTTAAGAGAAAATCTCGAAGATTCTAGACAATTGCAATACACAAGCAACAGATAAACGTTTGCAAATATATTAATATAACTAATTTGTTTCTATCTAGGAAACAATAGATTGACTTTAAAAATAAGCTTACCAGTAAACAAAAGTAAATTCCCTAAATCAAAAGTATTTCTTCTACATTCTAAAGAAGAGTATACATCAATTACATGACCAAAACGTAACACAGGAGGCATAAACTGATGTTGACAGTTTATATGTGAATCGGCAAACTCTTTGTTAATCAATATTAGATCGCCGATAGATTCAAACCAACCATTGATTACAAGTGACACCTTAATTAATAGTAGATAAATGAAAAGAATTAATCCACAAATTATCATAAATATAAAAACTTAAGAATAAATCTGTGAAGACAGTTCACGGGTAAACTTGAAAAAAACCGTAAGAAGCTCAGAAAGAGCCGAAGATATTCCATTCAATCACCTTTTGGAAGAATATTTCAGAATCCCTATGTGTAGCTTCCCTGTTGGACAAATTGCTAATAACCCCCTGTATGCGGATTGGAGGACTGTAATGATGATTTCGTTTTTTTACTAAAAACTATAAATACCTGACAGTTTTGTTCCACAATTGACACTATTTAGAATAGTATTCCTTTAACTTGTCTTCTGTCTTCTCGTTTACGACTTGGATGGTTCTAGCGTTTGAATGCTCAAGTTGTACGTGGTATATAAAGAATCTAAGCTCTACATATAACAAAACCTCAATTAAATCAAAGAAGACCATCAAATTTTTGCGATGACTACTTTTCAGAACTTGATTCGTTGAATAACGGGTCACATAAATCACCTGATTTACTCAAGAATCTTCAGAAAATGTTTATGAAAATGATTATCTCTAAATCTAAACGGCATTATCACTGTGACTATTTAAGGAATGACAGATCATGTTGTGGAGCTTGAATGTGGATCACCGATATTCAGTCAGTGAACTGAATGACAAGATTCTAAACTCCAAAATGACCATAAGTTCAATCAAGGATCTACGTACATTTTGCTCATCAGTGGTGACTAACACGAAACTTAGAGCTAGGGTTTCGTACAGATTATCCCCAATTATCTAAAATATATGGATATTTCTACCCAAGTGAAATTGATAATCAATAACTAAAATCACCCACTTCAATCATAGCAATATCTATTCTCCGAAAATTATACTTGACAACTCAATTATTGATGAGCCCCTCTGGGTCTACCACCGGTTCTAAGCCCGAATAAAGAAGAGGAGTTGAACATGAGGTTAGCAACCCCATACCGCAGAAAACTAACTCGCTGAAAAAAAAACGCTAACCAGAACAAACAATAATAATAACCATTTAAACTCTGCCCTGGGAGTTGGAAGGTTTTCATCTAAAAGAGTTATAACGCCTTATGGTGAGAATTGATTTCCTTTGGAAGTCACAAGATTGATTTTCCTTCTGGCAACTAGAGCAACCATTAATTTAGATATATGGAATACTCGTACAATGTGACTTCTTTTAAAAGTTTAGAAAGAAAAGAAACAAGAAAAAAAAAGCAAAAACTAATTCACATACTTTTGCATTGAAATAGTTTATCCATTCAATATATAAAAATAAATGATTCCATTCATCAGAAATATTACATTCTTTAGGAAAATCTAAGCATAAATCACTAAGCAATACAATTTCATTTGTATTCCTCTTTAATGATATAGATGTTTCATGATAGTCTAATGTTGTATTCTCTTTATTGATTGACATTTCAACAATACGAATATATATACATGAATAAATAGATGATATCCATATCTGTTAATGTAAATGAAAGGAAAAAAACACTAATCACTGTTATATCCCAATGAGAATAATGAATGGTAACTTTGGGGATCCATTTATGGACCAATAGTAAACGTATATTTTTATCGTATAATTGTTTAGCAACTAAACTATTCATATTCATGTCCCTTTTATCATAAGCTTTATTTTGACTTATGAACTATTATTATACGATTTACCATTCTTGAGTTATACTCAAGTCTATCAATTACTACCTCCCACATTCACAGTCACATTTGGCTAAATCTTATACAGGCGTTGTTTCCTATTTTATGGTACGATGTGATCTGTCTGGTCGGTATATAAACCCAGTACATGATTAATACCGCAGAGGCTGAGATTGGTGTTCTGTACTTAACAGGCTGGGCTAGGCTGGGAGCAGAACCGATAAGGATTCTAGAATGCTCGTACGGGTTTTTATGCGTCATTGGTTTGATCGATAATTCACTGCTATCTAATTGGCGGTATCATTACGTTATACATTAACAGGGCGCACAGGCCACAAGTTATAACAATGACACATACAAGTTACAAATTTAGATCATGTAAAGTATTTAACCTGATTACTCAATCAAATAACCAATAAAAAACATAGTCAATAAGAACTGATATAACAACAACAAACAAAAACAAATCGATTAGATTTGAATATCTAATTTCTTACTGCTATTCAAAGCGCTTACTGGTAAGCGTCATTGATGAACACAGTGAATCTGATACAGATGTGAAGACAAAGCAAGAGCAGCCTATTAACAACTGAAAAACATATGGAACTCAAAACAACTGTCTGTCAAACAACACCAAACTCAGAATTTTCAATACAAATGTCAACACAGTTCTACTATATGGGGTGGAAACCAGAAGAACTACGAAAGCAATCATTCAGAAAATACAAGTGTTTATTAATAGTTGTCTATGCAAAATACTTCGGACCCATCAGCCAGAAACTATCAGCAACAACCTACTGTGGGAGAGAACAAACCAGATACCAGCGGAGAAATAAATCAGGAAGAAGTGCTGGAAGTCGATAGGACACACATTGAGGAAAGCATCTAACTGCGTCACAAAAAAAACCCTCACATGTAATTTTCAAGGCCAAAGGAAAAGAGGAGGACCAAAGAACACAATACACCGAGAGATGGAGACAGACATGAGAAGAATGAACAATAATTGGATAGAACTAGAAAGGAAGGCTCAGGACAGAGTGGGTTGGAGAATGCTGGTCGGCGGCTTATGCTTCACTGGGGGTAACAGGCGTAAGTAAGTAGGCAATTGGAAGCGCTACTGAAACTAAAAGGTTCGATAACAAATATTGAATTGAGATCACCAATTGGTCAATGCTAGGCTACTACTAAAAACTTGGGAGACTAATGACCAACTTCAAGACGTAATTCTCGGAGTTTGAGTGAGAAGACGCGACTAGTGGAGCTAATATGTGTCAAGTGTGAGGCAGTTACCCACTGAAGACAATCGAAAATAGTCGCACAGTATCGTGGATTGGTTGAAGTTAGACATTAGCACCGAGGGATGACGGTTCAGTGGTTTAGAGGTTAAGCATTCGTACGTGAAACTGAAGGTCCTGTGTTGGAATCCCTCGTGCAGGATCATGGATGTGCATTGTTGGAGATTCCCATACAAGGACGAAATGGCTACCCAGCACTTCCAGGTTTTTAATGGTCGTTTAACATTGATTAATTCATTATGTCAATCAAAAGATCTGTCTTAGTTTAAAATCATACACTAGTGTACACCTTAAAACTCAGAATGACAGTGGTTCAATAAGCTCCAAATGTTGTAGAGTAAAAATGATCAAATTAGACCAGTTAGTAGATGGAATTTCAATGACTTACATTTCCAAATTAAAGAAATTTATGTTGAATCCAGCCACTAGTAAAAAACAAGATCATTATTTATTTTAACAGTATGTATGACTTTTTTCAGACATCTTTTACCCCAACGATGGATATTAGCCGTAAGAGATGTCAGAAACCTTGGGACATAAATCTCCGAAAGCCCACATAAACGAACAAAAACATATTTGTCTAACATGGCAACACAATGATTTGTCACAAAAATAAAGAGAATTAGCCATCAACAAGAAATTAGGCAAAACAACGTAAATCGTAAAAACAGTCAGCTTAAAATGACAGTTTTTGAAGGAGTCTGTAGTTGTTATTGCTAGAAACTGTAAGGCATATGTACATCGAAAAAGCAACCTAAACTTCCACAACGTTTGCCCTGCTGTCAGTAAGGGGTTGTAGAGACCGTTGAATTCCATTGAAATCATGAAGCCATCTAAGTTAGACCGCCATTAACGACCTAGAAGTACTGGACAGACGTTTCGTCCTAGTATGGGACCAAATTAATGTGTACCAAAGAATTCACACACACGAATCGAAACCAGGACTTTTGGTTTCGCGCAAGCATGACTGACGTTCTGTCATAGAACCAGACAGTTGTGTATACCGGTAAAGTTCGATGAAAACTGTAATAAATAATTGTCTGAACGAAAATTCGATACCATAGAACAAACATAAATAAAAGTAAGACGAAAGAATACAAGTCAATTCGTCAGTCGTAAGATAGGGCATGACAAGTAGGCACATCGTTCCAAGTGAGATGAGATTGTCAAGCCAATTCCATGATTAGTAAAAGTAGTAACAGAATCAGTAGTAACTGAAAAGATGGAATGTCAAAGATGCGATTCGGGAAGAAAACATAGTTTGGCGAAATAAAAACAAGAATACGTTATAAATAATTTAAAAGCTCAGAATTAGAAGAAAGATAAAAAACGAATACCCCTGTGCCATTGCAAACGATTCCCAGCCACATAATTCAAATTCTCTAACCTCTAGTTACGATGATCACGCGAAGCCCAACCAAGTAGTCTACATCTATTAACATGACTCGGTCCAAATGTCAATGACTTCATGGACTCATACTATGTATTGATACAGACGCTCTTAGCATTATTCCAGCCTTCTCCTACACCAGACATCAACCGTTGAGATAAGCGGCGGTCCGGAATACGTAATAGGTATCCTAACCACCTCAGTTGGTGAAGATTTACTACATATTCGAAAGATTTACCAATCTTACCTAGTAACCCATTTCTAAACCAGACATTGTTTACCCGGTAGTCCCAAAACACAGGATCAATGAATCCAAGACACCTATGGTCGAATACTAGTAAACCACGAATATTCTCTCCGAGCAAGGACAGCATTCTTACAGTTGAAGAACACATGGAACTCAAAACAACTGTCTGCATGCCAACGTCAAAGTCAGAATCTTCAATTCGAAGGTTAAGACAGTTCTGTTGTACACATCTAAAACTTCAAGAACTACCACAAACATCGTCGAAAAAGTACAAGTATTTATAAAACACTTGTCAACGGACCAAAGAACACATTGAGTCAGTAATCGGAACCATCCATTTTGATTATCTGTTTAGGCAGCAGAACAGATGTATTTTTGACGGTACTACTATTTTTATTTCAACTGTTCCTTGTCATGATACTAACATCCCTATAACATACTTTCTCCCAATCTCGTTACTTTTATATTCACAACAATATTCTAGTCTCAGATCAGATCAAAATTTTCGTATTACAATGATGCAGTGGCAGATGTCCAAACACTATTGCTTTATTTATTTATTTGTTTATTTAAACACATATACATTGGTACAAGAAGGCACCAAACAGATATGCACCACATAAATCATTCGATTTGTATGAGAGCCAGGATACTGTTCGGGTGTCCAAACCAAAGCAGGTGGTTTTCTCAGGGGGCCAAACCCAGAATCGTTGACCTAAAGGTCTAATCCACGAGGCAGTGGAGCAACGTTAGGAAATGCAGTCCCATGGTAGACGGTGACCAACGACTTGTTCGTACGCCATTTGTTCCTTCAGCATACTGGAGCCCATATCATCTCACAATGTGTAGACTTCTTATAACCGTGCGAATTGAAACCCTCATCTATACAATCTGATCAACAGATTTCATTCAGTAAAATTTACCCTTAAGTTACGTAATGTAAATTATATCACAGCTAGAAATTACAAAAATCAATATACCTAATTACAATCAAAACAAGTTGAAATAATTCTGAAATATTAACCATGTGTTTTCTATCTAAATAGAAACACATAAAAGCCTGTGTATATCAGGTTACTATTTAAGTATCAAGGCAATCGAAATTTAAAACACTTTTGTACAAAATACTATACAACTTGACTAAACAACAATTCAATTATGGTGTGTGTGTGTGAAGTAGTCAGTTAACAGTAGCAATGGATAATTGTTGGGTGATATTGCATGTAAGACATTAAATGACGGTTCAGTAGTTTAAAGATTCGACATTCATAGTGAGATCAGATGGTCCTAAGTTCGATTTCCTATAGGATTGTGAATGTGTATTGTTGAAGAAGAGTATTATAGTAAGATGAAATCGCTAGCCACTGTTTACCAGTTTTGAATAGTTTTCTAATTGAGGTGGAAATGAAGAAATTCAATCCATTCAATAAACTAACTACAGTAACAAGAAAAGTGTCTGTTTCACATGAAAATATTCCACGCATTAGCAAAGGATCAGTAAGAAGCATCAACTTTCTTTGAAAGTCTTGCTGTTCTTGAGATATTAATATATCGAACTCATTGTACACAAAGCTGACGCAATTGGACAAGATTTGACTTCTTGTTCTACGGCTAGAGCTTATCAGACTTCAAAGATAAGTGAAGTCGTCGACGTGTTCGACTAATACACTCTTTATCCTTAGCTTAGGTGCTGACATAGCCCAGTCCTGAAGCAACAATTTGTATTTACAAGAGAAGGAACGCATCCCAAACATCTTGGCATTGTTGCTCAGTGCCATCAAAAGACTCTGCAAGAAAAGTAAATTCCCATTTAGTACGTCAGTAACCGTATTGAACAATTTCTTTAACAGCTATGGCAATTCGGTTCTTACAGATTCTAGTACAATATTTTTTTTTATAAAAATCAGTAAAGTGAAATTATTAACACGAAAACTGTATACTCATACTTGAAGTGAGAGGTGACTACGATTAGTTGAACAAGGTGGTAATGTGTTTGTGGTATTTATCGATGATTGATATCCAGATTGATTGTTGTGACATAAGGATGAAGATAGTATATCCAAACTGATGAAATGTTGTAACTGATTTAATTGTACAAATTGAAATAGATCCACTTCAGATAATTGATTGAACTTAGGTTTAAGCTTCTAACAAATAATCATAATAGTAAATATGATTATTATTATTATTATAACAAAGTTAAATATACACTTTAATAATAATAATAATGATATATATATATATATAATGTCATTCTATTGACTTTCATCTTTGCCTTTCTTCCTGTCTGTGCTTCAGTACGTGAAGATCGGATGATATAAGTGAGAATATCACAGAGGAGTATCGCTTCCTTTGAAATTGTAAATACATTTTGTTGATGGGTGTCGACTAGTGAAAAACCTATGCCCAGACTATCATTCAGTTAGTCTGTCAAAATTAATGTAGAACCTAAGTTATCATAAAATATTGGCACAAAGAGATAAATATATAAAGATGAAAACCAGAGTACTAAGCATTGTAGTAATATCAGTGGTAGTAAAAAGATTCAGGTACAAAGAATATGATTTGAGTTAGTCAGTCAGTCAGTGATCTACAACGTAGGATCAGGCACATATGTGCATCGGTCCAAGTTGCCATACTTCATTAGCACAACAACATGAACACTGAATTCATAGCAGTAGTTAATTCAATGGTGGTAATATATAAAAGAAAGATTGCATATAAGGATATAGTACGCAAGGAAAGAATTAGTTGGTAGAATGAAAGATATGAAGCGAATTTTGATCTCATAGTTTAAGGTAAGACAGAGTGATATGATTCGAGAGGTAAAATGAATTCATCGCACAAGAAGAAATTTCAGATTTAGGATCTGAGAGAAAAGAGTTAATGTATCTGCGTCAATATAACTGAGTCAAAGAGACGTTACCTAACAACTCCAACCATTAGTCATGATAATGGCATGAACCCCAACCAGGTACTCAGAATCAATCTATATGGTTCAGACCATAAGTCAACAACTTAATACACTGGCCGCAAATTTTAGTTTAACCGCTCTGTCGGTTGTTGTAAACACAATTGTAAGCTTGAAATGATTCAAAAATACAATAGATCCTACTCAATAGTATACTTGAACTGTACTGCGTATAAGAAAATCAAAGCTTTTTACATAAACAGGGACATACAGTGTAATTCTGAAAGCGAAAATCCAGCATATTTAATTATAAGAGCTTGTATTTTCTAATCTCAATATTCAAAAATAGATTGATCAGTCATTATAAGTTCATTATGTTCCTTTGAACATATAATTTAGTAATAAATGGATTAACATATCAAGAAATTAGGCGTAGTGACTATAGTAACTAAGATGTTAAACTGGTGATCAGTGGTTTCTACTCCTAATGTGAACAAAAACACCATGATTAGTAGATATATCTGCTATGTTTGAAGAGATTACGAGATCAATGAGAAATCGGCGAACGGAACGAAGGATCAGCAACACAACGACAAGATGGCGTCCCAACCACGCTAACTAGACAGAGAAGTCCAGGTTCAGAAGAGAGGAAATGTATTCCACAACCAAACAAAAGCACGAACAACAAGAAGCACAACTCAAGCATAATATATACAGCATAAAATGTTCTTGGGAAACGTCACAATATAACATATTATAAAAAGAAGCGAACCAATGATATTTAAGATCCTGCCAAGTGGGAAATACAATATGATGGTGAAAATGGGCACTTTTAGAGCGAAAGTGAGAAATTCAAAATTTTGACAGATTGAAATCATGAGTCAGTTAAAGCTAAACCACCATTGAAAACCTGGGAGCACTGGACGGTCGTTTCGTCCTAGTACGGGACTCCTCAGCAGTGCACATCCACGATCCCGCGGGATTCGAACCCAAGACCTACTGGCCTCGCGCGCGAGCATTTGACCATTAGACCACTGAGCCGGCATCCGACGGTGTTAATGTCTAACTTCAGCCAATCCACGAAGTTGAGCCACTATATACCATTGTGGACGGCCGTTTCGTCCTAGTATGGGACTCCTCAGCAGTGCACATCCACGATCACGCCTCGCGAGATTCAAAACCAGGACCAACCGGTCTCACGTACAAACGCTTAACCACTAGATCACTGAGCCGGCCAGCATTCAACAGTGTTAATGTCTAACTTCAACCAATCCACAAAATTGAACTGCACGTCCATCATTGTCTTCAGTGAGTTACTATCTCACAACAGACCCGTTTGAACTCCACTGGTCACTGCTTCTCACTAGAACTTCAGGAAATACCTTTTGAAACCAGTCACTACTGAGCATATGCTAATTAGTATCCGAATGGGTTTTTTCTTGTGGATATTATAGCCATTTCAACAGCTGAAATCATAAGTCTTCGTTGAAATTTTAAATAACATTTATTCATATAGATAACTTGGTAGTTTAGAATCTCCTCAATACAACATTGAACCAATTATCATTCATATTTTAAAAAAAAAAGAGAGAGAATAAAACGATTTAACTGGGGAAATACAAAAGGCTCACCGTATTATTTAACTGTTTTCCATGTAAACAAAACCAAGTCGACAATCCTAAACTATGATTATCAATAGTATAATTAAACGAAGTAGACAAAGATGATTGATTACTCTGGTGATTAATAATGGTTGATAATGGACAAATATAATTTAATAGTTTTTGATATAAAATTTGATGATTATCAATTTCATATTGATTATCTTCAAATGCTAATGCATAAGAATAATGATGAGAGCACATATTAGTACATTGTAGAATAGGATAATGTAGCTGTCCATGTTGATAATATAAGAGATGAGTGTTTAATAATTTTGGCCAAATGGTATATATGGTTGGCATGAGAACATTATTTGTTTGAATCCAATCAATCAGTAAATTGAACATTTGACATGTAACCTTAAAAAGAGAGAGAAAATGAAAAAGAAAGTAAAACTGCCCCCATATGCCCTGGTATGGCCGAGAGTGAGGAGAGTCCGCTCTCCCTCACGAAATGCTCTCACATGGCCACGCGTATATAGCCTCTGCCAGGGAAGACCTACTCATTGCCTTCTCGTATAGCGGGTGTTGTTTACGAAATTGAGAGGACGAAAAGTGAATGTCTGGCGATTTAACCGGATTCCAAACCAATGCTTCACATAGGCTCCAGTATCCTGCGGAAACAAATGGCGTATGAACCAATTGTCGGTCACCGGTTTCCATGGGACTGCATCTCCTTACGATACTCCACTACCTTGTGGACCAGACCTTCAGGTCGAAGGCTCGAGGAGTGGCCCCCTATGAAAATCACCTGCTTCGGTTTGGGCACCTGGGCAGTATCACAATCCTCCCACATATCGAATGAGATTTGTGTAGCGCATATGTATTTGGTGCCTTCTTGTACCAGTATCTATGTGTTAAAATAATAATAATGACGTAACTACAGAACTTTATAAAGCATGCTAGTGAAGAGGAACTTTATAAGAATTTGATATAACAATCGAAAATTTAAATTATAAATGATAAATTATGTTATTTTCATACTTAATCTACTTATTTACAACTGGTTTTCCTTGTGGAGCTTGGCTGCCAATCAGGATTCTTCAACTAACTCTGTCCTTGGCTCACTTTTCAAAATGTTTCCATGTGCTATTTATCCTTTTAATGTCTGCTTACAATGGACAGGACAATGTGTTATTTGGTCTTCCTCTTTTTCTTTTCCTTTCGGGATTTCATGTTACGGCCTGCTTTGTGGTGCACTTCAGTGATTTCCGCGATATATACAATTCACCTCCATCTTCTTTCCATATTTTCCTCTTCACCTGGAAGTTTGTTGGTTTTCTGAATACAGTAGATTGTTGCCGATATTCGAGAAAAGGAACTAGAGTATCTTGCGTAGACAACCTTTTATAAATACTTGTACTCTTTTGATGATGGTTGTAGTAGCTTTGCAAGTCTTAGATCCACCTGAAGCCCTTATGGAATAACTGCTGATCACAAGCCCGGATAAATGTAGAGGAGTTAGGCGGGAGGTTAGCGACCCAATCTTGTAGAGAAGGACTTTTCTTAAGAACGCTAGCTTGAATCACTTGAGTAAACAATTAAATGTTTAATTGGTTTGCGGAGATTGTTACAGTCTATAGTTTATTTCACAAACTAATCCTACTTAGACAATTCGTAATGAAGGTTCTTCATACTACGACGAAACAGCATCAGCATACGACAATTTATTAGGATAAGTGTACACTTACACTATGGATATGGTATTGTCTACCAACCAGTTTGTTCATACGATGAATTCTCAACAAATATGCAAGTTAGTCACATCATGAACAAATATCTCTTAGACAACATATTACGAACCTTGAATCTGACTGGCGAACATTCGAATTCTCGATAAAATATAAAACCCACGAGTAAAGCTGCAGATTCTTCATAGTAACGCACATCAGTAAACATAAACTTTATTTGTAATGTTACGTCTACCGATATGAAATAACTTAAATTGATATTCATATTGTAAATATCTGTTTTGTAGATTTTATCAATTCTCTAGAAAAAAGTTGAACACGTCATCGATCGTTGATTCATGAAAAATTATCGCAATATGTAGCTTGTACTTATCACAAGTTGATCTCAGATGAGTTGTTCCTGAAAACCAAGTAGCACTGGGCAGCCGTTTCGTCTTAATACTCAATAATACACAACCACGAACCCATAAGCGATTGAATTCAGAATATCCAGATTTTCCAGCGAATGTTTAACCATTAGAGTAGATTAGTTTAGACCCAATGTTATAAATCCAACTTCAATCATTTCGTGATATAGCGCAATGATTATCCAATCCCTACTGCAATCAAATCATCGCAATACGTAAGTAATAAATTGACATCGAAATATAAAAAATGACAGTTGAACAACAACAGTTAATTAATTAAAACCCTCTACTTACGTATGGATATATACTATTGATTGCATGAAACGTAGCAGGCTTCGTATCCTGTTCTGTAAGGTCATCATCATGATGAGTAGTAATGAGTTGGTATTTATGGTTATTACCTTTGTTAAGACTGTTACTGCCTTCAATATTTTGTATTTGTCTTAAATCTTTCAATATCAGCTGCATAAAGTGTTTTACAGATTTCACACTTAATACACCAAGTGGTTGTGAATAGTCTGTACAAAATTGAATTGGTCGAATATATTGTGGTATCATGAAACATCGTAATAAATCTAAACAGCTTAGTCGAATAACTAGATATATATGTGCGTAGATGTATAGAGATGAAGTATCGAATATAGAGGAAAAAATAGAGAAGAAAAAATTGGTTAAAACTGCGCACAGAAAAAAAATGTACACAACAGAGATAAGTAAGAAACTTATAACACGAACAATTGTAAAATACCGTTATAAGGGTTTGTAAGGATTGTTGAATCTCATCACATGCTCAATGGTAACTAATTTCGAGAGAATTCTAGAATTCTAATGAGACGTTGTGATTGGTGGAGCTAAATTATGTTGGATATGAAACAGTTACCGGTACAAGAAAAATGGAAGATGGTTGAGCAATGTCGCGAGTTAGTTGAAACCAGACATGTACATCACTGAACTCTGACTCAACATACTAGAGGTTAAATGCATTTTGAGAGACCTGAAGGTTAACAGTTCGATCTGAAGTGCAGTATGGATGCGCGCTGCCAAGAAGTCTCACACTAACACAAAACAAGATTTCAATGCTCCCAGATTTTCTATGGATATCTAACAGAGTTTGATTCGTGATATTAATAAAATTGTAATTATTTATTTATTTATTTAAACACATAAACATTGGTACAATAAGGCACTAAATAGATATGCTCTACACAAATCATTCGATTTGTGTGAGGGCTGTGATACTACCCGGGTGCCCAAGCCGAAGCACGTGGGCCACACACCGAGCCTTCGACCTAAAAGTCTAACCCACAAGGTAGTGGAGCATCGTAAGGAGATGCAGTCCCATGGTAGCTGGTGACCAACAATAGGTTCATATGCCATTTGTTCCCGCAGGATACTGGAGCCCATGTGGAGCATTGGTTTGGAATCCGGTTAAATCGCCGGACATTCACTTTTCGTCCGCTCGATCTCGTAAACAACAGTAATACCTCGAGAAGACGGTGTGTAGGACTTCCCTGTCAGTGGTTGTATGCACGTGGATATGTGAGAGCATTTGGAGAGGGAGAGCTAACTCCCCCCCCCCACTCTCGGCCTTACCAATGCATTTGGGGGCCCTAATTGAAACTATTTATGTAAAGGTTAGTAATACTATCCTGTTGCCCACAATCGAATTAGGTGAAATACATTTTGAAGCAAAGAAACATTTGTGATTGAAACACGTGTCACTTAATTGGTAAATTATCACGGTACAATATTATCAAATGAGATATATGATCTTTCTAAAAACAAATTGTCATCTTTCATCATAAATGTGATTCATTATTTGTGAGGACGACTCATGGATGAACTCGAGGAAGCTCTAAGAAGTTCAGAACGAGTCGGAGATATTTAGAAGTCATATCATTTTCAATAGTAACTTCTAATTACATGATTATATGATAAAAGATAAACGTTTTCATTAGAAACCTAACTTCCTTTGATTGAGTTAAATGTAAATGTTACATAAGAAGTTAACTTACTTGAACACTTTGATAAATTAGTCATTAATTTTAAAATCTCCTCAATTAAATTATTTATATTAATCTGAAAAGATACAAAAACAAACGAACTATTGTATTAGTGATAGAAATTAGTTCCGTTAGTCAGTCAGATACAACGTAGGATCAGGCATATATATGCATCAGTCCAAGATGGAATACTTCATAAGCACAACAACATGAACAACGAATTCATAGAAGTAGTTAATATAAGAAGGAAACATTGCATATAAGGATATAGTACAGGAAGAAAGAATTAGTTCGTAGAAAGAAAGATATGGAGCGATTTTAATATCATAGTTTAAGGGAAGATAGAGAGTGTATACACCGACACCATTGTGATCGATTCTGAGGTATGTCACCCGGAGTCTCCAACTAACTAGAAATTAGTTCAAGTAGAAATCAATATTTTATGTCATTCATAGAAATGTATTCACTACAGATTTGGCGAAACTATAATTTATCACGTATAGAACAACAGGTCTCGGATTTTGGAGCTAAATTCATTCATCCATTTGGGTAAATAGAGCTTTGGCATTATAGCTGTTGTCAGTTCGTGATGAAAACCCGAAATCTAATTCCAAAGTAAAATCATCAACTGTAAATTATAATTATAATTCCTCACACAGGTTCATAACCCTTATTTAGTCCTGGTTATTAATTGGACACTCTTAAGGTCAGTCTAGCGTCGCTCAAAGGTCGTCTATAAATTATAGTCTCACCACAGATTTTAAATCATCCTGCTACTGCATAGTTAAAATAACCTTATTGTGTGATGTGCGCTACTTATGAGGAACGATATAATTAGGATATAGGAATCGGAGGTGAAATGAATACCGGCAAAAGATTCAAATAAAAAGAAGAGGAAGGAAAACAGAATAACAATAGAATTGGAAGAATGATCAAGTGTGTAAGGGTCAACTCAAAGAGAGTATGCAAATAATGTATTCTTATATTTTGCAAAAACATTTCGTGCTTTAACCTACAATAAATAATTGGTTTGCCGTATCTAAGTTTTCGGCCAGTACAATTAGACAATTCATTCATAGTAGCTAGGTGGATAACGCAATGGCGTTTGAGGTGAACGATACTGGGTTCGAGGCCCAAAGTAAACATTAACTCTAGGTTACAGGTACATATAGCTAATGAGTCCTGAATGGGACGAAACACGCATCCTAGATTCCACTGCTAGCCACTATCCATCTTTGCTTATAATCCTTTTGACTTAAACCAATATCTAAACAATTCGCACCTGATGAGCATATGAGCGCTAATAAGAGACTGTCCTAAACATCAAATAGGAAGATTCAAACAAACAATACAAAAATGAACTGATTCATTATATTGTTCAGTAAGTCAGCACGAACCATATAAACCACTTTTCACCATAATTTTAGGCCATCAAAAAATGTATTTAAAGTGTTACATTCACAGGCTAGGTGACATCTTACGATATTCTTGAGGCACATTGAAATATGACGTGCTAAGGTTAGCTATTATTATACCTTTTGTCGATTCCTGTGTTATTGGTGTAATTTGATTTCTGTAACATATTTCCACAGTTTATTATTAACGTAGAAGGCAATATTATACAACTCGAAACAGCAGTACACTTTCTATATTCTCATAAAAAAATCTTGAAAAAAAGATGACATCACTTAGAGTTTATGAGAACAATGAGAAAAACAAATATATGTATTCAGGATCTAACAGCTCACAGTTATATAATATACCCTTATAGTTTCACATCGGTTTTCAGGAGAAACAGACACCACTCGAACTTTCACGTAACAAACCAAACAATACAGCTTAATCCCATTTAACAAGAGAGCCAGATACTGCCCAGGCTTAAAAATTATAGCCCAAATAGTACGGTTCAATCCCGTTTCCAAGAGAACCAGACTGAAACTTTATAACCCGAGCAGTACATCTCAATCCCACTTCACAAGAGAACCAGACACTATGTAGACTTTAACGCTACGATCTGAATAATACATCTCAATCCTGTGGCGAAACCACACAAGTACCAAGCACCCTAATGGATCTAACAGTACTTACTTGTAAATATTTATCCTCCATTGAATGTGGTCCATGTAAATCTGATTTAAATATACTAAAATAATGAGCAATAATAATTGATAGACAATTTGACCATAATTGATTTTCACATTTCATTGAAACATTTACATTATTCATAATAGATAATGATAATTTAGTATGTAGACAACAATTGAATAATGATAGATTATGTAATGTTAATCGAATAAATAATCTTGTTGAAAACACTAATAGTCGTACTGATTGTGGATTATACTTGTATATTGTATCCTTTTGATTTGTATCATTTGATTGATCTATTCTCAATAAAGATAAAAAAAAGAGAATTTTCTAGATTAAAAGAATAATGATATACTGATAAAGATAAAGTACTAGAAAGTATTGAACTAGAAGATAACTGATTATATAGGGTATACAGGGAGAGAGAACAAGATAAACACTTTAAATTCACATCAGTTGGGATCACCGGGTAGGTAATAGTGAGCTTAGAAGCAGAGTATTAGGGAATGATAGAAAATAAGTTGATGAAGTTGTGAATCTTTATCGACTGAGATGAATGGGCTACGTGTTACGTATGCCTGAACACCGATTACTACGACACTCAAAGCTGACTAGTGTTGGGGATAGTTGGAAGAAAGTTGGGAACAGCCAAACCAAAGCGTGGCATCACTCCTCAAAGTCACTAACTTCTAGTCTGAGCCATGTTGATATATACAGACTACTTGGTTGGGGTCCGTGTGACTATCGTAACCAATGGCTGGAGACTCTTGGTGGCATGGCTTAGAATCGATCGCAATGGTATAGGTGTATACACTCTCTATCTTCCCTTAAACTATGAGGTTAAAATCGTTTCATATCTTTCTTTCTACGAACTAATTCTTTCTTCCTGTACTATATCCTTATATGCAATGTTTCTTTTATATATTACCACCATTGAATTAACTACTTCTATGAATTAGGTGTTCATGTTGTTGTGCTAATGAAGTATGGCAACTTGGACCGATGCATGTATGTGCTTGATCCCACGTTTTAGCTGACTGACTGATGTAGTTAACAAAAAGTATAATTTGAATGATTTCATTGAAATGTTCCTAACAGAGCTAGTGTAGATGTGTGATTCGCAGAAATAACTTTGAGACCTAGATTGTTTAACTACGAGGTGGTATATATACCTCAAAAATTACATTTACTTAATTAGGTAACAGTATCCATAAGCGAGGGATATACTTCGAATCAACCAGCTATTCCGAACTTTTGCAAGGCAGTTAGGAGACTTTACCTACACTCACTCATCGTTGATTTTAGCAACCCCGTAAAAGACTGTATGGATAGTGAATCGTTAAAAACAGTCGTGTTTTACACTAAAAAAATCCAGTTTCTCAGAAATAATTTTGACTGTGGAGAAATATTTCGGTCATCCATGCCCACAAACAATTCAGTATAGTCGGTAGCAGAGCTTTCTAAGTAATACTGAGATATGGATGACTGTAGTTGGACACAAGAGAGGTGATGTGAGAGCTAACGCTACTACTGGAGTACCCCAAGACAAATGCGTAGAAAGGAATCCAAATCGGTGATTTAATAGCTAAAGGAAAATTCATTAACTATGAAACCATTGCTCTACTCACTCTCGAGAATAAAAATTTTCGCTCAATGACATAATATGCATAAACGTGTACTCATGTATTCGATTTATCAACTCGTGAAAAAGAGGTTATTCAACCATATAGTTTGGGGTCGATCAAACTTGAATATTAGGATAAATGGTGATAAAAATAGCTACGAAAACAACCAATTATAAACATGCCCACTAGAACAAATTGATATAAAACTCAAGGAATAACTAAGAAGCTCACTTCTACATGAAGTAAGCGCTAATGTTAATGTTCTGAACTACAATAAAAACTCTCCAACTGAATGATATAACTCAGGGAAGTCAACAACACCAACATAAATCTATTAATTAGTTGAAGCTAGTCGACAGGAGGCCTTCTTCTTGAGTATCTCAATGGTAACATTTCAGACTAAAAAGCTGAGAGACATGAGATTGAATCCTTCAGGAAGTACTAATTCCCTCAAGGTTATGAGTACAACTTGCCCATGTGTATCACATAGCAACCAACCTAGGTCTACGAATTTCTATCGATCAGGTTCAACCACCTAAAACTTTAGTATAGTCCATGCAGTATCGAGTTCCTTGAACTAGTAGCCAAGTTACACGTCAATTAATAGAAATTGATTAATATTGACAAGTGACTTACCAAAATATTGATTATCCGTACAAGTATTTGATGTTTTATTTATCGATTCCTCAGAAGTTAATGATGAAGAAGATCGGGATCGTTCATCGAACATTTTATTAGATAATGTTATCTTATCATTATTGGTAGCAGTAGTAGTAGTAGTAATAGTAGTACTGTTGTTTATAAAAGAATTTTCATGAAAGGTATACTGAATAAAATGTACAAGGAACTCATAAAAATTATTAAAACCATATGTTCTAATAAATTGCACTTGTGTAAAAGCATCTTCTAGTATAGTGAATAACTGATCGATTGAATTGTTATACATATTATGATTATCACTATGTGAATCACCATTATTCAATAATGGCTGAAATGTAAAAAAAAGAAAGAGAAGGAGGGAGGGAGGGAGGGAGAAAATAGTAGGCAACTATCAAAACTTAATTATTACTATGAAAAGAAACATAAATGGTGTCTGTATGTAAAGTTATATTAATTGTAGAAATCAAGTATATACTATTGTTTTTTATTATCATAATATCAAGTGTATATTATTAACTGTCATTCAAGCTAATATTCCATACGCTAACAGTTATGTGATTTTATTGATGAGACGCAGAAAATTCCTTAAGAAAAAAAAAAGTCAAAAAGGGGCCCTTTAAACAGTGAGGAACATCTAATCTAATCAGTATTCAATAGAAGTTTTACATATTAGGGTAGGATCATTGATGAACACAGTGAATCTGATACAGATGTGAAGACAAAGCAAGAGCAGCCTATTTACAACTGAAAAACATATGGAACTCAAAACAACTGTCTGTTAAACAACACCAACGTCGGATTTTTAATACAAACGTCAGAACACTTTTATTGTATGGGGCGGAAACCAGAAGAACTACGAAAGCCATCATCCAGGAGATAAAAGTGTTTATTAATAGTTGTCTATACAAAATACGTCGGACCCGTCAGCCAGAAACTATCAGCAACAACCTACTGTGGGAGAGAACAAACCAAATCCTAACCGAGGAAGAAGCGCTGAAAGTGGATAGAACACACATTGAGGAAAGCACCCAACTGAGTCACAAGACAATCCCTCACATAGAACCCTGAAGGCCAAAGGACGAGAGGAAGACCAAAGAACAAATTACGCCGAGAAATGGATAAAGATATGAGAAGAATGAACATTAATTGGATAGAACTAGAAAGGAAGACCCAAGACAGAGTGGGTTGGAGAATACTGGTCAGTGATGTATTCTCTATTGGGGGTAACAGGAGTAATTCAGTAAGTAAAGTAAGTAATTCAATAGTAGTTCACCAGAAACATCTAGGAAGCGAAAAGTCAAATGATACATTTCTAATTGGATGATTACCTATCCTACTACTATGTTTAGTAGAGTTCAAGAACTTTCCAGAAACCTAGGGTTATCTACTAAACCGTTATAATTACCCTTGATTTCCTGTACAAAAACGAACCTTGGAGTAAAGAAATATTTCTCTATTTTTCGCCTTTTCTCTCATGTTCAAGTTATCGTGTGGGCTTAACCTGAGGGTTACTAGAAGAGCTTATGAAACCGAATTAAGCGTTCAATTAGAAGATTTATCACTTACGTCAAACTTTAGTTAGATTGTATCATTAACATAATTATTGCAAAGATGTATATAAAATAGTTGATTTAAATCATGAAACTATTAAGTGAATATAGTTTGATAGGCCTATCATAATGAGTTTTATTGTGTTTTCCATGTCTTTGGGTCCTTTTTTCTTTTCAGTTATAGATGATTGTAAGAACCAAGCAACGAAACTGGAATCTTCATTCATTACACCATACCATTAAAAGCATTATGTCTTAGTTATCTCATTAAGCAAATGCTGTTTTTCAACTATTGCGTTGTATGTACATTTATCATTCCGAAACGCTCATTACATAGTAACTACATCATTCTTGTAGTGCACTTACTCTCTCGTTATACGGTTTATACAAGAAAACAATGTACTTGCAAAGGTGACGTCTATTATGGTGTATGTTTCAATAATAGTCAGTCAGTCAGTAACAACGTAGAACTTCGTACGTTCGTGCATCAGTTCGGGTTTTTATAACACATTAGCACAGAGATGCCGTTGTCGATACAAATCCCATTGCGGTAGAGGTAGTAAAAGTATAAGTAGTAATAAGAAACATTAGGGTTTGAAGATGTTATTCAAGGACTGTAGTCCAGTTAAATAAATTTGAAAAAAGAAAAAATAAGGGATATGAAGAATTCAGAAGATTAGGATTTGGGAGAACACAAAGAGTGCATGCACCTGCTCTATTGCAAACGACTTTGAGCCATGTAATTTAAGGTCTCTAACCATCGGTTGCTATCATCTCGCGGATCCCAACCAAGTAGTAATATACTCTATAATGTTACTACCTATGGGTACGAAATATTATGCTTCATACTATTATAACCCCTATGACGAATTGGCAAACAAAACAATATATAAATCATGTTTTCTCAAATGATGTAATCTCATATTTTCTTACATATTACAGCCTTTTTTGTGTCTACTCGATCATCCTTGTGAACTAAAGTGTACTCGGTAAGGATTTTCAAAAGATAAATTATTACAACCGAACTCAATAAAATGATAATCCTATACATTTTATTTTATGACTACAGATTTAATGTCACTTAGATGGTTGGAAGAAAGTTAGGGGCCGCCAAACCAAAGCGTGCCATCACTCCTCAAAGTCACTAATTTCTAGTCTTAGCCTTGTTGGCATATACAGACTACTTGGTTGGGGTCCGCGTCACTATGGTAACGAATGGTTGGAGACTGAATGACATGGCTCAGAATCGATCACAATGGTGTAGGTGTATACCCTCTCTATCTTCCCTTAAAATCTGAGATTAAAAATACTTTATATCTTTCTTTCTTTCTTTTATACATTACCACCATTAAATTAACTACTTCTATAAATTAGGTGTTCATCTTGTTGTGATAATGAAGTATGGCAATTTGGACCGATGCACATATGTCCCTGGTCCTACTTTGTAGCTGACTGACAAGATATTCAATCAATATAATGGAACTCATTTATTGAATATCGATTTGTACATTAAAGTTTGAATTAAGCTGCTTGCATAGGGATACATGAAACTACCCATTTAGCTAAACTTTAGAAAACAAAACAGGATTCAAATACTTAACCAACTGAATACTTTAAATACTAAGATGCCACTTTTAAAAATAATATAGATGTTTTGTGAACCAGTGAACATTGTTAATGTTAACAAAACAATTGAATATTGGTAAGGGTTTTATGGATATTATTAGTAATTTCAATAGTTTAGAACATGAATCAATTGAATCTAGCCCACCATTAGAAAACCTAGAAGAACTGAACGGTCGTATCGTCCTAGTATGGGGACTCCTTAACAGTGTTCATTCACTTTGAATATTGAATAAAAATTCCATTGACAATGAATGATAAATAAAGAACTAATAAAGAAAGAAAAACATTGTACAATATTCAAATAACATACCGCTATATTTGGTATCATTTCAAGTAAAACAATCATTGGCGGTAAAATTAAAGAACTTAATTGATTGATATTTTGCAAATCAACTACATCAGTAATTGGATCCTTGTAGTTTTCATTTATATAAAACTTTATTTGTATAACTTTACTTATAAATGAAATACCAAGTTCAGTAAAAGATTTTTTCGAATGTTTATTTGAATTCTGAACATTGATTAATGAATGATAAAATAAATTCTGATTTAAATGAATGATCATTGGTGGATTTGACCAATTTGAATGAGAGATTAATATAAGATAAGCTAATAATTGCCAAATTGATATGATTTCTTCAATAGTCTATGAAAAGAGAAGGAGAAAAGATGTATTATTATTTATTTATTTATTTATTTAAATAATTTCAATGGTTAAGATCATGAGTCAGTTGAAGCTAGACCCCACCATGGAAAACTTGGAAGAACTGGACGGCCGTTTCGTACTATTGTGAGACTCCTCAGCAGTGCGCGGTAGGTCCTGGATTCGAATCTCGCAGGGGGCGAGGTCATGGATGCACACTGCTGAGGAGTCCCACAATAGGACGAAACGACCCTCCAGTGTTTCCAAGTTTTCCATAGTGGTCTAGCTTCAACTGACTCATGATCTTAACCACTGAAATTACTATAATATCCACAAAACCCATCTGTTATTTAAATACATAAACATTCGTACAAAGAGATAACAAATAGATACGTGCAAACATAAATTATTCGATTTGTGTGAGTGCTGGGATACTGATCAGGTGCCCAAATCAAAGCAGATGGGTTTTTTAGGTGGGCCATACCCGGAGCCTTCGACCTAAAGGTCTAATCCACAAGACAGTGGGGTAACGTAAGGAGATGCAGTCACATGGAAGCCGGTGACCAACAATTGGTTCATACGCCATTTGTTCCTTTAAGATACTGGGACTCATGTCCACCATTGGTTTCGAATCAGGGTTTTCCAACTTCCCTAGGTGAATCCTCCGTGTTCACTATTAATGTCATAAGCGTAAGCGTTATTCGTGGAAATGGTAGTTTCCATAGTTAAAATAACGAACTGATCATAGCTAGACCGTCATTGAAATTTATTTTATTTTTATTTATTTGAACATATAAATAGGGGTACAATGGGGAACCGAATACATATGCGCCACATAAGTCACTTGATTTGTGTGTGGGTTGTGTTACTGTGCGGGTGCCCAGACGTAAGCGGGTGGTTTTTTAGGGAGCCACACCCGAAGCCTTCGATCTAAAGGTCTGATCAACAAGGCAGTGGATCGACGTTAGGAGATGCAGTCTCATGGTAGACAGTGACCAACGATTGGTTCATACACCATTTGTCCCCTCAGGATACGGGAGCCCATGTGCACCGTTGGTTTCAAATCAGGATTCCCCGTCTCCCTTAGGTGGACTCTCCGTGTCCACCGGATATTCGCTGTTTATCTTCACAATTTCGTAAACAATAGTAATGCTAAGAAAAGGCAGTGAGTAAAACTTCCCTGTCAGTGGTTGGAGAGGAATAGCTGACACTCCCCACCCTCGGCTGTACCAAGGGGTCGTCACTGAAAACCTAGAAGCATTATACGAGCGTCTCGTCCTATTATGGGACTCATTAGCAGTGCATATCTACGGCTCTACTACAGAGGGTTTGAACCAAAAACTTTGGTCTCGAGCACGAATGAACAATAGTTAGACCACAGAGCTAATATCCAATGAAGTGCATATCCAATTATAGCCAACATTTAATGTTCTATCACTATCTTCCATTATTTGCGATGGATAACTGTCTCACACTAAACATGTTTGCACTCCTCTGTTCACCGCTTCTCATTAGAATTACAGGGATTGCATCTTGAAGCTGGTCACTAGTGTGCAGATGATTATTATTTGGGTATAAAGAGGCAGTGGTCTGGCTAATATCAATTCTCGATTCAAACTGTTATTACTATGAAAGCTATTAAAAATATCCAAGCAGTTGAGATAACTCTGTTTTATTGTAACAACTTACTTAACAAAAAGTATAATACAATCAATTCAATCGTCAAAATTTAAAGATAATGACAAAATTGATGTTGATAACACACGGATATACACGGAATTATAACAAACGTTTTACCTTTGAATTCGATGTGTGTAGTAACTTTTCTGATTCATTTAAAATATCAAAAAATAAGCCAACTGTGGAATACATCAAACGATTTTGTAATAGTTCGTATTCTTGTATTGACGTTAATTGAATGTGATCACTGGAGACTGTTGAAGGACGATTCAACTGGACAGTTAAAACATTATTAACTAAACATCTATAGTAATAATAATAATAAGAAGAAGAAAGCTGAACAGTTAACAAAGTTTCTTTATTTATCACTAAAGAATTGAAATACAAGTAAACTTCTGTTAGCTTAGGTAATGCTGAAGTTATAAAATACTGTCAAGCACAAAACGTTGATCTCTGTAATCACATTTTTGGGTCGTTAAGACAACAACTAACCAAGTTTTCGTTTTAACTATTTGAAGAAGGAATACCGATTCCCTAAAGACTGCAAATACACAGTCATCACGAGTGCCAACTAGTATGTAACAAATCTAATGTTTCCCGTCGATTATGTCTAACTACTTAATCAAACTCAGACCAGATGTTGATAGAATTTGACCAGATTCGACAAATACGATAATAATAATTACTAGATGATTATACAGTGCAAATTCATAGTATGACCTTAATGCAATATCTCATTTGTTACTATGTCGTCAAGTTAATATAAATATTTCCCCTAAATGAATACATAAAGATTATTAAGATTATCAGTGTTTTCATCACCACCTCAGTCAGTCAGTCAGTAACAACGTAGAACTTCGTACGTACGTACATCAGTTCGAGTTGCCACACCACATTAGCACAGAGATGCAGTTGTCGATTCAAATCCCATAGTGGTAGAGGTAATAAGAGTATAAGCAGTAATCGGGAAGATTAGGGTCTGGAGATGTTATTTAAAGAGTATAATCCAGTGAAATAAATTTGGAAAGAGAAAAGAGAAAGGGACATGAAGAATTCAGAAGATTAGAATTTGAGAGAACACAGAGAGTGGATGCACCTGCGCCATTGCAAACGATTTTGAGCCATGTCATTCAGGGTCTCTAACCATCGGTTGCTATCATCTCGCGGTCCCCAACCACGTAGTCTACACCTACCAACATGACTCAGTTCACTTGTCAGTGACTTCATGGATTTGTGCCATGTTTTGGTTTGGCCGCCCCTAGCTTTCTTCCAACCTACTCCTATACCACTGAACATAGCTCGTCGAGGCAGTCAGTGGTTGAGCATACATAACACGTGTCCCAGCCATCTCAACTGATGAAGTTTCACTACTTCATCAATTGATTTGCCATTCTTACCTAGTACCCGTTTCCTAACAACTGTGTACTTACTCGATGGTCCCATGATATACGAGCGATGTTTCGAAGACACCTATGATCAAATATTAGTAACCTACGAATATCCTCTACTCTTACCGGCCATGTTTCACTGCCATAAAGTAGGACGGAACGAACTGCTGCGCAGTAAACACGTCCTTTGGTTGATAGACGGATATCTCGCCTACGCCATAAATGACGCAAGTTGGCAAAAGCTAGTCGAGCCTTCTGTATCCGTGCTGAGATTTCATCACACACCAGACCACAAGGGCTGATCAGACTTCCAAGATAAGCGAAGCGGTCGACACACTCAATTACTTCACTCCCTATCATTAGTTCGGGTGTCGATGTAACCCAATCCTGAAGCAACATTTTGTATTTCGAGGGAGAGAATCGCATCCCGAACATGCTTGCATTGTTGCTTAGAGTGGTCAGAAGACTCTGCATTTTGTCAGCGTCTTCACCAAATAAAACTATGTCATCTGCATATTCTAAGTCAACAAGTGAACCTCCCGGTAGAAGTTCAACCCCTGGAAATCTAGATGAGGAAAGTGTTATCTCTAGAAGTACGTCCACGACAAAGTTGAACAAGAATGGGGAGAGTGGACAGCCCTGACGAACACCACTTGAGGTAATCAATTCTGATGACAGTTCGCCATAAGCTCTCACTCTACCAGTTGTGTTCGAGTAGAGAGCCTTTATAAGGTTAATGTACTTCTTTGGTACTCCTTTCAGTGACAAACACTGCCATAGAACCTCACGATCAACAGAGTCGAACGCCGCCTTAAGGTCGAGAAATACTACCATTGTGGGGCGTCGGGCATCACCACCTACCTAACTTAATAAATGATTATAAACTAGAAAGTTAATTATCCTCATTAAATTATTTGAATAATCACTAATAAACAATCCAATGGGAAGAAATTATGCTTGAATAAATATAGAGGAATGATAATCAAACCATAGTGCAAATTAAAAGTTCATCGGACAAGTAATAGGATAACACTAAGCTAGGTGGGTGAGACTATAATTTATGGATGAGCTTTGAACGATACCAAAGTGACGTCGATAACATCCACCTACTAACAACGACTATATAAGAGTTGTAAAACAGTGTGAAGAATTAGAATTATGATTTGCAGTTGATGTTTAGGGTTAGAAAATAGATTTAGGATTTTCATTACGAAATGACATAAGCTAAAATGTTAAAACGCTGAAATCCAAGACCTACTACCCCAAATCTGATTGGTTCGTTCATAAATTACAGTGTCGCCACTCATTCGTTACAGTAAAATCTTATCATCAGTACTATGTGAATAGTAAAAAACGCACCACTCTATATTCCACGTCATATGTTAAATTACTAATTGACAATGCAAAAGTAATTTGAATACTCAAACAAATTACAAGTTAATTAACATTCATTTCCACTCCTGATTGTTCACTTTTTATACGAAAAGTTATTTATAACTGGTACTATTTTGTATAATAATAACAAATTCAATCACCTATAGATATTTATATATTGAGTAAGTCTATGGTTTCGCCTTCGGTAATACATTCTATAGTTAAGTTCATGAGTCAGTTAATGCTAGACCACCATGAAAAACCTAAAAGTACTGGATGACCATTCCGTCTTAGTTTGAGACTCCTCCTTAGCAGTGGGTATCCACGATCCTACTTGCAGGATTCAAACCCAATGCCTGTCTGTCTCACCGGCGAACGCTTAACCTCTAGACTACTGAGCCATCATCCAACAATATTAATATCTAACTTTAACCAATCCACGAAATTGCGCCACCATCCAGTACTTCCAGGTTTTCCATGACGATCTAGCATTAATTAACTCATGAACCCAACTATAAAATTACTAAAATCTCCACAAAACCACTCAATCTGATAATAAATTCTAATTCAATTAGTAAATTCATTAAAATTGAATGATTTGAATATTTTGATATCACATACTTTGTTCAAATTATTCATTGAGTTTAGTAATTATAAGAACATTCGTAATGGAACTGATTTACCATGGATTCATTACTTTTAAACACTAACAATAGATATACCTGTTTAAAATAAGCCATTCTCGATTAGACAATATGATATACCTTTTTTATATATAACAATTTCAAGTTTTATTGCTAAATGATAAAAAAAGAAAAGAAATTTGCTGAAAAAGCTTGTAACTTAAGGCTACATTGAGGTAATTCGCATAGGATGCATATATGACAACAAGAGACTGATCAATTGTAGTCCTAAATAACACTAGGAAGATACAAGTAAAACAATATCAAGTGAATTTAAACTTTATCCCATTGTACAAACAAGTGACTATCAGGACTTAGTAGCTAAGTGGATAACGCGAACGGTACTGAGTTTGAATCCCAGAGTGAATATCAAAACTCTGAGATTTATGTATATCCAGCTGACAAGATCCAAATAGGACGAAACGCACGTCCTGGATTTCATTGCTAACCACTATCCCCATCTTTGCTTAAAAAAGCTTATGATTTATGACTAATATCGAAGCAATCCACACAGGATACACATATGACAATAAGAGAGTACTCAACAATAGGAAGATACAAGTAAAACAACAATACCAAGTGAATTTAATACTAAACCATAAAGAATATTATTTATTTATTTTAACACATAGATATTGGTACAAGGAGGCACCAAATACATATTTCTCGACCGTTGTTGCTACCTTGACGTGGTGGTCGAGCTTGCCTATCGTGATAAAGCAACCGAGCTTTACTGGCTGGAACAACTGTTCCTCAAGGTCCTACCATGTCAGACAGGTCGGTTGAAGAGCGGTAAGACTAAAAGCAACAAACCCAAGGTCCGAAGGCGAAGTCGTACTACTGACTGTACAGAGGTGTGACAGCAGTAAGGTGTTTCATTCAGATAACCAGCATAACAGTGATGCTGCCTTCCCACAAGGAGGGGTGGGGTTAGAAAATGTCGACCCTTGAAATGCACACCTCGCCTTATCCCACGGATATCCGTTTGTGGCGGTAAGGTCTCAACAAGTACGGAGCTAACACAAAAACTACCCATAAAAAGGTCGTGTGTGACCGACCTCAAGCAGTTGTCCGTTGGGCACTACGGTCACGCTCTCAGGTCACTAAGACCACCCCTAATCCAATTTCCTTTTCAGGTACCTCCAGAAGAACCCTTCCACGGTGTGGGCAACCGGGAAGTGATAACCGCCCTCATACATCTAACAGCACTCAAGGCTGAAATGCATATGCGCCACACAGATCTCATTTGATATGTGTGAGGGTTGTAATACTGCCCGGATGCCCAAATTAAAGCAGATGGTTTTTTGGGGGGCCACACTCGGAGCCTTCGACCTGAAGGTCTGATCCACAAGACATTGGAGCATCGTAAGGAGATGCAGTCCCATGGTAGCTGGTGACTAACAATTTGTTCATATGCCATTTGTTGCCGCACGATACTAGAGCCCATGTGCACCATTGGTTTGGAATCCGGCTAAAGCGGTGGACATTCGCTTTTCGTCTTCTCAATTTCATAAACATCATCCCCCGCTACGAGAAGGCAATGAGTAGGTCTTCCCTGGCAGAGGTTACTGCTAATATAGAATATTTATATAATGAATAAATCATTTACCTTAACAAGTAATATGAATGATTCACATCATTTATATCCAATAGATTATCCATGAAATCATTGTATACTTTCCAATTATTTATATTAATGATTGAATCATTTATAATATAATGAATGGATTGAATTCTCATTCTTATTAAATTCATAAAACATTCTAATATTAAATCATATTCATTGAAATCCATTGTGATGATTTCTTTCATTGGAATCATTACATCATTTATTATGTAATCCATTAATATGATAATAATATTAATATTATTACTCACATTATTATTATTATTATTATTATATAATAGATTCAATTGTAATTGTAATTGTATTTGCTTCAATAATTGAGAAAAAAATTTTATTTTTATTCTAGAAAATTTTGAATTATTTATAAATTGATAGAAAATTTGTTTTAATAAATTCAATTTTTCATTTTTAATTAAATTTATTAAAAATGAATAAATAATATCATAATAATAATTATTATTATAATTATTATTATTAGTAGTATTATTAGTATTATTATTACTATTATTAGTAGTAGCAGTAGGAAGAGGAGGAGGAGGAGGAGGAGGAGGAGGAGGAGGAGGAGGAGTACTAGGAGTACTGAAATGATTCGAAATGAACGGTGATATTATGTAATATAATTTAAACAATAAATCAAATATCCATTGAACATATTGATCATTTAATAAATAAATAGAAGAAATTGATGTGATATGTATATACATAAATCTTAATAATAAACAGTAAATACTTGGTAGATTATTACTAATAGTAGTAGTAGTAGTAGTAATATCATTATTATTATTATTATTAACAAGTAATGTAGTAATGTTTGTTTGTGATATAAAACAATCTAATAAAACAATAAAATAAGGAAATTCATTATTTACAATGAAATCATTGTTTATTTGTTCATTATGATGTAATAATTGTTTATCTAATTGATGAAGTTGATGAACTAGACTCATATAACAATAATAATAATCATTATTATTATTATTATTATTATTATTATCATATCGTGTATCCATAGTACAATGACAATCATTTACATTAGATGAACAATCATTCATGTATAATCCATTTGTAAATGGTAAATTCATTAAAAATTTATTCATTACATTATGCCATTGATTGTCAATATAGAAATATTGAGGATTAATATGAATAAGATATGCAAGTGTATCAATTATGGTTATTTTAAAAGAAAAATATTGAATAGTATCTATGGAAATAAACCATTGAATTAAACATTTATTCAAATTTAATAATAAATTATTATTATTATTGATCATGAGAGGGAGATTTAAATGTTTACAATATTTTATACAATCATATATAATCGATAAATTTTCACAAATTATTACCACAGTTACTAAGTGGGAATTATCTCTGAAAAGAAAAGAAAAAAAAAGAACAATCAATAAAAAATATAAAAAAATTTTATTGATATTAGATATTTTGTAATTAAACAATTTGAAAATAAATAGAATTAAACGTTTATAAAAGATAACCAATACATAATGATCTAATTGTGTTAATAGAGGAAAGTCAGTTAGGTATAACATAGGACCAGGCACATATATGCATTAGTCCAAGTTGCCATACTACATTAACACAACAAGATGAACAACGAATGCATAGTAGTTACTTTAATGATAGTAATGTTTAAAAGAAAGATTACATATAAGGATATAGTATAACAAGAAAAATTTACTTCGTAAAAAGATATGAAACGATTTTAATCTTATAGTTTAAGGAAAGATAGAGAGTGTATACACCTACACTATTGTGATCGATTCTGAGCCATGTCACCAAGAGTCTACAACCATTAGTTACGATAGTCACGCGGACCCCAACCAAGTAGTCTGTATATACCAACATGGCTCAGACTAGAAGTTAGTGACTTTGTGGAGTGATGCCACGTTTAGGTTTGGCCGCCCCAAACTTTCTTCCAACCATTCCCAACACTAGTCAGCATTGTGTATCGTCATAATCGGTGTTTGGGCATACGTAACACGTGGCCCAACCATCTCAGTCGATGATGGTTAACAACCTCATCAACTGATTTACCATTATAACCTAATACCTTGAGTCCAACCTAACTATTACTTACCCGCTGATCTCAGCAGATGCGAGCAATATTTCTAAATTATCTGCGGTAAAATACTAGTAACTTACGAGTATTCTCTACCCTTAATGATCACGTTTTACAGCCGTAAAGTAGAACAGAACGAACTGCCGTGCAGTATACTCGTTCTTTTATCGATAGACGGATACCTGGCCTCCACCATAGGTGACGTAAGTTGGCAAAAGCCAAACGAATGCGAGCTGAGATTTCATCATACACTAACCCATACCATACCACATAAACATAGAGAAAAAATTGTCGATTCAAATCCCATAGTGGTATAGGTAGTAGAAATATAAGCAGTAATTGGAAAGATCGGAAAATGAGTATTTACATACCTTTAAGATAAAACTGTGGATGTTAATATGGAATGGTGTCACAGTGTATAAAGTACTCAACATGAAAATTTATTTTGTCTCATATACATCAATTAGAGAAACAATCAAGTATCGTTTCGATTAAATTATTAAAATACAAACCTATGTAAGTGGTAAACTTTATAAAATATTGTTTTGATCAAATACTTTATTAAAAATCGATCGACCAAAATCACTAAAACTCAATTACGAAATCATTCCAAGTACATTACATCGCTCTTCATTACTTACTTACGCCTGCTACTCCTCGTGGAGGAGCATGGGCCGCCCACGAGCACTCTCCATATAACCCTGTCCTGAGCAATCCTTTTCAGCTCTTTCCAGTTGTTATTCATCCTTTTCATATCTGCTTTTATTTCCCGATATAATGTGTTCTTTTCTGTCTTCATTACATCATATAATTTTGTTCTACTATTGCTTTCAATCGATTATATCATTACTTACCATTTCTAACTATCTTCTAAATCAGTAATCTTATCTTAACTAACTGAGTTTTGGTTACTTTATTCTTATTTATTATTAGAGTGTATTTATATTGAACAATCGCTTGTATCCAAGTCATTAGGGTTTTGTTACTACCGTATTGTTATCAAATGTTCTTCCATATTAAATACATATTTGTAATATTCTTTAATTAATCTTATAAAACACAAATACATAAACATTTTTCCAGTTAAATTCGTCATTAATTCCTTTTGAATTCTTGTTCTCGTTCTTTTCAAGATATAGTAATATCACTACTAATATTAATACTAATAATACCGATGATAATAATAAGACCAAACATGAAGTTGGTTACTAGTTAGTGATAATACAGTCCGTTGTTAAAATACTTGATTACTGAAGCTAGAAAATTATTAGTCAAGTTTGAACCAACAGCTCTGTTATTGAAGGACAAATACTTTAACCGCTAGGACATCGCTCCACACACAAAACATTTACATCCTAAACTTTACAAAGAATCACTGGTAATTGATATCGTTACAACCCCAGGTTAGAAAATATCACTTAATTTACTTACTTAGTCCTAATAAACTTTTCATAAATCGAAATAATGACATTTTCTAGTTCTGTTAAAATATTAATATTGAATGTTGCTAATATATCACTGTATTGAATTGAATATTCTTCATTCATATGTATGATAAACTGGATCATATTGATATATTGACAAAGAATAGTCAATATATGAGGATATGTGCAGAATTGAGGAAGTTCAGTAGTCATATGCTTTGTTAAATAAATCCTCAACACATCTATATTTGAACAATTCGAATGCTTAGGAGACAGAACATGTTGATGAGGAATTGATATAGACTTTGAACAATCAAAAAGATGAAGATTATGTTCAGTAGGTGATATGTCATTTTCACTAAAAAAAGATATTGAATAAATCATTCCGATGGGTTTTTATTAAAACATAATGGTTTAATATAAACTATGAAAAGTTTCTAAACATACCGCAATTTTATAACAGACATAATCACTATTAAAGCAGGCAACTATCATTACACTGAATACAACACAAATATTTATTTTAAATTTTCATATCACAAACTTACTTTGGTTAGACAACCACTGAAAGTAGTGCACATCTGCTTTGTCCTAGCATAGCACTCCTTGGAAATGAGTAACCAAAAACCTACCACAGATTGAATTCGGGACATTCAGACCTCATAATAAGCTTCTAACCTTTAGACTATTGAATTGAATTACAAGTAAAAATCATTGGATACCATTAAGTGTCGACAAAATATTAAAATAACTTTCAAATTTTTAATTACCTGAGTAAATTAATGCGCCTTAAAGGTAACTAATTACTGAAAATTTACGAAATAAGATTACGTCATCCGGAACCTGGAACGATGTTGTATGTTACTAATAACATGTGTATCTTAAGATTTAAACGCTTCGTTCTCACTAGATTACACTCTAAGTAACGTTAGACGTAAAGCGCTGACTACTTCTCTAAGTTAGAACAGGCATGAGTAAAGTTTAAACCATTTAGAGGAAAAAATAGAGCTAATCGTATAGCAGAGATACAAACACGGCCATGTCACATCTAATCTTGAATTAAAGGGAGGATAGCATTACGATAACGCGATTAATTTATATTGTATCAATAATGTACCAAACTACATAAGAATAAAATAGAAATTCAGTACCTAACTCTAAATCTTAGGAATATTACAACCTATCATTCATAAAGCATAACATTTTTCAAGGTAAACAAAGCAGGGCAGAAAAAAATCTATGCAGAAATAATCACTGGAAAGCATCCGTTGCTTGATACGTTTCGAGTGTTTGGTGGAAAACGAAACAAAAAAACGATAGGCGTTGTGCAAGTGATACTGAACATTTCAAACTCCTCTTTGTTCAAATTTGAAAAATCATCTTATTTATCAGAAGGGGTTTTGTGGAGATTGTAGTAATTCCAATAGTTGAGATAATGAGTCAATTGAAGCTAGACCGAAATGGAAAACCGGGAAGCACTGGGCGGCCGTTTCGTCCTATTGTAAGACTTCTTAGCAGTGCGCATCCCCAACAACGCCTCTCGGGATCCGAACCCAGAGCCTATCAGTCATGGAGTTCTAGTGAGAAGCAGTGATCAGTGGAGTTCAACTGGGTCTGTTGTGAGATAGTAACTCACTGATGACAATGATGGATGTGTCGCTCAGTTTCGTGGATTGGTTGAAGTTCGACATTAACACTGTTGGGTGCCGGATAGCTCAGTGGTCAAATGGTTTCGCGCTCGTGCGCGAGATTGATAGGTCCTGGGTTCGAATCTCGCGAGATGAGATGGTGGATGCACACTGCTGAGGAGTCCCACAATAAAACGAGTTGGCCGTCCAGTGGTTCCAGGTTTTCAATGGTGGCCTAGCTTCAATTGACTCATGGTCTCAACTACTAGAAGCATCTTATTCACATTTGAGGAATATATATGGACGGTAAACACAAAGAAAATATACTTACTGTTCAAAATCAGGAAAGAGATTATTGAAATTGACTCTTTCAATCGATTTTTTGAAATGTGATGAGGTAATATTTCTTTTGATTGCAGATTTATACTGGCGCTTTCTAGTTTTTAAAGGAAATTGATCTGTAGAATTTGCATCCGTAATAAAATCTGAATATGAGACATCATCTTGAAAAGAACTACCTTTCTCTTCATATTTACAGATGGTTTTCAAATCTAAGGCGTCCTTATAGCACCTGCAATTATATTTCCCACTGAAATCACAGCCTGACGAGAAAATTCGATGTCTATGTGAATCTAGAACAAGATACAATTACTTTAAGTTACGTATTTTAAAAAGAATACGTTTGCTGGAAAGAAATTTGAACAACACAACTTTTAGGTGAGAATAGATGTGATGCACAATGAGCTGTTGGGGAATAATATTCCTTACGAGAATAATATTTTTGAAACCCGACACCAAAGTGCTAGTCAATTATAAATAAGAGCATGGCAAACATGTGCACCATCCTCATCTTGCTATATTACGCTGTCAAAGAAACATAGAATTGTCAATGTCAGTATCAAATTAGACGAATTGTACCAAAGCATAAGTAATAAGTGACTTCTGGAGGGATAATCTCCCTTTAGTGGTCTAAATATGAGGGAAACGCTGAAAGTCTAAATTTCGTCTCACAGTCCAAGATACATTCATTTTAGAGAAAATGAAATAAGTCGAAAAAGTTGGGATGGATGCATAAACAATAAATCTGAGTCTTGATAGCCACTTGCTTGTGCAATGGGGTGAAGTTTAATTCCCTTGATATTGTTTTACTTGAAGCTCAGTAGCTAAGTGGACAACGCGATCGCGTTTGAAGCGAACGGTACTGAGTTCGAGTCCCGCAGTGAACATCAACTCTGAGATGCAGGTACATCCAGATGACGAGTCCCAAATAGGACGAAATGCGCGTCCTGGATTCTACTGCTAGACACTATCCATCTTTGCTTATAATGCTTGTAAATTAAGGCAATATCGAGGCGTACGCACAGTATGCACATATGCCAATAAGAGACTGATCAATTTCAGTCCTAAAACATCAATGGGAATATTCAAGTAAAACAATATCAAGTGAATCATGGACAGGGTTATATCAATAACCAACAGCCAGAAGTGATTAAAGTTTACGAAAAGGGAAGAAGTTCGGCTGTGTTTAGAGACGTTCAATATATACAAAGTGGTTAGTGTACTGATCTACTACTCTTCCAGTGGCTTTGAAAATCACTGGCATATCACAAATCCGAAACGTTTCATGCTTATTTGTAGAGAAGAAAGCTTTGAGAATTTATAAATTGTTGTTAAAAGCGCTCAGAAGAACCAGACTTTAGAGATTTCTATCAGACAAGATTGTGTGATTTCTACATTCTGAAGAACTGATTTCACTATGAAGTAGACGAAATACAAAGCTCGTGATAATACCCACTATGCTATAAGGTGCAGTCAGTATGTTACTGTTGTATCAATATTATACGTATATCATTCTAAAATGAAGAAAACGCTATTGCTGATCATTTGTGTCGACATTCGTAGGACCAGTTAGAAGTTCATATAAATAAATTGAAATCAAGAATGATTGACAATAAGACATAGCATATCATTAGGCATGATTTAACTGTCATTCCGTTTAGCATATTAAAAAGACATGTACACAGCAAAACTAAAGACCATCCCCATGATGTATTTTATCGGTTATACAACCGATTTAATACAGTGACTTTAGGCATTTTTACCAACAATGTCTACAACGTTCCAAATGTTTTTGAAAATTAAAAGTGAAAAAACAATAGACAGTCATGATCTGTAGCCTACGACATGTCGTAAACAACAAAATAGTTTTTATATGAAGTGAGTTTACACATCCTTAAAGTCTCAGGATTTAAAGTTATATTTTACTTTATAATTTCAACACTAAACTAATGTGCAGAAACATGAATTTATTTGACTGGTGTGACGCATTGTTTCTTCGTCTAATTCTTTGATAACTTGTAATCGATAATAAAAAATTTAATCACGCAAACATATTTCATTAGTACAGCTTTTTGGCTTAGACGTGATTTTTAACCTACCACTGATAATTTCCTTGCATATAAGTTGCACAGTTGATGATAGTATGTGTAAGCTGCAAAGATAACATGATGGAGAGTAGTAGCCATCACACTGAGTATAATCTAAACAAAAAGCATCCACTTCCAAACACGAAAGTATGAAAATCATTTTGTATAATACAGTAAGATCAGTATATCCCGAACTCGATTTTAAGCACTGAAAATTGAGCGAATGCTTATAGTTCACCAATTGAAATAATAGAAAGTCCCTGAAGCAGGTCACATATCTAAAATAGAATAGTAAACTCTGACTATATTTACTTAATTGGAATTTCAAATGTCCCGAATCGGCGACTAATAAAATTGTATAATAAAGTCACAAATTCTTCCAAATTATAATCAGACAACTAAAATACAAGTCAGATAAAGAATTCATTAGATATACGTATGAAGAATTTTTTAGCTTCCAAAAGCATTCCAAAACAGTATTCATGGTAATTTAGTAGGTTTAAACGCTCCTAATAATAATAATCGACAAAAATTTTCATTTGAAGGTCACCATCTGTATATGTATATACCGCCTGGACTTCAGGGTCATATAAATTTCATATACTGCAAATAATCCTAAACAATATAGAAACACTTCGAGGGTTGTTTTCCACTTCTATTTGAGAAGAGTAGACAGAATGGAATTTGTGTGAGGATGACAACAGGCTTACGGCTTGTGTTACTTTTATCTAACAAGCGTCTGAAAGCGTGTGGCCTCTCAAATCAGTAAATTTAAGGAGCGGACACCACTCCTTGGGTACCAGTAAGTGTCACCGGGCCTTATCCAAAACATCAGGCACTTGGGTTACTGGATGTTCAACAGCTCACCGATACCCATCAATGTCACGGACAACCAACGTGCAACTGTTAACTACACATCACGGATCAGCCAATGTATCAGTGGTCTCACTATGTTCCTTGTTCTTACTCATACTAAAATATTCCCTAATCTCATCCTTTGTGCTGTACGGTCATCAAAACAACCGTAGTACCTGGATATGACAGAGAATAATTCACTTTAGGCACTAACCGCTGTTTGGCCTAACTGGAGTGGACCCCGATTCAACCGACAAGGATAATCTACGTTAGTGATCTGTAGCAAGTTCTTGGTTTGAAAACGAATATGCCGCTGTTACTCTATTCTTTTACAGCTTTTGCAAATGCTTAGTACGTCCTCTGTTTCATCCTGATTCGGTAGGAAGAAAATAAGAGGATATATCAGGTTCAAAATCATTTCTTAGTACTCTATACATCAAAACCATCGATAAGACAGGGCAAAAAGATTTAGCTTCTCAAGCCGTTCTTTGTGTGTTGGAATTGCACCCTCTGTACCTTTTCCAAGATAATTGAGTCGTTTTTCAAATAAGGGCTCGCAGCCTAAACTCAATTCACAAGTTTAGATTTCATCAAAGTTGTATATACTATAGTGAAAAATTTAGTGCTTAACTTGGTAATTATCTGCCCTGGGGCTCATATGACTCTAAACCACTTAACTGCGACCTCAACTCAGTGAGCGGCGATTTTAAGATCTTAGATCAATGTTACTCCTATACCATTGAGAGACCGAACCTCGAGCAAAGACTCCTTACCGTTGATGTACATATTCATCATTTTATGTGAATGCCGACACGCTTAGCCGAGTTGAGTGACATCAGCAATTTTTTAACCAACTACCTTGAACATGTAAGACCGCCTGAAATGAACGAGCATCTTAGTCTTCCATTGTTTCAAGACACATTTATTCCCCAGTGAAAAATATTAGCACTGGGGTCGAGACCTTAATCGGCAGTTCATTTACACATAGAATAGAAAGTAAATGACTGATAATAACAGCCAGTTGTGTGGAATTTTGTCAAAAGCTATACTGAAGTTTTCGAAAACGCACCAAATTTTGCGTGGTATTATAATTCTATGAAACATGAATAACTCTTTCTAAAGCCGTATCGTTTTTCAGAGATTGTCCGGTTTTCGTAAAGATACTTGAATAACGCATTTCGGAGTTTTTTATTTAAACAGCCATTCTGGTCAGGTTTACAGACAGATAGTTCATAGGTTTGTGCTTCCTATATGTTTGAAAACATTATTTAAGACTTGTTAAGTGAAACTAGATTACAGACAAAATAAAACACATAAAACTCAAGATCACCCTGAGCAAAACCAAATCGACCATATCTGCATCAACAAAAAGCTCAGGAGGACGGTGGAAGATGTGAGAACCGACAAACTCAACAAATTCAAGATAGTCCTCAGCATTAGATTCCAGGCCTTTAGAGATCTACTCAGTGGAGAGGGAACTAATGTAGAGGGCAACTAAAAAGGGTTAAAAGTGGCAATCACCTCAACATGTTGTGAGGTTCTGGGCCACAAGAACCACAATCACTAGGAATGGATCACTGTTGATACACTGGATAAGATTCAAGAAAGAAGGAACAAGAAGGCAGCAATCAATACCAGTCGAACAAGAGCAGAAAAAGTCAAGGCACAAGCTGAATACACAGAAGTAAAGAAGCAAGTGGTGAGGAGTATCAGAACCGACGAACGTAAATATGCGGAAGATCTAGCAATGACGGTGGAAAAGGCTGCAAGAGAAGGAAACATGAGAGAACTGTATGACACAACAAAGAAACTCGCTGAAAATCACCGTAATCCAGAACGACCAGTGAAAAGCAAAGAAGGCGAGGTAATCACCAACATTGAAGAGCAACAAAACAGGTGGGTAGAACACCTCAAAGAACTCTTCAATCGACCAGCCCCACTGAACCCACCCCACATCGAAGCAGCACCCACAGACCTCCCAATTAATGTTGGCCCACCAACAATTGAAGAATTCAGAATTGCCATCAGACAAATCAAGAGTGGCAAAGTAGCAGGACCAGACAACATTCCAGCAGAGGCACTGAAAGCAGTAAATGCAATGATACTCCACTCTTCAGCCACATTTGGGATAAAGAACGAGTACCAACAGATTGGAAAGAATAACACCTGATCAAGATACCAAAGAAATGTGATATCAGCAGGTAAGATAACTACAAAGGCATCATGCTTCTCTCAATACCGAGAAAAGTCTTCAACAGAGTATTGTTAAACAGAATGAAGGACTCCGTAGAAAGCCCAACTTCGAGACCAACAGGCAGGATTCAGTAAGGATAGATCGTGTACAGACCAAATCGCAACTCTACGGATCATTGTGGAACAATCAATTGAATGGAATTCATCACTCTTCATCGAATTCATTGACTACGAGAAAGCAGTTGAGAACGTGGACAGGACAACACTATGCAGGCTTCTTAGACACTACAGAGTAGCTGATAAGTTAGTCAACATCATACAGAATTCCTATGATGGATTAAAGTGCAAAATCGTGCATGAAGGACAATTGACAGACTCGTTCGATGTCAAGACCGGTGTCGGGCAAGGTTACTTACTCTCACCCTTCCTCTTTCTCCTTGTGATCGAACGGATCATGAAGACGTCAATATCTGGGGGGATGAATGGGATACAGTGAACATCTGGGATGCATTTGGACGATCTAGACTTCTCAGACGATCGGGCTCTTCTATCTTATACGCAACAACAATTGCAGGAGAATACGACTAGTGTAGCAGCAGCAGGTATCAACATATGCTAAGGGAAAAGCAAGATTCTTCGATACAACACACATGCAACAATCGAATCACACTTGACGGAGAAGATTTGGAAGATGTAAAAGACTTTACATATCTGAGCAGGATCGACAAAGCAAAAGCAGCATATCTACAATCGAAGAATCTCTGGAACCCAAAACAATTGTCAACCAACACCAAGGTCAGAATTTGACTGATGTACGAATCTATACTGCGTGTGTCAACACTAGAGTAATGAAATGAATCAAAGGAGGTATTTAATCACTTCTGAATATGGACATTACTTTGCGAAACCGTGGATAGAGGCATACTGTCACTAGAAAAGCTCAATCTAGTAAACTCTGAAATGCAGAGTTTGTCATCATCAATGGCGAAACGAACAGTAGTTCCTCTGACTGACTGGATGTGTTCAATTTTACCGCATCAATCAAGTACGAAAGAATTATTAGTTCATAAAGCACTACACAAACCTTATAAACTTACGGAAGATCAAGAGAAAAATATTTTGAGCTTCCAGATATTGATATTTGTTTCATCAGTCCCAAGTAACCGAAATTCTTTGCGTCTTCATCTTCTCTTACCGAGAGAAGTGCAAGTCATAGTACAGAATTTCCCAAACTCCTTATTGTTGCTTAAGGAATAAGCGGTCATGTATTCATTGTGCAGAAATTTCAATATACTTTTGAAGCTGTTTTAAATAGAGATTATGGTTCTCTTATTCGATCTACTGAAGATGCTGAGTGTATAATATCTTGTACATTTGCTTTCCAGACGTTTGGCCTGACTTCGGTTGACACATTCTTATTGTTAAAAGAGTTATGAAAACCAAAGACTAGGACTGCATGGTTACTTCAACCTAGTGGTAGCATTTAATAGAGGTTTGTGGCGTTATCCCCATAATGTGTCAATATAAGATCTAGTAAGGTTGATTAGGAGTCCAGATTGTACCTGGTTGCTTTACTCACACGTTGCACTAGAGCAAATGTGATAACAGAGTCAACTAATTTCCATTCGAAGGAATCTTCTGACACCTTATCGTACTAGCACTGGTCATTCTGTAAGGTAGTAATACATCAATCGCAATTCTGCAATACAAAAGGTTGAGAATTACCATAAAATGGGATCATGAAGATGTAGTACGGACACTCACAATTTAACAAAGGCTTTCGATACTGCGTCACAGTACTTACATATCAGAAAGCCAACCCAGAACATATTTCTGACGTTTGCTGGTTCTCTACTTAAGTTTTTTTGGTAAAACTAAGTAAAAATTATTTGGTCGTAGTTCCTCATCGAATATACCTTTAGGACTCAAATGGCCACAGATACCCAGTGAGCATAAGAGCACATTATCGGTTAGACATTTCAAACTTGTTCTTAGGTGTAACTCCTCGAGAAACCAAACGAGAGAAAATGGACACCCCTAGAGTTGCACACAGTATAGGTCCGAGTAACAGATATTTATCAGCTAGTCTCTGGTGAATTGGGAGTGTTAGAATTTCCGTCTTTGCTATACCCAGTAGGTTTCTAGTGGGACAGATTACCTAATACTGAATAAATGATAGTCGGCATAAACCCCACAGTAGTACAATAACCTACTAAGTTACAACTTCAGGACTGGTGTAGGCACTCAGGGTGACCAACATTCACTCAAAATATATTTGCCTGAAATTTTGAAGATAAATTTTGCAAATATAATAGACACAAATATTTATTAGATCCTGGATCGCCAACTAATTGGGTGGGTAAGAAAGAAGCACATCTACATAAACCTGTTAATTTGTTACCACTGACTTATTTAACAAGTAAACAAACGAATTCGTCTACTTATTATCGACTCGCACTATCAATTACAAATCTATGATTTCTTAATAATAACCGCTACCACATGACGACCGGAAGTACTATTCAGTTTTTCAACCGAAGTTTGATAAAAACAAACCAAGAACTTCGATTGTAACAAATGGAAGATCAATGAAATACGTCGCCCAATAAGTATTTCAAACATTTGGACAATTTGAAAGATAAAACTTTCTACCAAGTATGATTTGACTAAAAGGTAGAAATAAGCTTCAAATATGAATGAAATATATATAATGCTTTATATTCAGTGAATTAAATAAAGTCTTAAATTATTAAATAGGTATATGATAGGTAAAATGATACGATAATTACAATGATGAATACAATTCATTAAACATTAAAACTTCAAATATTACATAACATTGTCTACTTCTTTCTAAGAAGAACTATCTACATTGAAGATTTACTTAAAATTACAAAAAAAAAAGAAAAAAATCCACGGATCTCCATTTTATAAAATAAGGTTCAAGAAAAAAAGATGCACAAGTTGAATATTTTTACAAATGATATAGAATGGAATGAAACCATATTATTGTTGTTAGATGATAAATAAAAACATCAACATTTATCACGGCATATAACACATAACCTATACAATTTAATCGTCATAATCATCATCATCATCATTATCATCTCCAAGTAAACCGATTGGCCATTCTGCAACATTATAACGAGGTAATGAACCTTCAAATAAACGATCTAACCAATTGGATAAACCATCTAATAATTCACTTTCAAATAATACTCCATCATTTATTTGATGCCTTGACTTTAAATGTGAATGATTGTTATTAATATTAGATTGATTGAAATCTTCTTCATCATCTGATTCTAAACCGAATGCACGACCAAATATATGCCTATGTCGTAAGCGTTTACCTTGTTTTTCAACTATTGATGATTTGTCCTCATCTGATTCCTACATATATATATACAGAGACAGAGAGAATTGAAATGAGATAAAGAAGATAAAGTCAAAAATAAAATTATTCCAAAACATACAGAAAACAATAATAATTGAGCATTTAGTGTTTTCTTTTTCTTTGTATGAGGACAAGTATCAACTAGTCAGTCAGTCAGTCAGTCAGTCAGTCAGTCAGTCAGTAACAACGTAGAACTTCGTATGTACGTACATCAGTTCGAATTGCCACACCACCTTAGCACAGAGATGCAGTTGTCGATTCAAATCCCGTAGTGATAAAGGTAGTAAAATCATAAGCAGTAATCGGAAACATTAGGTTTTGAAGATGTTATTCAAGGAGTATAATCAAGTGAAATAAATTTGGAAAGAGAAAAGAGAAAGGGACATGAAGAATTCAGAAGATTAGAATTTGGGAAAACACAAAGAGTGGATGCACCTGCACCATTGCAAACGATTTTGAACCATGTCATTTAAGGTCTCTAACCATCGGTTGCTATCATCTCGTGGATCCCAACCAGGTAGTCTACACCTACAAACATGGTTCAATCCACTTGTCAGTGACTTCATGGACTTGTGCCATATTATTATTATCAGCTTTATTCAATATTACATTTTTGATACAATATAGAATTCTCAGCGCAAAGTATTTCAACAAGTTTCCGTTTCTTTTTTCTTAGTCGGTCCTGGAGATAAATATTGAGGAATCGCCAGTTAGATGTTAGCACTTCAGTGAATGAACAACTGAATAATGTACATTCTTTTCGTTGTATATTGCCAGCAACCATATTGTCTCTTATTGAGTTTTTTGTAACTTTGACAACGAAAGGTTGTACACTTCTCAGAAACGCAGCAGAATAAGTTATGCGATTAATCAGCATAATGATACATTGAAACAAACGAAAATGGATAACTTGTTGAAATATTTAGATGGCAGGAACAGGTAGCCCAGATGCTCGGGCAGGCCGCCCTTTATATAATTTGGTCTGGCCGCCCCTAGCTTTCTTACAACCTACTCCTACACCATAAAACATCGCACGTCGAGGCAGTCAGTGGTTGAGCATACATAACACGTGTCCCAGCCATCTCAACTGATGAAGTTTCACTACTTCATCAATTGATTTGCCATCCTTACCTAGTACCCGTTTCCTAACAACTGTGTTACTTACTCGATGGTCCCATGATATACGAGCAATGTTTCGGAGACACCTATGATCAAATACTAGTAACCTACGAATATCCTCTACTTTTACTGGTCATGTTTCACTGCAATAAAGTAGGACGGAACGAACTACTGTACAGTAAACCCATCATTTGGTTGGTAAACGGGTATCTCGCATACGCCATAAATGACGCAAGTTGGCAAAAGCTAGTCGAGCCCTCTGTATCCGTGCTGAGATTTCGTCACACATGAGACTACAAGGGCTGGTTATTATTTAAAAAAAAGATGAATGATACATAAAATGATACTTAAAGTCTACAAAAAGAATTTATCACAAAAGTGGATAAAAAGAATACAGAATAACATAGATAACTGATTTTTAGACGATAATGAAGGACGGAAGCATCCAAATTTAATCAATTAATCTATTAGGACAAATTTAATGTGTAATTGTGTCATGTTTTAAATATAATAGTTGGCATGCTTGAAATGTAAAATATCCATTTATTTACAAAATGTCTCATTTTGATTAAAAATTCGACAAACTTCAATCTGTGAAACTTATTAAGTTACAACTCAATAAACTTTAGGATGAAATACTCTTCCTAGAAGTGCAAACTTTTGCATTAGTACTGGTTTGAATCAACATATGACCTGATTATGGATTATGAAGTACATGAGCAACGTGATCACTTCACTTGAAAGTTTCATTAATAATGGTGAGTCACTGGTTAACAAAACAATGATATGGATTCAGGAAGATTGCTTGGACTTTCTAAACATGCATCAGGTGTGGCATAAGTGTGATATCAAAGGGAAAGTATAATAAGCAGTAGTCTGCTCGATTTCTCTTTATAGCTATGGAATATCGCGTATGAAGTAAACAATTATGGGTTGCTTGTTTGGTGATAGATGTTTTTGAAGTATCACCTTCGTAGAATAGAACGACTAGATGGTTAGTGATGTGGTTAAACGTAGGACCTCAGGTAGGGGTGGGAAATCGATTAACGATGTAGCAAACCATTATCAATTAACGTGGTTTAAACACATCTCCAAATACCCTTTGTTTCAATGAACTATGCCGACTTGCATAAGAATAGCTAACAGCAGCTAAACGAAGACGTGGTATTATTACATGAAGTAATTGTTTGATGTACTAAGCATTGTCACTAGATGAAAATTATCTGTTTGGGATGCTTACACCAATCGTGATCACTGGTTGAAGACTATAAGTAGCATAGATTAGAATCGATCACGGTGGAATAGATGTGTTCATTATTTTTTTCTTCAATTTTCAGTTTTAAAGTTACTCTAACCTTCTTATTTTTCGAATACGTTCCTTATAGTGAAAGTATACATTAGGAATGAGTCAATCAGAATTCAGAACGCGGTTTTTAGATCTTTGCACGAAATTAAAATATCATGCATAATGAGCATTCGAAATACCATTTTATACTACTCAAAATGTTCAAAATAATGGTGGAAAATTATTTTGTCACCACAGTAAAAAAAAAGATAGTATTCATCACATCAAATGCCTAATTCCGTCTCTACAGATTGTATGTAACAAGTAATTTGACACTATCTCCAATTCTCTAACTTATACCATGAATTGTGAAACAAACCGTTACCTGATTGCACTACATTCTATGGATGAACTAATCAGATAGTGCTTCTTAACTTTCCAAGAGGAATTCATTCATCTGTATAACTAAATTAATACTCTGTAATACACAACTTAGAATAAGAAAACATCAAAATTTTAAATTATGTATCACTTACAGAATTTTCATCAGAACTGCTTTGAGAACCTGGAATTAAAGGATGATAAAGATTGAAATATCGACGATAACCATTAACGGCGATAACTGTTCCAACACAGTTCACTGGATTAATAAATAAAATTCCACTATTATTATTATTATTATCATCAGTAGTATCATTCACATTCTTATTCTTTTGCATAGTTTTATTAGAACGAATATGTATTGGTAAATTAGATCTGATAGATTCAAGTAATTTTGCAAGCCAACCAGAATATCGATCCATAGAAAGACAAGCACGTTGAATTTGACTTCCGCTAATGAAAGAATAAAATTATTATTAAAAAAATAATAAAACTCAAATAATAATTTCACTAATAATGAACACATGCTTTGATCGGATAGAAATTTATCATTGATTTGTAGTTGCATTTTAGTACACAAAGTTAGTGGTTCTTACAACCATTTTAGCACCAATTTAAACACCTTACAATACGCTAATATCCAGTGATCTAACCGGTTTGGTGAACACGGACGCCCCACCTGGGAGAAATTGGAAAACCCTGATTCAAAACCAATGGTGCACATGGGCTCCCGTATCCCTAGGGAACAAATGCTGTATGGACCAATCATTGGTCACTGGCTACCATGGGACTGCATCCCCTAACGTCGATCCACTGCCTTGTTGATCAGACCTTTATTAGATCGAAGGCTTCGGGTATGGCCCCCTAAAAAACCACCCGCTTCGGTCTGGGCACCCGCGCAGTAACAACCCACACACAAATCAAGTGACTTATGCGGCGCATATGTATTCGGTGCCCCATTGTACCCAGATTTATGTATTCAGATAAAAATAAAAATAAGGCTTAACATATCAACTGAAATAAATAGTTAAAATGTGAATTATTTACAAGACCTGAAAGTATTACACTGCTGATCAAAATAAGCCTAAACTAAATGAGTTGAAATAGTGCACTTCTATATCGGTTAAAGTTTAGATAAGACCAAGATGTGTGATGTGTAAATTTCGAAAGTCATTTTAAAGTAAAGAGATAGCGAAAATTCTTTGGAAGGTATCAAGTTACAGTCAATATAAAGAAATAAATGATGTAAATAGAATGTATGATTCCGCCTGGAGCCCTTCCGAAGCTATTGCCGGCCTCAAACCCGGATAAAGGAGGGTTGGGCGTTAAAAAAACGCTAACCAGAAAGTAAGTAAATAGAATGTATAATAGGACAGGCGTAATATCGAGCTAACTGAGATAATTGATAAAAACATAAATTTAAAAAATTCACGCGAACTAAGAAGAAACAACTTGGAGCAATCTGAATAAGACAAAGTAGAGATAAACATAAAGGTTTATGACATGTGATTTATGCATTGGGTGACGCGATTGTGCATCACAGTAAACAGCATCTGAATATAACATTTCTGGTGCATAAGTCAGATTTGTTGTAGCGCGAGACTGAAGGCTCCGAGTTCAAATCCCGCGGGCGGGATTGTGGATGCACACTGGTGAGGACTCCCACGATAGGACGAAAAGGCCGTCCAATGCTTCCAGGTTTTCAATAGTGGCCTAACATTAGTCGGTTCAAGATCTCAATCAACAAAAACATACTGTGTGTGACAATAGTGTCAGTGTATAAAAGCTATTGAAGTGTTTAAATAACGTCCATTCTGATATTAAATTCATCAGTGACGAGGAACATGAGAACAGTATAGCTTTACAGGACATCTTTTTTTTCAGAAAGATGGACGAATTAGTAAAACGGAATCAATTTGGAAATAATACATTGACTGGTTAGTATATTCATTTCCACAGTTTTACACCTCTTCAGTACAAAATAAATCTGGTTAACCATCTTAACCACAAAACCAAACTATAATGTCTTGAGGTTAGTGTGTATGAGGAAATAAGTAAACTGAATACACTATGAAGTAACGGATATAGAAATAATTTTATTAAAATGTATTATCTGAACTAAAAACAAAACAATCAAACCTACCAAACTCGACGAGTTTTGAAGTCAAACTGATCACGTAATCGATTATCTTGAGTAGTTCCACGAACACATAATACTAGAAGCCTGAAACCTTTAGGGGCATCACGAACAAGACGATCATATGTGGAAGGATTTAATGAAACAATAGGAGTAAGTGCAGATGACCTAGACATAAATACAGAATAATAAATATTTATGGTATTACTATTAGCTAAAACTTTAGACTTGATACTTACAACAGTTTTTAGTAATTTCTAACGACATTGTTGTCTTATTACTCCAAAACATCAAAAGGTAATGTATTTAATGATCAAAAGATATCATCCCAATGACAGAAAATATGGGCTTTTAATCTACAACAAAATTTCAGAGCTCAGATTCAAACAAAAAAAGGAGGTTTTGAGGACATTCATAGCATTTGTAAGTTGCGATCTTGTATTTCTATAATAAAACCACACGAGTCATGGATTAAAACTACTCGTTGAACTTTCAGTTATTGTGACCAAAATTTTAGGAAATAGGAAGTTCCGTGAATTAGTGAAGGAACAGAAGACAATGGATGTCTACCTATACTTATGGGTCACTATTTTTTTTATTTTACAAACTTAACATTGAATTTTCCGGTTTTCGGTTGTGTTTCTTTTAGCAAAATCAATGTGTAATGTAAACAGTATCTACTCAAGTGCTTTTACACAACGCTTATAACCTTTTGTGAAGCTAATTATTGCAAAATTTAAGAGGGATCGTTATGATGGTCGGTACAGTTTTCTTCTAGTTCATTGGAGAAAACAGAAACGATAACAATAGAATTTATATGCTAAGTATATTATGCGATGCACAATTTCATAAACAATAAAACTGTACAAAAACCCTTATCAATAAATATAAATGGCAGTTAATAATTAAGGAAAGACGATTTTATTCAGTCTTTACATATATACAATCACTCAGTTACAACGTAGGACCAAACACATATGTGCATTGGTCCAAGATGCCATACCTCATTAGCAGAGCAACATGAACACCGGATTCATAAAAGTAGTTAATTCAGAGGTGGTGATACATAAAAGAAAGATTGCATATAACGATAGAGTACAGGAAGAAAGAATTAGTTGGTAGAAAGAAAGATACAAAGCAATTTTAATGTCATGGTTTAACGGAAGACAGAGAGTGTATACACCTACACTATTGTGATCGACTCTGAGCTATGTCACCCATAATCTCCAACCATTGATTACGATAGTCACGTGGACCCCAACCGAGTAGTCTGCATCTATCAACATGGCTAAGACTAGAAGTTAGTGACTTCGAGGAGTGATGCCACGCTTTGGTTTGGCCGCCCCAAACTTTCTTCCAGTCATCCCCAACACTAGTCAGCATTGTGCGTCGTGGTAATCGGTGTTCAGGCATACGTAACACGTGGCCCAATCATCCCAGTCGATGAAGATTCACAACCTCATCGACATATATACAAATAAAACGGATGTAAGAAAAGAACCATTTAAAATATTCCATGTACTTTAAGCTATGATCAAACATACGTTAATGAATCAATCTATTATTTTTTTATGATCAAAACTAATTCATCATTATTGATGTAGGGAAACGCCTTATTACGGTGTTGAATAAATCATAAATGTACACTACTATAAAGGAATATCTAACTAGACTAAAACAGTGTTTCAGTGCTCCTTGATTATAAATGGCTCTTCTAAATGATACATCAATTGGTTGATGAAAACCATATACGTTGCAATCAAATAATTAATAAATAAAAAAAACAGAAATAAAACAAAATAACTGACCCTTCAGTAAATTTACACTGACTACTACTGCTATTATTACCACAACTACTACTACTACTATTTTTATCACTAATATTATTGTTTGATGAGAATGATGTATTAACATCTTGATTTGTTTCGTTGTAACGCTTCTCTGTTGTACATTTATTCTGTTGTTCATTTTTTGTTGCTTGTACAAGTGTTGATATCAAACTGAATAATAGTAAACCGATGATAATCATAAAACTTGAAAAAACAAATGCCAAAGGATGATTTACAAGGCTGTAAAAAAGAAAAATACCAAGGAGAAAAATTAATATGGTAGAATGACTAAAGAATGAAACATGTATATATATACATACCAGGTTACGATTATTTGGTCATAAATGACTTCAAGGAACTGTTCGTGTATCTTTGGTCCACAGAGTGAGGGATACAGAGGTTAAATGCATAGTAATAGGCACATAATGAGAAATCGATTGAAATATTAGTGAATCTCAATTAACTGAGGTGATCTGGAAATGCAGTACATACAACAAATAACTGCATATACTTTGGAGCAACGATGATGGTTGACGTAGAGGTCAGTTGGAAAAATGCTAACGATGACAAAACCGAAAATCGGAACAAGCCCAAGAATTCACTAACCACCAGACAGACATATTGCAAACAGGTTAGGGTCAGTCAGATAAGCACAATTAGTGGTTAGAGAGATTGTATGATATGATTCAGAATCCATCACAATGCAATAAATGCAAACAATTCAGTCATCGCTTAGATTCTGATTTTCGTAAATATTATAGTTTTTCATTACACGAAAATATAATCTCTTTAAAAATCAAACTACATTCTTTCGAAGTACCATTAGAACTACTATAATCTAATAAAGAAAAGATGTTATTTGGCGGTCTGCTTGAATAACTGGGCTACCTATTTCTGCCATATAAATATTTTAACAGATTGCCTGTTTATTATGTTGTTTTAACACCTCATGATGTCTGTTAATCGCATAACCTTTATAGGTGTATTTATGAAAAGCATAAGACATAGGTTACAAAAAAGTACAATAAGAGATATCGTGGTAGTTGGCAATAGGTATTGAAGAGAATGAATATAATTCATATGTCGATTCCCAAGCTGCTAAATTCTAACTGCCGATCACTAATTAACAAGGTGGACTATCTTCAATTTCTATTAAGCCAAAGCATGTATCGTAAATGTGGCATCATTACAATTCAAAAATCTTGGTTAACTGATTTACAGGACGATTTCTTAGTATCACTACTTGATTTCAATATTTATCGTCAGGATCGATCAAACAATAATAAGTCGTTTGGCGGCAGTGTAGCTACGTTTGTAAGCGTAAACTGGTGTCGATTTACCTTTGTATGTTTCAAGTTTTCTAATGATTTTAGCGATTGTCTAACTATAAGATGCCATCCAAAACACCTGAATAAATACAAATATGTTTATGTTACCAACATCTACGTAACTCCAGACGGCACATCATTTGTCATATCTGTTTTCGCTGATGAATTCACTGAATTCGCTGTTACTGCCTTCAGTGGTTCACTTTCAATTGTATGTGTTGGTTTCAATTCATGTGACTTTCATTACTAGGTTACCAAAATGTAGTAGAATTTCACACTCGTCCAGATGCTCATCTTGACTTCGTTTTCATTAATGAGGTGGGTACATATGTAGAACGAGACGTCAATACATTGAAACCCACGCACGCAAGCAAAAGTATAGAAGTTCTATAATACTTTACCTAGCAAATATACCGTGTGACGAACAGGTTGTTAGAGTCGATCTAGTCAATAACCTGTATTCTTAAACATATCTATAACTAAAAGGTTGTACAGTCTCTCACACTCGCAAAAACTTTTGGCTTAATCTTGTGTAGTTATTTTCTATTTCATGATATGATACGGTCTGATTTGCTTGCACACAAACTGCGTTTGCCTGAATTACATGATTCATAAAGTGGAAGCTGAGATTGTATTCTGGACTCAAATGGATAGGGCTATGTGAGGTACAATAAGAACTCAGAGTTGATATTATGCTGCTCATACTGGTTAACGCATAACTGGTTTGACACAATATCAAGGTCGTGTAAGTCAGTGTTCTGATCGGCGATTTAGTCACGTGAAATTTGACGGGGCTTAGGACACAACAGTATGTAGCAAGGATTGGAGGTAAAATTCTTATTGACAGAAGACGAAAATAAGAAGATAAAAATGCGGAAAGCCCAAATACCCTGGTAATGCCGAGAGTGAGGAGAGTTACCTCTCTCAAAATGCTTTCACATGGTCACGCGTATACAGCCACTACCAGGGAAGTCCTACTCACTGCCTTCTCGCGGTGGCCTGTTGTTTACGAAATCGAGAGGATAAAAGGCGTGTTTCCGATGCTTTAACCGGGTTGGTGGATACGGAGGATCCATCTAGGGGAATAGGGAAACCCTGATTCCAAACCAATGGTGCACATGGCCTTCAGTATCCTGGGGGAGCGAATGGTGTATGAACCAATCGTTGGTCACCGGCTACCATCAGACTGCCCCTCCAAACGTTGCTTAACTACCTTGTGGATTAGACCTTTAGGTCAAGGGCTTCGGGTGTGGCCCCCTAAGAAAACCATCTGCCTCGGTCTGGGAACTCGGGTAGTATCACAGCCCACACACAAATCAAGTGACTTGTGTGGTGCATATGTATTCGGTGCCGCTTTGTACTAATATTTATGTGTTCAAATAAATAAATAAATAACACAATGGAGTTTATAGAAGACAACTCAACGAAGATGCGCAAATGGTGCATTTAATGTATTGTTTACATATTTTACAAATGCAGTGTAATTATGCAGTTGGTTTTTCGCCTGACGATGTCTTTGTTCTTTAAATAAGGTGATTTAATGCTTTAAACAAAAAAAAGAAATATGTAACTGTAATCTATCTACTTGTTCAGCATAATTTAACGTCAACAGAGAAGAGAACAATATATCTGAATAACTAACTTATTGAGAAGAGAAAGAGAAAAAATCAACTTACTCAAACATTGAATGCCCAATATCCACAAGAATTTGTAACAGCCTATTTCTCATTCTAATCCATATTGACGCTACTAATTCATCAATCATTAATTCCTCAATCATACAATCTTTGAGTAGATACCATTGAGATACCACTTTATCAATTGAATGAATGAAATGATTTGTTGGATTAGTTACTTTGTCAATAATAGATACTGTCTGGATAATATTTTCTAAATCATTCATTAAAGCAGTATACATCTGTTTAGTAGATTTCAAGATTAAACTTTTTAAATCATTTGGTTTCAGCATTTTTTCATTTAAATGAGTTCTTGGATGAGACATTGAATTAGTGGGAAGAAATTGATAAACTGTTTCAGTTGAACTGATACGCCAAATTAATGCTAAACGGCCCATATTATCTAAAGTATAAAAAAAGAGAAGAAATTTATCAAAAACTTGAAGGAAACACTATAAACAGGTAAGAATTTTCGGAGGTTTAACGGACACAACAAAGTTTCTCGATATTTGTGGTGAGTCTACAGTTCATGCGAATAGGCTCAGATTACTTGACTAAAGTAGTCGTGATTATCGTAATCAATGATTAGAGATTTTGGATGATATGGCTCAAAACAGTTCTCAAGGGAACATAATTATTCACTATTTTAGACCCCTTAAATCTTGGGTTTCCAGATTATCTTAGATTCATTTTAATTTCATAAACTCATTCACATTCATCTTGAATTATATCGTCTAGATCTAGTCTTTTCTACTGATACTGTTATTACTTCTACTAATCTGACGTTATTCTTGATAATTTTGTCTTTTTGTACTGATACAGTGTAAAACCTTCAACCGATGTACGTGCATGATAGGTTTTAAGTTGCATATGATTGACTGACTAGCTGATTGATAACTGAGACATCAAACGAACTTATAAAAATCAGTGATACTCTGAAATACAGCATTTTAGCTGCTTACAGCGTTACAGATAAATTCATGCAATACATTTTCAGCCCAAAAAGTAGAGAGAATGTGCAATTATCAGTTCATAACCATATAATGATAATCGAACAGTAACAAAAATTCAACGTCACTGATGCAGGTATAAGAGAAAAGAAAAGGAAATGTTTAGTCATTTCACTGTTATTAAAAACTCACTATCCCAGCCGGTTATTTTGTATATTGGTATGAGTGCATTCACGGGTTTGTATAGATAATTTGACCTCAATAAAAGCTATACGTCTGTCACACCGTATTACCAGGATTCATATATGAATCAGTTTTGTATTTATCACTTCGACTACACTGAACAAGCATAATTTAACCACTTCATAGCCGCCATATAAACCCTATTCCATACTAATTAGGCACAGAACAAACGCAATTTCACTAAACATATCGACATTTTGAAAACCGAATGGCATCAGTGCATTTTATTATGCAAGAACTATGTAGATAAATGATAAAATCTCCAGATGAGGTAGAGTTTACAAATCACGTAAAAATTTAGGAACTAGGTATTAGATAGTACTTAATTCTGGGTAGGGTAAAGTAAGTTGTTTTACTTTTAGGGTCAACTTTTTCCTATTCCTACTTTTGCGTGAGAAGGTAACACCGCCTCATAGACGGGTTGTTTAAGGAAAAAACCTACTCCCGTTGTACTCCAGCACGGTTAGTAGTACGACATTGCCCATGGACCTTTACGTTGTTCCGTTAAGACTTTTTTCCAAATAACCTACCTGCAGTATTAGGACCTTAAGAAATGCGTATTTCAGACAATATAGCTTGATTAGATTATTATTATAACAATCGAGCCCAATCACCACTTCAAGGCACCAGCTACAGTTGGGCCTCTAAGCCAAATTTTCTCGGGATAGTGTGAGATTTTTGGCAGTGATTTTTTTCATTACAGCAATAGTGGGAGCATTAAAATATACGAGTTACATACACACGCTAACTACGAAATCCCCAAATGAAATTTTATGCTAATCCTTTAGTCTTACTAAAGAAATCACTATACTACAAATGAAAACATTAATAAAATATTTGTAGAACCATTACAGATTATTTAATTTAATTTAATCAATCAAGTAGCTTTTTTTTAACTCACCTTCATTAAGTAAATTACACGATTCATTTGAACATGTAGAAGATGTACTTAATTTTTGCATTAAACTAATCTGACGATCCACATAAATATGTACAGGCATAAAATGATAACTATGTTGATTTGTATGATATAATTTTGATAAATCTGTTTGAGATAATTGTAATGTATGACGTAACATAGTTAACCATATATCACCCCAACTGTTTATTTGTTCAACATTGGATAACTTTGAATTTAACAATAATACTAAGCATAAATGACGATGATTAGAATGATCATTATAATGTTTATCTGATTCTAAAGCATATTTACTAGTTGGTTTACTTCCATCAGTTGGGCATAAATCCAACAGTCGTGCACGACTATATATTCTAGGGATATTTAATTGACTATAAGTTAACATTGCATTATCCAATAAAGTAGGTGATAATTTTGTAGCTGATTGACGATAGACAGGTATACTTGAATCTTCATGATATATCAATAAGGTCTCCTATGGTGAAAAAGATAATTTCTAGTTTAGATTGATTATATTTACTATACAACAATAACGGCTAGATAGGTGTTTTAAAACAAGTTAAATAGAACTGGAGAATTCCTCTATTCAGGTTTAGAAAATTTTTAAAAGTAAAAGATTTTAATATTATGTGGTAAAACGGTGCAATTCCATGAGATTTGAAGAACCAGGATTAAGTTATATTTTAATCTTAAGTTGTAGATTATTATGAAACAGAACGTATAAAAAAACAGTCCTATTGTAAAACACGACAATAGACAGGAGGTATTCATACTTATTGACAGAAGTTACAAAATATTTAAATAATACATATCAATAGCATTTAATCGTCAATTTGCATATTTCAGTGTGTTTCATCATCTGAAGTGTCTTCCCATCTGTTCTCAAAGTATTATGCTAACGCTGCGCTTTTGATGCACTGGGACTCTTCACTCCGTCTGACAACTGTGACAATTTCTATGTCATGTTCCGCTACATTCTACTTATAAACAATCTTGTGACTGGCGTCCACTACACTATGAATGGAATCGAGCCAGATGAGAGAGACTTCAAATTCATGATATGATATTTAAAATTTTCATTCGCTAGCCACACCTGGAGCCTTCGACTTAAAGATCTAGTCCACAAGGCAGTTAAGCAACGTTAGGAAATGCAGTCTGACGGTAGACGGTGACCAACGATTGGTTCAAACTCCATTTTTTCCGTCAGGATACTGGAGACTATGTGCACCATTGGTTTGGAATACGAGTTTTCTATCTCCCTTAGATGGATCATCTGTATCCACCAACCCGGTTAAGGCGTCGGAAACACGCCTTTTATCCTCTCGATTTCGTAAACAACGGGCCACCGCGAGAAGGCAGTGAGTAGGACTTCCCTGGTAGTGGCTGTATATGCGTGACCATGTGAGAGCATTTCGAGAGGGAGAGCTGACTCTCTCCACCCTCATCCGAACCAGGGCATTCGGGGATGATGACAAATATACAAAGCATTTCATTCAAAAGCACTACATACATGCAGAAAATGATAACCTCAAGATACTATACAAAATGTGAGACAAAATGAAAATTATAGTGTAAACCAGATTATAAATTTATTTAAATACCTAAATACAGATACATAAATACACACATACACTAGGACTAACCTCATTTGGATTTACATTGAAATTCCTAGCCAGATTATGATTGTTACCAGGTTCAGAATTAATATAACCAGCAGCTAAATGATCTGCTGCTCTGAAAGCAGCCACGCAATACCGTAACGGTGGTAAAGTTAATGGTTTAATAAGTACCATTCTGGGTCGACTGTCACGACGCCAACCATAATGAAAAGTATTAATAAATGTATCATAATCACTAATACTTTGTATTAATGGTGTATCGATTGTTGTGCTAAGAAATATTGGTAACGCCTTAGAGTGTGAAGGATTTGATTTCATAATTGCACTTCTTAATGCGTCAATAAGACTATTATGACTGAAATCACCTCGAGAGTAATAAGAAACCTGAAGATTTCCAAAAAATAAGGAACAAAAGCCAAGATTATCGCAGTCAAAAATGATTGAAGAAATAATTTGTTTTCTTTGTATCAGCATTACAAAAATGAATTTATAAGAATGTTGCTTGGTTAGGGGAAGTTTATTATGTAAACATTGTGAAGCCGTAGTTTATTTGTCTAAAACATTATATAACTCAACTGCCATCAGTTGAGGTTAAAATTAAACTTCAGTTACTTTGGCTGAATAAATCGCTTATACAAAGTGTATCGGTGAGGAACGTTCTGATATATGATTGTGAAACTTGATACCTCAGAGCAAAGAATTTTCAGTGACTCAATAATTTACCAGTATTGCCTCTGAAAGATCATTCATATATGCTGACAAGGACGTATGGGTGATTTAAGGTATGGTGATGGTAATTCCATCAGTGTCACGATCGTGAAACAACATCGGCGACTTAAACATGTCATTACAGCAAGATCCAATCCTGCTGTTGGGTGGATAAATCCGAAAGGCGATCAGTTAGTGACATAGCATCGTAGAGTGACTATTTTGTTGAGACACTAAAGACTATGTAACTCAGCGGCTTGAGATTTCATCAGATAAGAACCAGCATAAGACGCAATAACGACCCTGTTATATCTTTCTACTACACTGTTTATAACGGTAGGATAAACATTAGTAACTGGAATCCCATTTTAGTTATTTTTTCAAGTGGACAGTATCCTTCGTCATTAATATCCTTGTTCGTAAGAGATTAATGATCGACAATGAATAATTTAAATTTCATGAAACCACAACACAGTTTTCCATCAAAGAAGCACGCCCCATAGTTCACTAAACTAAAAGAGAACAATTGCGTGACCAGTATTCACAATGTAAATTCCTCTGAGCAGCATAACAGTAATATCAGAAAAAGTACAGCAAAAAACTTAAAGGGAAAAAAGACTGTGTACATCAGCTGATATCACATAAACGAATAACAAAATTCAACATATTTAACAGGTATAGGTTTATGTATTCAGCTTTCAGTCAACATTGTGATTGACTTTTAGTTACATTTGTGCGGCTAAGCGATACCACCTGGTTTTTCCGATCGAATTCAAAGAGTATGGACGGAGACTAAGACCTATTGACTGAAAGTCAAGTATTTTAAACAATAAGCGACTGCCGCATAATGATTATAATTACATATGTTGTCTGCATAAAAAATTACACAAAAAGAACTTTTACCAACGATACTATTTATTCTATGTAAAGTTTTATTTTCCATTTACTGTGAAATACAAGTGATAACTTTTCCTGATCAGAAAAGACAACTGAATCTACAATAAACCCTTTCAGAAAAGAACCGAAAAACATCTATGAGCTAACCTGTCCATCAACAACTATTGTCACACTCGGAACATGTAATACGCGTAGCTCTTCACGCAGTGCAGAATCATGTTCTAAATTGACACTAGCCACAGTAATCCCCAACGGAGTAAGCTCATCTGCTAATTGTGACCAAATGGGACGAACTTGACGACAAGGGAAACAAAAATCAGAATAACCAAATATGAGCAAAGGCACCGTTCGAGATCGTGGGAGGTGGGTTAGGCGATAGTTTCGAAAGTCGATATTCTTTAAACAATAGCAAATAAAAATATGAAACTAAATAGTGACAGAATAATTTATTATAACTTTTAAATTTAAATGAATAATTTCGGAGTAGTTGGGTGCCGAGTTAATGTAAGATTATCAATAATTTTGATGATGGATTATATTTACTTGACAAAGATTGTATCAGACGGCCAAACGAAACGTTGAATTTACATAAACTTTAAGTCACTGAAACTTTTGAAAATATGATTTTCCTCCTCCCTACTGTCTAACAAGTGACACATTTGTTTAACATCGTACTAACCGGTTTAAATCATGCTGACTAAGAACAACTAATTGCTCATACACATAAATTAATATGCGGTTTATTGAAGGCTCTAGATACCAATAGGAACAAGATCGACATAACAAATTAAACTCATTTGTTTGTTAACTTTATTAGATGACGAACAACCTCGAATATTGTCCGAAATGACACGCTTATTGGATTTATTATTATTATTATTATTATTATTATTATTATTATTATTATTATTATTATTTAAACACATAAACATTGATACAAAGGGGCACCGAATACATATGCGCCACACAAGTCATTTCATTTGTGTGTAGGCTGTTATACTGCCCGGGTGCCCAGATCGAAGCAAGTGGTTTTCTTAGGAGGTCACACCCCGAGCCTTCGACCTAGAGGTCTGATCCGCAGGGCAATAGAGCAACGTCAGGAGGTGTAGTCTCATGGTAGCCGGTGACCAACAATAAGTTCACATGCTACTTGTCCCCTCATGATTCTGGAGATATGCACCATTGGTTTGGAATCAGGGTTTTCCATCTCCCCTAGATGAATTTTCCGTATCCACCAGCCCGGTTAAAGTGTCGGACATTCGCATTTCACCCTTTCAAATTCGTGAACAACAGGCCAACAGTGAGAAGGCAGTCAGTAGGACTTCTCTGACAGCAGCTGTATACGTGTGGCCATGTGAGAGCATTTGGAGGAGCGATGACTTTCCCCACACTCGTCCGTACCAGGGTATTTGGAAGCCTTGTTTATTGAAATAAAATGAGTAGATGAATTTGAGAAAATAGAGAGGGCCAACGTTAAACGTGGACGACCAAATTACCGGTTAAAGCATGTGAAACCTGGAAAATAAACCGGATAAGTAATGAAGGTCTAGTCGACTTGTGAGTATGACAATAGAGTGCAAATGACAATTGTTTGTAGGTAATCCAAATCAACCTTTCTATTAGTGATGACTTTTCCCTTTTGCTTCACATTGTTTAGACATTACCAGACCAGAAGACATAGTAGTGAAAAAGAATATGCTATTTTAGAGACAACTTCTTAACCTCACCTTCCATCTGAGAGAAAACAACACTATATTCAATATACTTTGAGCATGTTATCAAAATGACACCTACAATGTGTTAACTGTGACATTGTTGGTGAAAGCGCTTCGGCGAGACTACAAATTGTGGACGAGCCAATTAGAAGCTTCAGGTCTTGAGGCATAGACGATTAAGCGGCTTCAGTAGTAACAAGAAGACGAATATTATCAGAACTATGTGACACATTGGCGCAACACATTTCGAACAATTTGATAACACATATACTTGTTAAGAAAACTTATATATAGAAATAAAAGGTCAACGAGACTAGAAATGGAGGGTAAGAGGAGACAAGGATAATAAAGACATAATGAGAAAACAATTTAAAACCCCACCAATCTGGATAATAAGTCAATATTACCAGTATACGCAATTTTACACTTTTGTACAACACCACAAAAGCTGAGTTAAGATCAATCTTATGACCTGTTTCAATTATGTATTTGGCAATAGAGGTTGATGAATGTTTATGCTCTACTCTTATCGGATCACTTGAATTTAGTTGCTTCTGCAACCATTTAGGTACATGTTCATACGCTTTAATTTTCAGATCACAATTACTCCTTCCTATTTATGTGTGATCACATACATATTTAAATTGGTAAACGCAGTGGGATGTGACGCAATCGTTTCCTTGTCTTTTAGGTTTTCGATAGAGCATGAACCTTGTTTCCTTGATAATGTCTTTGCTCCACAATATGTCACACAGTTTTGATAATCTTTGCTTCTTATTATACTATCGAAAATTAGTAACAACCTTGATATCATATTTACGTGAAAATCAAATTTACCTTCGAAGTTCTAAATAGAAACAAAAGAGATTTAAAAAAATTAACAAGCGAGTCGTTGTCTGATGCCAAAGTCCGTCACTTCCTAATCAACGTAAAGCCTGATACGAATGTGTTGGTTCTAGTGAAGAAAACGGAAAATTTTCAAACGTGATGGAAAACTATGACCATGAGTTATACATACTATTTGAATATTATTTTCATCATTTTGATGCGTAACTACAATCATGTATAAACTCACAAGCCTATATGAATACTGAGCAGACTAGGCTGATTCCCGAACTCATATGTTCTCAGACAGTTATGAGTATTTCTTGCAATATATTTACTGCAGATTATAATAGGACTTACAAGGACATTGGTTGAGAATTGTGGGGCACGGTTGAACCCTGGAAAAAAATCGAAAAGATCTTCAAACGAAGAATGAACAAATTCGTGACGGTATGGATAATGTCCAGGGGGAGGTGCACTCCCATCTGAATGGACTTTTCCGAAGGTATCATACTCATGCCGTTTCTTAGAGTTGGATAGTACCTAAATAGGGTTTAAAAAAATTTCGTATTAATGGAATGCTACCTCATAGGCTTCATTTATTTCAATGAACTTTTTGTTTGCTTTATCTGAAGGATTCTTATCCGGATGCCTGAAAGTTTACAATAGTAAACAAAGCCCACGGACTTCAGAAACTTACCATTTCTTCGCTAGTTTCCTATATGCTGTCTTAATTTCCAAATTTGAGGCAGATTTAGATACTCCAAGGACGTCATAATAATCACAAAAAGCATAACGGATTAATAGAGCCAACTGAATAAATAGTGACAATCTCATCCCCTGCAACGCATTACTCAAAAGAAGCGGTTAGCGTATGGAGACTTGGATATTTTGACGAATAAACGTAGCAAGATAAATATGTATTTGTAGAAGATTTTCGAATGGTACATACATCTCACTTGTTCTGGATACACAAGATTTTTTAAAGGGACGCCTAGAATAGGTTTCTGTGATTTCATTAGAATGTAGAGGTAGACAAATCTTTTTTTAAAAAAAGGACAGTGGTATTCTTTCTCGTTGAGTTTATTAACTGTTTTGATCGTAAATTACGCATCAAAACTACTGTTTACACTTTAATTGCATCTACCCCAGTTAAAGTGATATTTTATTGAGTTTTCGATTTTGCTTCTGTGTATTCATTGCATCGAAGCATACTTGGTCGACTTTTACTTGGTTTATTTAGTTAAGGTTTGAAAATCCTTCTACATATCCTGTTTTCGTCACCGTTATAGTTGATTTTCAAGATGGCTAGGTCTACTCAGAAATGTGGACAACCATACTGCTTATTTCCCGTGGATGAAGGGATGCAATGTGATGAGTGTAATAAGTGGTTCCATAAGATGTGCACCCGATAAAGCCCCACTGCATATGAAAGGTGTTCAAAGCCCAACTCTCATTGGCTTTGTAGTTTTTGTTGCTCGAGCAAAACATTGCTTATCCAGGAAGCAATTAGTCTCCTGGTGTTGGCTAATAAGAATGTTGATGAGGGCTGTACTGATAACATTGGTACGGATGGCGAAGATTGCGTTAGTGTCGTAAGTGCTATCACGGCGCAAGCCAGACATCTACCTGCTCAACCCGCAGTTAAACGTTCTCCCCCGAAACGATCAGTGAGTGACACGTCATTAGACGTTGGTGGTCATGTTGCTACAGCAGCAACCGGTGACCCAGATAAAACAATTACTGTCCCGAGTTGTTCTAATGTAGACGTTTCGACTGATGTAAAATGGATAACGCGAAAACCCTGAAGAGTAGGAAAGACAGCTAAAACTAATGACTGTTTACTTGATAAGTCCTTGGTGGACTCTCAGACCAATTCGCCAAAGTCCCATAGTAAAGCTTCGTCTGACATTGTTGTGAGTCATTCGCTTGACTCCCAGGACTCTGTTAAAATAAAAACTAATCGTAAGCTACCAGTAGTTAAAATACAGGATCTAACGTCACGGTCGAAAGCTGTGAACACAGTTTCAAAAGAAGCTAAACCCATCCCTAGTTTAATTATTTGGAATCTAGAGGAGTCGAAAGACAACGACCCTGCTAAAACACACGCACATGACCTGCAGTTAGTGGAGTCTGTGGTAAGGAATGTACTACCTGAAGAGGTTTCAGGGGTACATATTACAAAAGTAATACGACTTGGTAAATGTGTTGGAGGCGAGACCCAACCAAGAAGGATCCTGAAGCTGGTTCTCGGGAGTTTTGAAGAAAGAGACATATTATTGAAAAGCGCACTAAAAACTCGTGCCTCAAATATCCGTATTCGACCAGATTGTCCGCTTGAGGATCGAACCAAGTGGAAGAATGCTCTTACGGAGTTGAAGACTCACAAATTAAATGGCAAAAATAACCTTACCATTAAGGGTTTTCGGGTAGTCAGGTCTTGGAAGCCAATGCTTCCGAGGCCTGTATGGGTAGAACGATTGATTTCCAAAACACCTTAAGTGTGTGCTACACGAACGCTCGTAGTCTTAGAAATAAAACGTCCGAGCTAAGTCTGATGGTGCAAGAGTTATGTCCCGATATAATCGTCGTTACAGAAACTTGGTTCACCGTTGATATAGACTGTTCTCCTTTCATTGCCGGTTACTTCTGTATCAGAAGTGATAGAGTTTCAAGTCGCAAAGGGGGAGGTATAATATTTTACGTTAGGGATCACTTTCGTATACAATCAACTATATCGGAGGCTCATATCAGTGGCACATGTGAGGTTGCATGTTGTAAGATTAAATCTAGAAATGGGTTAGTGACTATAGGGGGAATATACCGTAGTCCGTCTTGTCTGGCTGACGACTTTATCCTAAGACACATCTGTTCTTGGAGTATGGCAGAATGTTGTCTCATCATTGGGGACTTCAACGCACCGCATATCAACTGGATAGAGCTTAAAGCTCCAGGTAGTGGTTTCGATAGCGACCTTTTATCTACCGTTATTCAGTGTGCACTTGTACAATGTATCACAAAACCGACACATATTGATTTGCAACATGTTCCGTCACTGCTGGACCTCGCCCTCCCCTCCACTCTGAGGATGTCTTTGATATCCAGCACCTTCCTCCACTAGTGAACAGTGATCACGTTGTAATTCACTTTAAGTTTAGGACACATGGTATACAATTCGTATCTGCTCCACCCCGTCCCAATATCTGGCGAGCTAATATTCCGGAAATCAGAAACCGTGCTATCTTGACCGATTGGTCGGTCGACGCGGATGGATTGATCGAAGATGAATGGAATAAGTTTAAGGCTACATTCGAGTCCGTAACGTCGCCGTTTATCCCATGGTCAACACGTAAGCTATCACATCGCACTCCATGGATTAATAAGGAAACCCGGAAGCTTTTAAAGCGTAGGAAACATTTCTGGGACTTATTCTTGTTGACAGGTCATGCACCATTTAAGCGTGAGTATCAAAAATACCGTAATATCTGTAAGAGAACCATAGCGAAATCCCGTACCACTTACTAACGACAGTTAGTATATGATAGCCGTACTTGTCCGAAACGATTGTTTTCGTATGTTAAACGGCAAATGTGACGTTACTGTTACACGAAAATTCAGAATTACTAGCTGAATCAGATCAAGCAAAAGCTGAGACTTTTTCAAACTATTTTAGCGAAGTCTACTCTACGTTTATTGTAACAAATACTTGTCCCACACACACCGAGATACCAACCATTGAATCTTCACAGGTGACTGAGGAAACTGTCCTTCCGTTGATAACTAACCTCAAACCTGGTAAGATACCGGGCCCTGACGGGTTACATCCACGGTTGCTATCATCTCTTGCGGACATTATTTCAAAACCGCTCGCGAAACTCTTCAACATGTCCCTTTCACTCGCTCAACTCCCTAGCGATTGGAAGGACGCTATGGTCAGTCCTATATTTAAGGACGATCAGAGACAGATAGTATCTAACTATCGGCCTGTCAGTCTAACTAGCATAGTCGTTAAGTTACTTGAAAAGATAATTCGGGTTAGGTTGCTAAGCCACATAGATTTACACAATCCGTTAGCTCCTGAGCAACACGGATTTCGTAACAAGCGTTCATGCTTGACTAACTTGCTTATTGCGAGGGAGGATTGGACAGCAGCTCTAGATCACGGTCTGTCTGTCGACGTGATATTCATAGATTTTAGCAAAGCGTTTGATAAGGTTTCACACGTAGGTCTTATGCAGAAGCTCACGAGCTTCGGAATAATAGGTACTGTACATGAGTGGATAGGAAATTTCTTATGTGACCGCAGACAGAGAGTTAGGGTCAACGGAACGCTATCCGATTGGAAGCCGGTCAAAAGTGGCGTACCCCAAGGCATCATCTTAGGCCCCCTGCTCTTCCTTCTCTACGTTAATGAGTTACCGCTGTTTCTTAGGTCGTCAACATTATTGTTTGCGGATGATGTAAAAATCTGGAGAACAATAAAAAGTGCGGCTGATCATCTAGATCTTCAAGCTGACTTAGACGATTTAGTTAGATGGGCTCGAGAGTGAAGCTTAGAAATCAATGCTAGGAAGAGTGTACTAATGCACGTCGGTCACGGTAATAGTTACCGTTACACTATTGAGGGTAAACCTCTTCCATGCGTTCATGAGCATAAAGACTTAGAAGTAGTATTAAGTCATGACTTTAAAACAACTGCGCATTGCAAAGCAGCCGCTGTCAAAGGTTTTCGTGCGTTATGGTCACTTCGCCGAGCGTTCAAATCTTTTGACGAGGAAACGTTTAGAATTTTATATCCCACATATGTTAGACCACATTTAGAGTACTGTATCCAAGCAGCTAGCCCGTGTCTAGTGAAGGATACTAACTCCCTTGAGCGTGTCCAGCGTGTGGGAACGAAATTAGTGAAGTGTCTTTCTAGACTCCCTTACGATGAGCGCTTAAAACGCCTAAATCTTTTCCCCTTGTCGTATCGTAGGACACGAGGTGACCTTATACTGGCATTTCGTATCTTTAATTATGATTTGGGTGTTAATATGTCTTATCTTTTTGCTCCCTCCAGCACTAATAATCTCCGAGGTCATAGCAAGAAGGTTCATAAACCACGATCTAATAAACTTAAAGTGGGATTCCGTTTTTCTCATCGAGTAGTCGATCATTGGAACGCCTTACCTGAACAAGTGGTATCAGCCCCATCAGTGAATACTTTCAAGGAAAAGCTGGACCTTCACTGGAAAGCAATGTGTCAGGATTAACACAGGTTCATCAACCTACTATCCTTATTACTGAAGACTGATAAATAAATGGCCATTAAAAATACTCAACATATTAGGATCAGAATTACGAAATTAATATCACTTACAGAGAAATGAATATTTGTCTGTGTGTCCAATTTCGCCACATTTAAAGCATTTAGAATAACAAAATATACAAGAATTACATGAGTGAAATTTCCCACGGAACAAACATTTACCAAACTTGTGCTCCTTTTCACAACTCCTTAGTGAATTACTTGCATTCTCTTGAGTATGCACTGGATTGGGATGACGTAGTGGAAGTGCTGATGAATCATTTAGTGAAAATATCCTCCTTTAACGCATTCGAATTTTGTATGCTTTACAATGTCTAGTAGTGGTTTTGTAGAATTACGGTCTGGTCCATTATTAGTACTGATCTAATAGTAGACCAAATCCTAAAATAGTGGATTTGCGATGATGTGACTACCTAATCTATAAGATCTTACATGGAAATCAAATGATTGTCTACACTGAATTGTCGTATCGTGACAAGTAGCAATATAATATCTGAAATTTCTAAAGAAGACATTTGGGTTAACATTATATTTAAGGTGAATAAAGACAGGTTATACAGGGTGAACATATCTGCGAGGCCGAGTAATGCCATCCGACTGAATTAATTAATTCTTCCCGTCTTCCCCATTGTTGTTTTCTTTTGTGTTAATCGTTGAATATCCATTTACCTCATGTTCAGCTTTGTGGATTGTGCGGTTAGGACCAATATAACCACAGTTCCTTTGGGAGTTGCATAAAGAAGCTAAATAGGCTCTTCTGGAAATGAAAAAGTTTCTAATGAACTGTGGGCTTTTTTTCCGATGAATGTAAGGAAATGAGACACAATATGAGTATCCTCAACATCTTCCTTATCCATAGTTCCAATTTCGAACTTTTCCATATAATCCACAAAAGAATCAAATCCTGAAAGTATGTCCAATTAATCCATCAGAGGCTCTATCGTGACACCAATTTAGCGATTAGAAGTTATCGAATTGCCAAACAAACTAGGAACCCCAGAAACAACGCTATTTCGACCAAGAAGAACTAAATGAGCCCGCACAAACATATTGTATTTGGAATTCAAAATCATGCAGTCATCAAGTATAAAAAATCTTTATTTCATAATGTTATAACGCACGGTTTTACTTTGCTTAGTGTTATAACCGTTGGGTTTTCACGTTTACACATATGGGACGTTAATTTACCTTAGGGGAATATCTACACTAGATTCCCTCCTAGTGTCTATTCTACAGAACTTCAACACAACTCAAATCAAGAACACGTAATTGGCCTGACCACAACGTAAATATAGTTCCACACCAAAAACCCGCCCATACATCACATACAAATAACACAGAATAACAAATTTGATTAACGTGTATCTTGAGGGATTTTCTTAACCTATGGGATAAAAGCTATAAATATTCCAGCATTGAATAATCTATACTCATTTCTTATATATTTGGCGGATTCTATGACATCATTGAGAGATATCTAGATTCAAAGTATGTTACTTACCACTTCTTTCGTGCTCTGTTGTGAAGTCAACACCGAAATAGACTTCATTGAAATTATTTGTAACGCTCCCATAGAATTTACTTTCAATAAACCTTTTCGTTTTTTGTCACTAAAAATAACTCATTTTAAAACCTTACCGTATTTTTATTGCAAGACCGATGGACCAACAAAATCTTATCTTACATCTGAAAATACATTAATTTCCACTATTCAGATCCACAACTCACATGATCATACCAGAATGTTTCTCATATACTCATGTAAATACTACTGTGTATATTAGAGTGTAGCCTGATAAGGATCTGAATTAGAAAATATCCTTAAACGTCGTATTAATGAGTTTAAAAACATGTGACTAATAGAACTAAATAAGTTTGTCGTAAAATGACTGATTGATACTCTCCAAAGAAATTAAGCCGAGTTTCCCAAGAATTGATATATAAGTTTTTGATTTTATCTGTGTTTTCGTGGGGAATTAACACCGATTTTTTGATAGATGGGTTTTTATGCTAGCATCCTATGAATACAGTGATATTGAGTGCTGTTAGAGGTATGAGGGCAGTTATCACTTCTCGGTTGACAACAGCGTGAAAGAGTTCTTCTGTAGGTACCTGAAAAGGAGACTGGGTTAGAGGTGGTCTTAGTGACTTGAGAGTGTGACCACAGTGCCCAAAAAACAACTGCTTCGGGTCGGTCACACACGACCATTTTGTAATCTTCGTGTTAGCTCTGTACTTGTTGAGACCTTACCGCCTGTGACAGATATCCGTAGGATAAAGCGAGGTGTATAGTTCGATTGGTTCATCACGATAGGCAAACCTGACCACCACGTCAAGGTAGCAGCAACGATCGAGCTAGCTCCCTAATTATCAGATATTGAAGAAATGTACTTCCTTGACAACAAATATAACTCACAACACACATCTGTTAATAATAATTGGCGACAGTTTTCTGACTATAGGTAATTAACCTGTTTCATTAAAATCAACAGAATAATTTAAATATGCACTTTTTACAAATAATGAAAAAACAAGATAATCGAGATTTATCATTCTTCTTATTATTATTTGAGAAATATTCAAAAACCTTAATGATGCATCAGAAATAAGATACAATAATCCATAGATAAACAAGAGAGCTGATTGTAATCTATCCATATACAAAATAAAATTATTAATATACATTAATTGACTATACTACTCCTTTAGAAAAGAGAAACTACTAAGAACAGTATGTAGTTGGTGTGTGTGTGCATGTATACATACATACATATTTATATCACAGTATTGAAATGGGGGGAAACCCAAACAACTTACATAAATAATATGATGATTTACAGGAAAGGATCATAAAAATTCAAAAAAAAAATCCCTGCAGAATGATTTTCTTTTTCTTCTTTTCTATCAATAAGAATGAGAAATTAACTCAACTACAAATCAATCAATCAGTCAACTATGAATAGATGAATGAATTGATTTTTGATAAACTGGAAGGTTATTATTATTAGTATCATTCATTCTTACATTAATGAGAATGATTTGCAGAGAATAGAATTGGTATTATTGTACCAGTAATTAATACAATCACTTCAATGATACTTAATCGATGAACATGTGAGATAGGATTCATATAATCATGATTTGATTTTGGATAATTATACATAATAATTGATTCATGACTATTATCTACGGTGTATAATGCATGATGTCCTGGTGTATTGTTTAATGATTCATTGAATAAATATAAATTAGGATTTCTTATTTGTTTGTTAATATTTGTAGTATCATTGATAGTATTTAACTCAATAATATTACTAGTATTTGATGAATTGATTAATTCTGGTAGAATATGTGTAGCTGCTACATAAAGAAATGTACCACCTGATAATAAAAGAGCTATCCCTGTTCTTGTTGAAGCTGTATCAATATCCTTTAAGAAAAAAAGAAACAGAAGTATATTTTAAAATGTAAATATATACGAGTTATTGATATGAGAGTTACTTATTTACTTACTTAAGCCTGTTAGTCCTCGTGAAGGAACATAGGCTGCCAACCAGCACTCTCCATCCAACACTGTGTTGGGCAATCCTTTCCAGCTCCTTCCAGTTGTTATTCATCCTTTTCATATCTGATTCTATTTCCCAACGTAACGTGCTCTTTAGCCTTCCTCTTTTCCACTTCCCTTCAGGATTCCAATTTAGGGCTTGCCTCGTGATGCAGTTTGATGATTTGCGTAATGTATGTCCTATCCATTCCCATAGTTTTTTCCTAATTTCTTCTTCAGCTGGAAGCTGGTTTATTCTCTCCTACGAAAGGCTGTTGCTGATGGTATCCGGCCAATGGATGTTGAGTATCTTGCGTAGACAGCTATTTATAAATATTTGTACCTTCTTGATGGTGGTTGTTGTAGTTCTCCAAGTTTCAGCTCCATACAGTAGAATTGCCTTGACGTTCGTATTGAAGATTCTCACTTTGATATTAGTTGAAAGTTGTTTTGTGTTCCATATGTTCTTCAATTGTAGGAATGCGACCCTCTCATTGATATGAGAGTGGATTATATAGTTGAATTGAATAATCTCCACAATCCTATACTGATAATAACCATGTGCTCAATAGTGACTAGCTTCGTGAGGGAATTCTCGGAGTTCTAATGAGAAGCCACGAGCAGTGGAGCAAATCCGTGTCGGGTAAAGACAGGTATCTACCTCAGTACAATAGAAGATTGTCGCACGATTTCGTGGAGTGGGTGAGGTTAGACATTAACACCGTTGGATGCTGGCTCAGTGGTCTAGTACGTTAAGCGCTTGCATGCGAAACTGAAGGCCCTCTGGGTCCAAATCAGGCGAGCGGGATCGTGGATGAGCACTTCTGAGGAGTTCCACGATAGGAAAAAACGGCTATCCAGTGCTACCAAGTTTTCAATGGTGATCTAACACCAACCAGTTCATGATATCAATCAATAACTTAATAGTCTCCACAACCTGATATATAATTGAACTTTGATTCATATTATTCATTCCAAAACAATTGCTGAAGTGTTACTATCCATCTCTTTTGATTCTTACTTGTTCCAATTATCACATTGACTTTTTTACTAAAAGATTTCATGAATTCTCTTATAAAGTCTCGTAACTACTTAAATACATCTTTTCAACTTTAACGGATAATTATTTTTGCTTATTACAGTTATATAACCTCTTTCAACTAATAAGATTGAATCAATCACTTGACATGCAACATATATATATATACAGTGTTATGATTATGCAAGTATAGTTGATCTAATTCATATGAGATTTGAGTATGAATGATAAAACAGGAACTTGTGATTATTTACCTGGCCAACAAGGGATTTGATTGAAAATCGATTTTTTTTAAAAAAAAAACATGCGAACTTAGTATGATGATCTAACAATTGCGTGATGAATACTAACGATTTATTGTAATTCAGTTATACAAAACAATTGTGAAAAGTATAAAAAATAAGTAGAAACATAAATAATAAAGAATAACTCGTGCAAAACACAATAATGGAACAGTGGATCAATTTCGTGGATTGGTTGAAGTTAAACATTAACACCGTTGGATACCGACTCAGTGATCTAGAAGTTAAGCGCTCGTGCGCTAGAATGATAGGTTCTGGATTCGAATTTTGCGTGGCGGGATTATGGATTCTCACTGCAAAGGAGTTCCAGAGTGCGGACGAAACGACCGTTCAGTGCTCCCAAGTTTTCCATGGTGGTCTAGCTTCAACTGACTCATGATCTCAACTATTGAAATTGATAAGTCTTGCTAATTGAACGCTGTATTCGGTTCCTAATCTATCCTCGTAACCCCCAAGCTAGAACTATACAGCGACCTGAACACGAGAGAAAGGGCGCAAAATATGTGCCAAGCACTTTACTCCAAAGGTTCCTTTTAGTATAGAAAATATAGGGTTTTTATAGTATTTTAGATGTCCTTGGGTTTCCCGAGAATTCTGGAATGTTACTAAACATAGTAGCACTATAGTAATCAGCCAATCAGAAATTCTACGTGTGAACTCACTTTCTTGATGTTTCTGGCTAAATCTTTAAGTGAACGCTGATTGGATAAGATGCCTCTTAATACTTCTTGAGCCTTTCTTGTCTTTTGAGAGTTTTCTGGATCACCCCAACAGAAATTACTATAACATCCACCAAAAAACCCCTTCTCATAAATAAAAAAACACAATTTATCAGAATCATTAAACTTACAGTATCAGTTGAGGATAATGAGAGGTAGAAATATGTGAGAAATGAAGCCAATGGTGAAGAAAGTGAGAAAGCGATCATGTGTAAACGAATTCGATCACGTGTAAATCCTTCATGTAATAGAAAGCATGATAAACCAAAAGCGGCTGGTATCTTAAAAAAAGAAATAGTAATGATTTAAAACAAGGTCAATATATAGTTATTTTTGTAAATACAATAAAATCATGTACTCACTGCATAACTACCTAATTTTAATATGGAAAGTTTAAGAAACCGTGTAAAATCTCTAACCATCGTAAAAACAGTACAGTAGGAAGTTGAGTACACAACATAAAACTTCACACTTTGTAAATGGGTTTATTTTTCTATTTAAAGAAATCAAAGTTTGGCACAACGAGGCACCAAAGAGATACGCATCACCCTTCATCATTCAAATTGTGTGAGGGCTGGGATACTCCACAGGCGCCGAAACTTAAGGAGGTGGTTTTCATAGGAGGCCACATCCCGAGCCTTTGACCAAAAAGCTCTAACTCATAAGACAGTGGAGTAACGTCAGGAGATGCAGTCCCATAATAACCGGTGACCAACAATACGCTATTCGCTCCCTCATGATTCCGGAGCCCATGTACATCATTGGTTTGGAATCAGAGTTTTCCAACTCCCTTAGGTGGATCCGACCCGGTTAAAGTGTCAAAATACACTTTTTGTCTTTTCGATTTCGTAAACAGCAGGCTCATCATGAGAAGGCAGTGAGTAGAACTTGCCTGACAGTGACTGTATACGTGTGGCCATGAGAGAGCATTTCGAGAGAGGTAACTCTCACTACGCTCGGCCGTATCAGGGCATTTGGGGGCTAATGGATATGATTTATGAAAATAAAAATACCCAACACAATTAACTGGATGGATTAGTTTATTGAATCGTCGATAATAACACGAACAGATAAATTGAACTGCATTTCTTATTACATAGAACAACGTTAGAAAAAAAAAGGACTCTTTTACCAAACGTTTCAAAGCTTATCTACTTAGAACATTATATATACATATATTATCCTTTAAGCATCATCAATGAACAAGGAGGTTCGGATGCAGACGTAAAAGAGAGGATTGGCAAAGGAAGGACCACATTTCCACAATTGAACAAACAAAATATACAACTCAAAACAACTATCTATCAATCAATATCAAAGTCACAATCTTCAATACGAACGTCGAGACAGTTAGTTCTACTATACGGAGCTGAATCTTCTACAAATACCACAACCATCATCAAAAAGGTACAAGTATTTCTCAACAGTTTTCTACGTAAGACAATGAATGTCCATTGACTGGATACCATTAACAACAGCCTGCTGTGGGAAAGAACAAACCATCTTCCAGTTGAAAAGAAAATCAGGAAAAGATGTTGGAAGTGGCTAGGAAATACATTGCGGAAATCATCAAACGGTATTATGAGGTAAGCTCTAACATGAAATCTTGAATAGAAATAGAAAAGAGGAAAGTCAAAGAATACACTATGTCGAGAATTAGAAACAGATATGAAAAGGATGAATAAAAACTGGAAAGGATTCCTCGGCCTATGCTCCTCTACGAGGGTTAACAGGCGTAAGTAAATATTCACTTTTGTAATGCATAATATTATGCCCTACAATTGAATTCACTGACTAAACAGTCGTATAATCATTAATAAATATCGATAGAACAATGAGAATATCAAGTTGATCTTATTGTTCCATCGAAATTCATAGAAGGGACTTATCGCTTTTGCATAAACAATTAAATAATTTTCACAGATTGAACTCATGAGTCAGTTGAAGCTAGACCACCATTGAAAACCTGGAAGCACTGGACGGCCGTTTCGTCCTAGTATGGGACTCCTCAGCAGTGTGCATCCACGAACCCGCACCACCCAGGGCTCGAACCCAGGACCTACTGGCTTCGCGCGCGAGCACTCAACCATTAGACCACTGAGCCGGCATCCAACAGTGTTAATGTCTAACTTCAACCAATCCACGAAGTTGCACTACCGTACACCATTGTCTTCAGTGAGTTCCTATCTCACAACAGACCTGGTTGAACTCCACTGGTAACGACTCCTCACTAGAACTCCAGAAGTGTCTCCTGAAGTCAGTCACTAGTGAGCAGGTGATTATTATTATTATCAGAATGTGTTTTGTGGAGATTTTTTTAGAAATTTTCACAGATTGAACTCATGAGTGATAAATTATTATTATTATTATTATTCAAATAATTAACAATAATAACTAATTAAATAAATAATCTTACTTACTTTATGTAAAATAATAGCTAAAAATAAAATCAATTCTAATTGTAATTGATTTAATGCAAATGCTGAACCAATTGCTAAACCATCAGCTAATGAATGAATCACTAAACCACATGTAACAATAAGTCCTTTATGATTAATTGATTGAATTGAATTAATTGATGAACAATTAGAACTATTATTATTATTATTATTAATTGATGTTTCATTGGATAGATTATTGGTATTATTAGAAGTTGAATTCGTTGTATTCATTGAGTTATTGATAACTGTACTGGTACTATTATTATTGTTATTATTATTCTTATTATAAAATCTATTCATTAATGGGATATACAATATAGAATGATAACATAAATGTTTTAATCCAAATAATATAGTTTGACAACAAGTCAATTCTAATATGGTGTAACTCATTTGATCCACTAATAACATGAATAGATAACCTAATAATAATGCAATGCCAACTTTTTGATGAATATAACTACTACTATTATTATTATTAGTATTATCATTATGAGAATGATGATCTTCATTTGAAGCATGATTATTTTCATTGTTAATATTATTTTGTTGTTTCATTTGATCATTGTCTTTATTAATTACAGATGGAAGATGTTTTTCATTTCTTGATTCTATTGTATCTATCATATTTAAACTCTAAAAAAAACATAATGAAAACAATCATATAATGTAATATAATCAAAAGAAGATTAATAAAGAGAGAAATGAAGGAAAATAACATTCTAAAGGGTATCTTCTAATAAAGATGCGATTCAAAAGACTGTACACTAAGTGGACGATTTCATAGTATAGTAAATCAAAAGTAAGCATCAAAATCAATCAGTCAGTCAGTCAGTCAGCTACAACGTAGGACCAGGCACATATATGCATCGGTCCAAGTTGCCATACCTCATTAACACAACAAGATGGACACCGGATTCATAAAAGTAGTTAATTCAGAGGTGGTATTATATAAAAGAAAGATTGCAGAATTAGTTTGTAGGAAGAAACATATGAAGCAATTTTAATCTCTTAGTTTAAGGGAAGACACAGAGTGTATACACCAACACTACTATGATCGATTCTGAGCCATGTCACCAAGAGTCTCCAACCATTGGTTAAGATTGTCACGCGGACACCAACCAAGTAGTCTGCATCTACCAACATGGCTTACACGAGAAGTTAGTGTCTTCAAGCACTGATGCCACGTTTTGGTTTGGCCGCCCCTAACTTTCTTCCAACCATCTCCAACACCGGTTAGCATTGCATCAAAATAGTGATTAAAATGTGTAATTATTAGTTAAATACTTGAAGAACTACTACAACCATCATCAAAATAGTACAAGTATTTATAAACAATTGTCTATTCAAGATAGTGAATGTCTGTTAGTCGAATACCATCGGGAACAGTCTACTGTGGGAGATAACAAACCAGCTTCCAATTGAATGGATTTTATGAATAGACGTTGGAATTCGATAGAACATGCATTGCGGAAACTATCAAACTACATTACGAGATAATCTCTAACTTGGAATTGTTAACGCAAAAGGAAATGAGGAAGATTAAAGAACACATTGAGTCGGGAAACGGAGATAAACATCGAAAAGATGAATAGCACTTGGAAACAACTGTAAAAGACTTCGCAAGACAAAGTTCGATGGAGAATGCTGGTGAGCGGCCTATGCTCCTTCATGAAGGGTGACAAGCGTAAATAAGTAACTATTAACGTAGATTTAATACTGTAGAAACTAACAGGAACTCTCTACACCAAAGAATATTCCTTACACGAATGATAAAGTTAAATGATCTCAGAACAGTCTTTTTTTAAAGACAACAGATACTTTGATTCGGTTAAATTTACTTAGAAATAATTATCTCAAGTGCAAATCATAATTTATCAAACCTTCAATTCACCAACACATAACAAGAGTTGACTGATGCTTCATATACTAGTCACAAGTAATAGTTTTTGATAGTTTAAAGTTTATCGAAAGGCTTTCTTACTTCTTTTTTATTGTTTGGAAAATCGTCGTATAAGGATTTGTAATCTCTTAAAAAGTTTGAGATATGATCGAAATGTTTTCTTTGGAAACTATTTGAGTTTTCAAGTCTTCTCGATTGATTTGTGCTTTTACAAATTAAATTAATACTCTTGACCTATTACTTCTTTTTCCGCTAAAATTACACAAATTTATTTGATTTCCATTAAATTAGTTGTAGAATTCAATCATTTAATTTGAAGTATAACTTGACAGGAATAAGGTCTTTTTATACTTTGAACAACCCTTAAAATTCATTCGGGTAAAGGAAGTGAGTGGATGAACGAATGTGTAAATTGTTTATTACCATCATAGTTGGATAGAATACCGTTAATAAATCGACCATTTTAGTTTAATTTGTGGTACCTTCAAACTGTAAAACTTAAGTTGTTAATGTCAGTCCGATTTATTTTATTACATAGTTACACTTTAAAGATGTAGGATACCACTATTCACAATCAAAGCATAAATCAAGTCTTTAATTTGTAGTCTAGAAGTTTAGCATTTGATTCGTATCCATTACATCATGGCGTTAAACCTTAATCAACTAATCTCAAGTTGCAATACAAGATAGAACCTCCAGTCATCATTTATGATGAAGTGAATCAGCATTTGGATATTAAGCTTATCGTGTAAAAGAGATTAAGCAACTGAGCAAGAAGTTATTTTACACACAAAACGTACTTGTGAATAATAAAAAAAAGATTTTCTCATAACTTACACGTGAATTGGGATGATTTAAGTGGTTATCTTTATTCGAAATAAGATTAGAATGTTGATCTTTATGTGGACTGCAAATAACTGCAATGCCTTCGGGAATGACGACAACTAATGCAGCGCCCAAAAGTAGACCAGCACCAAAAATAGTTAGTATACGAATTTTCGACTATAATTAAGTTAGATATACATACCTTCAAGTTAATAAATGGTAACTGACTCGTGAGATGTAATAAATAATACAAAATTCAGAAAATACATTCCAGCAGATCATAAAATATGAATGCAATCAACTACAATAGAATATAAAGGGGACAAATTTTACCGTAATGGTACAGTGAATAGCCGAATGCCTGTGGATCAATATATATATATATATATATATATATATATATATATATATATATATATATATATACAAAATTTTAGTCACAGAACAAGAATTTTCACCCACTTCAGAATGTGGTTGGGAAAACCAACCTTAAAATGTATGTGGTAACCATAAAGCTATAGGTTCTCTACCAGCTAGGCTGTGAATATGATCGAATAATAACGTTTTGCGCAGATTATGAACAATCCGTTAACGATGAACACAAAAGAGGTAGGTTGGTTTATGTTAGTATAGTACACCCACATATACACTTGTTACCAAATATCTGAATGTTACCACCTGCATCGCATGTTAAAAAAAACCGAAATCATTACTGACTTTAATGCGCTAGACAGGACCATGTTTTCCAATCATTTGTTAAACAAGGGTTGTGGTTAAAACGTTCACTGAAATTTACAAAGCCCTTCAGAAAAACATCTTTGTTAACGTGGTGGCATAAAACTATCTATTTTATCACTCCTAATCAGCAATAGGGATATGTACGGTTTTTTAACCTCTCTAATCCCCTATAAATTCTCCACCAGTAGAATTCTGTAAGCATCTGATAGTGTCTTCTAAGTATAGAAAGACTTCCCAACTTTAACCAGAAAAGCGCTATTTTGGTGTACAACCTGCTGATAAAATCGAAATAATTACATCGTGTCAGAGCGAAGACCGACACGCACCTCTATGTGATGCCCTGGAATTGGTGAACCATATTTATGAGCTAACACAGTTAAGTAGAGATCGTGCCAATCGCTCACTCTGTCTTAAACTATGATTAACAGAAAGGGCGTTCCTTTTGTACGAATGAGCGGAAAGGTAGTACTAGAGACGCTTAACCTGATTCATTCTAGATCAGAATGATCAGAGTTACATCAGTAAATCTCGAACTATGGCGTGAAATTCATCTACCCCTATGGTTAAAAAGCATTTTGGCATCATGGCTGATGTTAGATCAGTTTCAGTTTGGAAAGGACAGTAGGCTTAATGGCCTATGTTAGTCCTGGCAATGGTGGTCTCTCAGTTGATCCTTCTTTCTTTTGAGAGAGTCGACCGATGGAGCCTCAACCATGTGCTGAGGTAATGAATTTTGCTCGTTGATGATTCGATGGGAAAGTCGATAGTCAACTGACAAGTAATTTGTCCTGGGCTTGTGAACTTTTTTGGAGTGTCCTCATAAATTCTCTGTTTTGGAAGACAAGAAAAATGAGGGCATATCAGTTGCAAATTTATCACTAAGCGATTTGAAAACTGTAATCAATTCGCTCCTAGTTCTTCGATGTGAAAACGGGAATAGGTTTAGCTTGGCCAGTCGAGCATCATACGGGAGCTTTGCTATTCCGGGAATCAGCTTAGTTGCCGTTCTCTGAACCTTTTCCAAAAGTTCACTGTCCTTTTTTAGACAGGGGATAGCCGCCTATATGCAGTACTCAAGTTTCGGAAGTGCGAACACTGTATACAAAGTCAAAAACGTTTTAGCGTCGACATGACTAAAAGCTATACGTATTGACCATAACGTTCTAAAACCTTTGGCGGCTATTGCACGGCAGTGTACAGTAGTCTTTAAGTCTTGGCTAACGATGACTCCTAAGTCATTATGTATCTGGATGACAGGTAGCTTAATGTTATTCATCGTGTATGTATTTTTACCTCGATGACCAATATGCATCACAATACTTCCAGGTTTGAGACCATTCAGCTAATTTCTTCAGGTCATTTAGGAGTTCTATGCTATCACCCTTAATTCGTGTCGCTCTCCGTATCTTGACATCGTCAGCATATAGCAAGACCGATGATGATATTATTATTTTTTTATTTTAACACACAGATATTGGTACAAGGAGGCACCAAATATATATGCAACACACAGATTTCATTTCGTGTGTGAGGGCTGAGATACTTCCCAGGTACCCAAACCGAAACAGGTGGTTTTCTTAGGGGGCCACACTCAGAGCCTTCGACCTGAAGGTCTGATCCACAAAGCAGTGCGGCATCGTAAGGAGATTCATTCCTATGGTAGCTGGTGACGAACGATTGGTTCATACGCAATTTGTTCACTCAGAATACTGGGGCCCATGTGCACCATTGGTTTGGAATCAAGGATTTCCAACTCCCCTAGGTCGACTCTACGTGTCAGCCAACCCGGTTAAAGCGCCGGACATTCGCTTTTCGTCCTCTCAATTTCGTAAACAACGGTAATACCTCAAGAAGGCAGTGAGTAGGACTTCCCTGGCACCTAAATCTATCCCACATTTTTGTTCTTACGGAGGACACGGATCTCCGTACTGAACCATAGTGGAGAGTTTCTCGGCCCCTTTGATGTAGTTCAAGGGATGTGGGTGGGGTCACTTTTGAGTATAAATCTCGAAATGCGTCTCAAGCCGTTTCAATTGAGGACTCTGGCTCTATTGTCCAATCTACTGACGATGCTGAGTGCATGATATCTTGTGTGTTTGCTTCCCAGACGTTAGGTCTGGATTGAGCTGACGCGTGCTCGTGATTGACAGTTATATGCAAGTCAAAATTTAGATCTGCATGATCACTTTTACCTAAGGGTGGCATGTAATCGAGGTTCGCAACATCATCCTCAAAGTGAGTCAATATAAGATCTAGTAAGGATGATTCAGAGTCCGGGTCGTACCTAGTCGCTTCTTTCACATGTTGCACTAGGGCACATGTGATAACCTCATCAACTAGTTATCTGACAATTCAGTTCGCAGATTTTTCCAGTCTACCACTGATGCATTAAAGTCCTTAAGGGAAAAACTCCTGAACCCTTTAATTTACGTCAATTCTGTGAAATTAATTAACATTCATTAGATGTGAATACTACTTTAAGTGGTTCGGATTGATTAGGCTTCAAGTTCGCTAGTCTATATACCTTTATCAATGTGACTCCGGAGATATTTTGAGGCATAAGTTGTTTAAATAGCTGTTTTATCAGCACAATGTCATGCTCAAAACGAGTTTTTCACTTTCCTTAATTCTATGGGAAATAACTGATTTGTCACTGTGATCAGTCTTCAATTTCTTGACTAATTTTATGTGGGTACGATTCCCTTTTATATCGTTATGTCGATTGTTGCTTACAACCTGTACCCATTCTTCAACGTTGGTTGGTGTAGCAACCACAGTCGCGTCAAACATACTGTGGGATTCCGTAGGGTTGTTGACGACTTGAGAAGTCAGGATGCTTCACGCTATAAACTGATTGAGCCTTGCGAATGCGGCTTCTAGGCGTTTCCTGCTGGATACCATTTAGAAGACGGAAGGTAGGAGAAACTTCTTTTCTTGAGTGTTTAGCTAAGACAGACGTCCTTGGAGACTATCTTTCCTCCTTTGGTCGATATTAGTTTCCGGATTCACTTGAGTTTGCTTCACACTAATTTGCGTGTCAACAGAGCGAGTGTTGTCCGATGTGTCCCGACTACGCTTGCCAAAACACATTTTTTGCAGCGTTTACCATTGAGATGATCTCGGTTATCAAACTGTTTGCATCCGAACGGCACTGCCAACAAAGCCATATGCAACCGTTTTTACTGAACCGTCTAAAAGCCGCAGGCGTTAAGGTTGTGCAAACTTCGTAGTACCAGTCTTTGCACTCATCGCACTGCATGCCGATTTCAACGGGAAATCGACAACCCAGACGTTGGTAATTGCCTTTTTTGCGCTGTCCAGTCACCAGAGGTTTTTTTTAAAAAAAGAACTGGATGCAATAGCACCCAAAGATAAAAATGGTCCATGATAAAAAAAATGGGAAAACTGTAAATTGTTAGAACCAAAAGTACTAACATACAATACAAAAGAATGTACTCAAAAGTACCGACGATAAACTGCTTTAGAGACAGAAACAATACTCTATTCGGATACCTTGACTGATTAATTCGGCTAAAGTGTAAACAGTATCCTTGATACGTGATGAACGATCAAAACAATATGGTGTACTTAGCGAGGAAAAATACCATTGTCCTTTATAAATAGCGCGCGTTCAGATTCTGATGAAAACCCTAACCCAAGCAACCTAAAAAGGGGAAATAAAGGCGAACAAAGGGGAAATAAAGGGGTAAATGCTTTGGTAGCGAAAGGGGAAATGAAGGGGAAAACGCATCAGAATGTCGCCTGTCCGGGGGAAATAATGGGGATTTTCCCGTTTTTCGTCGTTTTGTCGACAAATTACCGACTTATTGCCTAAATATCTGCCGAATTGTCGAATTTTCGCCTTAATATCCGCCGAATTGTCGAATTTTCGCCTTAATATCCGCCGAATTGTCGAATTTTCGCCTTAATATCCGTTGAATTGTCGCATTTTCGCCTAACCCTGACCCTCAGACACGTTTTACTCTGGACCCTATTAATAATTCTTCACACTGATTCGTAGCTTTATTTTAACCCCGGGAAGTGTGTAAGTACTTTCGAATCGTTTAATCATTGATTAAAGATTGTTCATAAAGCAGATTCACTTACGTGCTTCTTACATACAAAACAAATTGCACAACAGTTAGCACAAAAACTCACTACAGGTATTTTAAAAGATATAGGTATGCATCCAGCTATATAACAACCAATAAACAGAAGTATATTCAAGAAAATAAGATAAAGCATCCGTAAGATAATAGTGACGCGGTAGCCAAAAAATGCAGCAGAAGATAAACGTCCAATTTCCAGAGTGACAAAACAAATTTTTGTCTTTTAAGATTTAAATAAAATAAATGACTTTTTTCGGTTTCATAGCACTATGTACGCGGATAAATGTAATGTCAATAAACCATACATGTTGATAATAGATGTAGAACATATTGCTTGTCCCTTAGACTTAGATAGGCAGTTTCCACTAAATAATCTTCTGGGTTTCTTAATAATAAATTGTTAATGACACCACACAAGACCCTATCTGTATGAAAACATTCAAAAGCTATAGTAAATAAATAGTGGAACCTGCTTTTTAAGTCCTATTAAAAGACTCTCTAAGTTACGTCTAGTACTTCAGGTGTTAAAAATCTTCATGATGTGATTTTCATTATAGGGTTGGAGATATTTTTGAGATTCAAATCGCTGTGTCACGCCTTGAGATCTTTTATATCTACTTTAGACTAGGGTCACGACTGGTTATAAGTAGGTTAGTAAAGGTAAACAAATCTTCTTTGGGTATTGAGCATCAACACGGACGTTGTAGCCGTAAGTAAATCCCCAAAATAAATAGCTCTGTAAGTTCTTGACATTGCATACTGACCACATGAGTTTTAATGGACTCACCCAGCTGAAGGCGCTTGGTCATGCATCCGCACCAGATCACGAGTGGGAATGCTGTGCTCAACATCCGCTGCAATCGCTAGCCAGATTAGATCAAACGAACTTCGGTATATTGATGGCCCATCGAATATATCTTCAAACCTCCTCGCTTCTGTCTTTTGATTTCACTTGGTGGGTACGCTTCACATCAGAAGGGGTTGATGGTTAAAGCGTTGTCAAACCCCAAAGTCCTGGGACATCCTCAACCTCAACGGTCTCACTGGAAACACCCTACCCTGACACGCACCGGATCACGATCATGTACTTCAAGCTACGCGTCCTTCGCAACATTTAGCCTGTTTAGACAAAACATTTCTGGACCTATCGGCGACCTTCCAAATATATCTTCCAACTCCTTCATTCATGAACTCTGGTTTCTCTGATGTTGAGATTTTTCAACAATAGAGGTATTTGTGACAACAGCTGTAGCGTGATGTCAAGTTGAGGTTAACTATGAACACCGCTACCAAGAAACACGTGCCAAGTAAATCAGAATGCGAAGGTTGAATGTAACCAAATAAATCCATAAAATCCCCGAGAAGCCAAATATCAGAAGACAGTTAATGGACCAAGTCGACATATATTTGCTGGCAATCTCGTGGTATCGAAAGGATACCAAGATCGTGCCAGGATACAAGCTGGGTTACAGAACGTAACCGAATTCGCGCTAAATCATAATCAAAAGTGTGTGTATAAGAATGGAAGCAAAATATAGCTGTCATTAGCACAGTCAAACAAAAGCACATTTAAACAAGCACCGGTACAGTTGGTTATAATAATAATTGTTTGTATTAAACCAGTCGTGTTCTCGTGGTAAATGTGAGTCACTACACAGCACTGTTCAGCCTCGTACCTGTGTGATGCTTTCAAAGCTTTTAGAGAACATTATGTTTTGTGATAAACATATTTTCTTTACATTCCAATAAGTAGAAAGATGGTATTTCTGATGTTCCCCAAATTATGTAATCCAATTCTCCAGAGTAAATAAATTAGCGAATTAAACCAACACTAGTTTAAATAGTACAGAGGATATAGTGGAGAATATATTTGTTACAATCAAAATCATAATAGGTTTGGTCATATCAATGGCAAGATATTCCTGGTCAAGGCGAATTTGTATGACCTGTCACTGCATTAATTTGTGTGTCAGAGCATGGATGTGAAAAATGTGTACACTCCCAAAATCAAGTGGCGCGGTCGAAATCAGGTAACTGAGTGTAGATCGTGTGGAAAATAAATAAGGTCAGATGTGGTTGTTTGAATAAATAGTTCAAGTTGGATGAATATGTGGCGTGGATTCGAGTCGATATCGACTATGAGCACCACTACGAGAAGTCTACGTGCCAGTTAACCGATAAAATCCCCCGTAAGCCAAATATCACAAGGCAGTTGAAGGCTGTAGTCGAAATGTTTTTGTTGGCGATCTCGTGGTATCGAAAGAATACCGAAATCGTGCCAAAGGGGTACACGCGTGGTGACTGAGCGTAACCGAATTCGCGCAAGGTCACAATCGAAAGATAATAGAGCAGTAATGTGGCTTTTAGCATAGTTAAACAAACGAGCACAGTAAAACAATCATTGGTACAATTGGTTATTATATTAATTGTTTTCATTAAACCAATCGCGTTCTCTTGATAAAAGTAAGTCACTACAAATATTCATGCCTTCTTTCCTATTGAAGACAGGGAGATTCAGCGTAACGTGAAATACTCCGGTTACTCGCCTCTATAGTTGAAAATCGCTTCCGAGTTATTTCAACATTTTTAATGTCGATTTGGTGAATACTGAAAGCAGCATGTACTGCTATTGCTGATTTAGTCTGTAAATTTTCCGATTCTACAGGATCATTAGGAGGTCTTCTTGCGTAACATAAGTGTTTCTTGACATGATTTCAGTTCTCACTAGAATATTCTTCAATATAGAACGCATAACAATCAACACAACCTGACCTGTAGATACACTTTTGTACGTAAATGGACAAGATTGCTTCCTTCACTCTAACTAAAGCGTTTCCTAAAGTGCTAGTTGTTTTATAGAACGTTTTAATGTTGTACGTTTTCATTATTCGTTGTAACACTTCTGTCGTACATTGGCGGTAAGGTAAGACCACAGTACCAATCCAAGAACTTTTATTAGGAATGTCACTTACAAGCGGATAGTTTCGTTGTAATATGTTTCAATAGTATTTCCAGCAAAACTATTAAGTTGTAAGATGTTTATTATATTTGCCTTTTCTTCCAGTCTGTCTTCTTCTGAAGTAATGATCCTGGTTGCTCTTCCGAATAGATTCAGGGCTAAGGAAATTTTTTCACTGATTGGACGTACAGAGTTAAAATCAATATACCGATTTGAATGTGCCGGTTTTTGGTATATGGCTAGACTGAGACTATCATTAGAACTCCTTTCAACTAAACAGCTTAAGAAATGTAGTGCTCTGTGAGTGTGTTTGTCTTTAGAGAAATTTTAAGAAGTGTCTTTTAAATGATGACAAATGTATCATCCATATACCTGAGCCAGATGCGTGTTCTTATTGTGCTGGCAATTATAAGCGACTTATTGTGGAAGATGAATAAATTTGCGACAATCAAAGTTACTGGGGATCTCATAGCTACTCCACTGAATTGTTTATATAATGTCCCCTTGAGAGGAAAAGGTGTTAAATTCAAGCAAAGTTTGGGGGGTTTCATGATTAAACTCATGTTTAATAGACATCTGCCAGAGAGAGTGATATCATTCTTCAGGAAACAATTAACGAGGTCTAGACACATGTCAAATGATTGGTTTCATAATGAAAACTTTACTCACAACAGGGGCTAAGCTTACTCGTTATAAAATATGTATACGACACTCCCTTGAATTTTCCTTTTTTATCTTCCCAAACATGAACACCACAGACAAGATAAAAGTAGAAGATGTTTAAGAAGCTTCACACGTTGGCTGCTAAGAAGTGACTTCACTCTCGATTACACAGATAGATGTAAGCACCTCTTTTGAGAACCTTTATGGTACCGTCGGCTAAGGAACAATCTAATATTTCTCTACAAAGCAATATATGGACTCAAATTTCTAACCTCTTGCCTAACCATGATCCATGACCCAATATACAAACTCAGAAACAACTCACATACAATGCTTATTGTAAAACATGGAAAACCAGTGAGTTGTAAGTTTTCTTACAATGAAGTACAGTTTATTATGGAACAGGTTGCCAGTAACAATCCGTAACTGTGAAACTATCACCAACTTCAAAAGAGTAATAACCATGTTACATGACTCTGAAGAGCTCCATCATCTATTCCTTGAACTTCCATCCACCAATGAGGTACTTGAATGCGGACTACCTAATATCTAGACTGATCATGAATATAACAGGCCCCATTGTCGGTCATAATAATAATATATTTCTGCATGAGCAGATACACGCCATTTTTACACGCATAACCTATAAATTGCAACATTTTTTGGCGCACAGCATGCTTCCCAACTTATTAAGTTTATAGTTGTTATGAAGTAGACCCGTGGAACGCTTGCTGTAAACCATGACCTTGAGGAGGCGCGTACGTTAAATTTGTTCCAGACGTCAGAAAATCCATAGCTGTGTTCTCAGTGCAAGATTCTGAGGAAAGAAAGGAAAGAGAAACAAGAAAGCAGCAAGGCACTTGCATATGAACGCCAAACGTTGCTTAGCATTGTGTAGTAGAACAGACAGAGGTATAATAAATTGGATTAAATTCATATTATCTGTTGTTAGAGTGAAATGAATTCAGAAGCTCCACATAAAAGAATGTAGCAATAAAGAACAATCATTTGTGATGTTTAACAAGTTCGAGTAATCTCATATGAAGGAAGGAAAGTCAAGATTGGTGCAAGGAAAGCGGTTTATTAGAAGGGAGTGTGCATAGAGAGGGTGAAGTGTTAAGAATACTAATATGAATATAAGCAAACGATAGAACACATGGCTTACACTCTCCTATTATTCATTGATTATTAGTTATGCCCCTATACTCCTACTTCTTACTTTCAGACTCCGAATCTATCTAACGGTTAAAATTGCATTATTTTCTCTAAGCGTCATGTATTTTTTTCTATTACAAGTAGACAAATGACTCAGAAATCTCATGGATGCTGGTCAACTATAACAGATCACAAGAAGCTCATAATGTCCTAAATTCTTGTGAGTCCATCAGTCTTTTGTTTTCTTACTCCAAAAAGTTTACAATTCTAAGCTTTTGCACATTCTTTACTTTGCTATCGATGCTGACCGTTTCTCAACCACAGATAATCTGACCAGTGTCTTCTAACTTATATTATTAGTTATTTTCATAGCAGTGTGATAAACTAAATGAGTATA